CACGGCGGCAGACTATCAGGCCTTTCGTAAGCATTCAAATGCCGCTGGAACGAGTGTGCAAAGATAGTCAGCGCAAGCTTGCTGAGAGCGTACACGCCCTTGGGCTGCGCGTATAGCGGTGGTGTAGTCTTGGTCCGTTTCGAAACAACCTTCTGCTTCCCCCGCGCCACGGAATCCAGATTGCTGAAGTCACCGCCGATGTAGCTCGCGCATGTTGCGAAGATGACGCGTACGTCGCGGTGTGCAGGTTGAGCGCGTAGTGCTGGGCTGAGGATGCTGAGGAGGTGGAAGTTTGCGAGGTAGTTTGTTTGCCATTCGATATCGATGCCGTCTGTAGTTAGAGCTCGGGGTCCGGAGGGCTCGGCTGTTCCGCCGGCGAGGATTATACAGTCTAGTCGGCGGGGTGGGATGTTATCGATCCATTTTGTTGCGAAGGTGCGGATTGAGTGCAGGGAGGAGAGGTCGACTTGTTCGGCGTGGATTAGATGGTTTTTCGTGCTGGCGCGCAGGTCGTCGATGTATTCAGAGAGGTAGAGATCGGAGGGTGGTTGGCGGGTTAGGAGGATTACTTGGGCGCCGCGGGTTGCGAGCTCCCGGACTACTTCTGCGCCTATCCCGGAGGTGCCGCCCTGGATTGTTTTATTAGATTGATTGATTGAATGGTGGTGTATTGCTGAAGGGGTAGCTTACCGTTACCATTATCACTTTTGATCGCATCATTCGCTCGGAGGTGTTGCGGGCTCCTTCGAAATAGTATTTCAGTGCTGCGAGAGCTAGCACCCATGGTGCTATGCGGAGGAATGTCCAGGCATGCGGGATGGATGAGATGCCATCCCGAAGGCCCTGTGCAATGATGGGGATGGGCATATTTAATTGAGATATGAAGATGGAAAGAAAGGACAGGTGTGTGCCCAAAGGGATTTCTGTGTAACACGTATCTCCGCTTATCTTATCACCACCTTCTTAATTCCGCTCCGCCCCCCCCCCAAAACCTTCTTTCTTCCATTATTACCCTTCACAGCTCTACAATCCCCAACCATGGCCTCCGAAGACGAAGACTACTTCCTCCCACCGGAGGATGTGCGTCCCTTCAGCTCCGGTGTCCGCCGAAAACGCGTGCAGTTCGTGCGATCCTCCGATCTAGACACAACAGCAGCACCAGCGGCGCCCGTCTCCTCCGGCACCAGCATCGCAGACACATACCTCTCTATTGTGATGAACCGGCAAGTCCCAAGTACATCACCAAGTACACCAACCCAGCGAGCATCGTCACCACCAATCCGCACACAGTCCGCGCCACCAATTCAAGACACAATCCCGCCTCCACCTACAGCGGCGACTGCCCCCGCGGCCCCAGAATACTGCGACGTGTGCAACCTACCTATCCCGCCACAAACCTCAGCAGACGGAACAGACAAAAAAACTCGTCCCCACGAAGCTTCGCTCGCACATCAAATCTGTCTTACTCACTCCCACCCACCATCGCATCTCGATCGCACGCGCTCAGGTCTCCGGTACCTTTCTACCTACGGCTGGGATCCTGACAGCAGACTTGGGCTCGGCGCATTCGGCCGTGAGGGTATCCGTGAACCTATCAAACCTCGCGTCAAACTTGGGACTGCTGGATTGGGGACTGGGCTTGATCAAGATGGAGATCCATTGCCGCCGCGACCGCCGCCGGTCAAGGTGCAGAAGCTTAATCCCAAGGAAGTGCGGAAGAAGGCTGCGGAGGATAAGAGGAGGGCGGAGAGGATTAGGAAGGCTTTTTATCAGAATGATGAGGTTTTGAAGTATCTCGGGGAGGGAATTTAAGTGGTGGATTCTACAGATGGATGGTGGAGGGTTGGATATGCTCTTTTTTTGTTTTGTTTTGTGTTTTATGATACCCCTACTTGTTGTTTCGTTATGTGTGTTTTTACGTGGATATCAGTTTCAAATGGAGATTCTGCATTTGATTCTGTTTTAGTGCTTGACTTGAATATTTACCATGTACTAGGTATTGCAACTTGAAACTGGTGTCCAGATTCTACCTAGCATAAATTGTAGTGCAGTGAAAAAATTTCCCATGACCTAAGTCTTGATAGGACTCATCTTTGGAAAGAAATAAAAAACCGCTGAGAATAGCGCCTTGAATGCTCGGGACCAGACCAGACCAACAGAAAGATAAGGAAAAGAATGGTATGACAAAAGCGCTGGACGGGGACAGCGCATGGGAGGCAGGGTGGGATCAAGAGAGACGAAAAGAAGGAAGCTACTTGAAGAAACGGTACTTCTTCTTCTCCTTGTCTTTCTTCTCCTTATCTTTCTTGTCGTGCTTCCCGCTGCCAGACGAGGCCGGGCCACTTCCGCTTCCGTTTGATTTTATTGACATACCGGCCATCAATGCCTCTGGTGGAGCTGGGGGGTTGAGGTGTGCCGTTGAGACGGGTTTCTTCTTCTGTGGCGGCGGAGTGGGAGCTGGAGGGGCCTCGCGCTCGAAGAGATGGGCCGGAGCAGTAGGTTTGGGACGCTCGGATGGGAGGTCGAGTCGACGCCGGTCAACACTCAGGTCGCCGACCTGGCGGAGGAAGAGACCGGGGGTCAACATGTGCGTCGTAGCCAAGTAGACGTCCCGGTTGTATGACGCTGAGACTTCGCAACAGGCTCGGGACTCGCCATAGGTGGCACCACCGGCCATAAAGACGATTATGCGCTGTCGAGGCTGGTCGACAGATCTTGTGCGTGCCCAGGTCGGTTTTGCGCTGCGCAAAGAGGCCTGCTGTGACTGCATTTCTTGGGCAGCTATGGCGTTGTCCGTCTCGGTGTGCGGGCGTGTGAAGGGGAAGGAAGTCGCGTCCAGATTGCCCTGAATGTGGTCTTCGAGCATCTGCTTGATAGCTAACTCGTACCGGCTCAGGCTGACCTCCTCTGATTCGGGAGGTGGGTTTCGTCGGTTGAAAAGAGGTTGCACTGGTGGTGGCTTTTCATCCTTGAGAGGCTTCTCGACACGAACTCCAAGGAGCTCGAGGTTGGCAATCACCCCGCCGTCATGTGGTGGGAGTGCAGCGTGGGCCATAAGTTTGCGAATGTCACCACCCAGCAATCCATTACGATAGATGATGTACAGAAGTATGAGTCGAAGCCGATCTGGTGGTATAACTGCATCGTCATCAAGGAGCTGCACGAGCTGCGCTGCTAGGTTCTTTGCCTTTTTGTAGTTCTCATCAAGACCCGTGGCAAATGACTGCTCGGTGGAGCTCACTTCCAAGAGTTTGCGGGACTGGAAGTAGTTCATACATTCTTGTGCCATGTTGAGGTGCAGCGTGTAGGCATCCTTGCCCTGTTGGAATTCTGTCAGTCCGCCCAACATATCCTTGATGGTGTTCACATTGGATTTGTCGTTACTAAAATCCCAAGTTAGTAGACTCTAGTATAGGGAAGGCCTGTCAAAACTCACTCGTCTGCGAACTGGGGGTTTGCTGCTCGGAATTTGGCAAAGTCCTCGCCCAGTTTCCCAAGCACATCCTTCATATGCATATGGCGATAGTCCACCCAGACTCGATCATCCTCGCCAATCTCCATCTCCTTGACCTCCTCATTATTGGCGCCCTTATTTAAAACGGTTTTGTAGGTAACCTTGTCCCCCTCCGTGACAGGAAGAAGATCGTGGACCATGGCCTGGTATGTAAACTCGTGAAGGAGGGGTGCGAACAAGTCCATGGAGCGGTCCACTATGAACAGTACGCCTCGGGGGCGGTTTGTTTGAGGCGGGAAGTCACGCTGTTGCTGCGCGAACTGATCCAATTCATTTTGAATGAAACGTGCCAGGTGAGAGCACATAACTCCGGCCTCGTGAGTCGGAGATCGGGGCCGGTAGTACCGAATTACTGGATACTCGCCCAGAGAAGCGCAAAGAGAGACAACCTTGATTCGATGTCAGCAAGCTCAATCATACTCGGACAGCATATCTTACCTTCTGGGCCAATTCTTCTAAATGACGCCGAATCAAGTTGTTGCAACCCGGGTGGAAGAGTATCGGGAAGCTCCACGGATCCCGGAATGTAATCAATCGCGATTCTCTGGGATAGAAGTTGATGTTCATGATGTGAAAGTCCGCAATGCGCTCACGCGCCATTTGAGATCGATCAATCCGAGATCGCTGTTCCGGATCGAGGGCTATAAGCTGTGTGAGCGGAATGACGTCGCGAAGGCCTTGGGGTTCACCAGCCCACTAACATGAAGTCCACACCAAAAATGCCTTTCTGTATCGGCCCACCTCAAAATCTGCCATCAGACAGTCGACCACGTACGATTCCGGGGACAATATGTATAGCGCATCCATATCGGGATTGGACGGTCGTCGGTGTTCGAGCTGCTCGACGTCTGTATGGCATTAGTGGAATTGTTTTGGTCGCAAAGCACAAGGCGAGCTCACTGGAAACATTGAGATTGAGAATTTCCTCTTCCTTTACAGCACCATAGACCAATTTCTTGCTGGTCTCATCCACCACCAAGACTTTCCACTATTAGGGGGAGGGGTGCCGTCAGTATCCGCGCGGTAGAGGAGTGGGAGGGGTCGGGCTCACCTCATGGCCGCCGGAATTGCGGATTGTGTTCAGTATAACTAATTCAGACAGGTGAAGGTCAGCTAGGGTTCTTGTAAGAGGGTAGAAGGTGATCACCCACAGTCGCGTTGAATGTTAATTATCGAGGAGCCCATGCTGACGGGCAGCCCACAACTTGGGGTTTTAGGGTGAGACAAGAAAGAAAGAGAGAAAAAAAAAGAGTTAGGTGTAGTTTGTAAAGAAGACTTCTAAGAAGACGATCAGTTCAAGGGGAGAGTTAGGTGGCCGTCTGAGGTATATGAAGGGAAGATGGTTTTCCCCACCATTGGAGCTTTAAAGTGGATCGACTCTCGATAAGGGAACTTTTTGGTTTCTCTCTTCTTTCTTCTATCCTCTTTGATTTCCAACTTTCACTTTCTTTCTTTCAATCCTATATACGGGATTGGAGCACTAGGAATGCAGCCATGGACTGGCGGTAGTCGTTCCCTCTGTGCTTTGCGACCCTTGACTCGTTTCGCTGTACGACCTTTCACCACAACCTCGGTCTTTCACCGATCGAGAAAGTTCAAACCCGGTATCTCGGACAAAAAGCCCGACACAAAAAAAGGCAAATCACTTGTGGGAGCTTCAGTCTCGAGGTCTATTCGACAGGATATTGCAGCCGCACGAGATTTCAATGACTTGGTGGAAGCAACCCTGCGCGATGTACACAGCAAGTTGAGTAAATCAGGCGACTCGCTAGAAGGATGGACTCAATTCGAACGTCAAATCAAAAACGCCTGCAAATCAGATGATAAGAAGACATCTATACAATGGGGACCCCTTCGGCAAATCAAGGTAGCGCTGCAAAAGGCCTACCTCGCCTCCGGACTTCAGGGGTTGCGGGAGGAGGTAGAATACATGCAGTATTCGGAAAGCCTCACTGCCAGGTTTTCAGCGCCCATTCTGGAAGCACAGGAAGAAGTAGCCGACCTTCGATGGCCAGCCGAGTGGTATCCGCGCGCACGATCGATGCAGCGAACAATCCATCTCCATGTCGGGCCGACGAATTCCGGAAAGACCTATCATGCGCTACAGCGGCTGGCGAAAAGTAAGAATGGGTTCTATGCAGGTCCGTTGAGATTGCTCGCGCAAGAAGTATATCATCGTTTCAAGGCAGACGGGGTTCCATGCAGTCTCGTCACCGGTGACGATGTCAAGTTCCCCGAGAATGATGAAGTGCCGCGTATTACCAGCAATACTGTGGAAATGGTCAGCCTGGGCCAGGAATACGATGTTGGTGTGATTGATGAGATCCAAATGATTGCTAACTCATCAAGAGGATGGGCATGGACTCGAGCTTTCCTTGGTGCTCAGGCAGCAGAGCTGCACCTGTGCGGTGAAACCCGCTCCATCCCATTGATTCGAGAGCTATGTGCACTTACGGGAGATAATTTGGAGGTTCACCGCTACGAACGTCTGAACGGCCTAGAAGTGATGCCGCACAGTTTAAAGGGTAATCTCAATAGCCTTGAAAAAGGTGACTGTATAGTCGTCTTCTCCCGGAAAGGTATACACGCTATGAAGGCAGACATTGAGAAGACCACCGGAAGACGCGCAGCCATCGTTTACGGTGGTCTGCCAGCAGAGATTCGGACCCAACAGGCGAATCTATTCAATGACCCAGAAAATGACTATGACTACCTTGTGGCAAGTGACGCGATTGGCATGGGTCTTAATCTGTGAGTTCTACCCTCATTATATTTGCGTTTCCATACTAACCCCATGATAGGAGCTGCAAGCGTGTTATTTTTGACACCCTCGTCAAGCGTGTCCCGACTGGACTTCAACGGCTTACTGTTCCTGAGATCAAACAAATTGGTGGGCGTGCTGGTCGATATCGTCCAGCCAACGTCACGGAAAGCACAAGCGAGGAGCCTAACGTGGGCCTGATCTCCTGTCTCGAAGAGGTTGACCTTCCGTATATTCAGCAGGCTATGAAGTTGGAGCCTCCACCGCTGAGTGCGGCGGGAATCTTCCCTCCAGAATCTGTTTTCCGGAAATTCGCCGCCTATTTCCCACCAGGTGTACCTTTCGAATATCTGATCAAGCGGGTCCTAGAAATTGCCAAGGTCAACCCTTTGTTCTTCCTGTGTGACCCTACCGGTCAGTTGGGGAACGCCGAAATTATCGACACTGTGAAAGGACTGCCATTTGAGGACCAGTTGAAGTTCATGGTTTCTCCAATGGACCGTCAAACTGCAAGCGCGCGTGATGTTACTGGTGCTATGGCAGACTGTGTAGCCGAACACCATGAAGGGCGACTGTTGGATATTGCCAACCTCAACCTGGAAGTCATCGAGCAGCCCGTGTCTGGCAGCAACGACTATTTACATGATCTGGAGAGCCTTCATAAGGCAGTTATCTTGTACCTGTGGCTCAGTTTCCGATTCGGTGGTGTCTTCACTGACAGAACTCTGGCAAGTCATGTCAAGGAACTTGTTGAAGAGCGGATGGTTCGGGCATTGACTGAATTCTCCGCCAACAAGAGACTGCGGAAGGGTGCTTCACTGAAGCGCCAGATTGCGCTACAGAAACAGTTGTTGGAGCAGGAACGTATGGGAGTTGCCGCAGACTGGATGCAACCTTCTGGTGAAGGAGGTGAGATGGAAATGAGTCTGCCCGAAGAAGTTGCTTCGGAGGTAGCGGAGGCTGCAGAGGGTGAATCGTCTGACGCCGAACTCTCATTATTTGAGCCATCACCGGAGGCAGAGAGCGAGGAAGAGGGCTCATCCCCTGACTTGGAGTCTGAACCAACGGAGTCATACTATGATACAGAAGTCCCCAGACAGTGAGAAACATGTATACCAACAATATGTATATTAGATGTATAAAACCGATCTCCAATACTTAATACCTAATCTCTGTATATTTCCCTATTTTTTCTTATCTATTTTCGCTTGAATTCGCCTCTCCTTCGATAAAAGTTGAATCTTCCCAACTTTTAGTATTATATTGTCACCATAAATCCATCAAGTCTCACTGATCTCACTGCCCAGGTGCTTTTTGGTACATAAATCGTGCATACCGCCGTATCTTATCGGTGGCAACTTTCGGCTGCACTAATTTTCCGCCTTCAAGATCCCGAACTGCCTCCGAGAGCTACAGGCAGTGTTTTGCGCGCTCGCCAATTCACAAGTCATTTGTCCAGTTTTGCTGGCTCTATCTTTTATTTGGTTGGAAATCTTTTGTTCCACCGCCCATCATGGATGACCTCGAGTCTCTCGAGCTGTTCTCGCTCGTCTCGCGCGTGACGAACGAGCTCGAGAATCACCTGGGAATCGCCGACAAGACACTCGCAGAGTTCGTGATCGACCAGCACCTCAAATGCAATGGCAAGTTCTCCGATTTCAAGCAATTTTTCGACGACATGGGCGGCGACTTCCCCGATAGTCTCTTAGAGAGTGTCGACCGCATGGTGCTCACGATGCACCCCAAGTACAAGGGAAAGAAAGCGGAGAACGACAAGGGAGCTTCTCATGGCAACGATGATATGGATATACTTGATGCTCTGGAGCAAAAGTCCCGCGTGTTTAAAGGCCTTGCGGTCCCCGATACGGAGAAGCGCTGGGCGGAAGAAGACTACACAGATCGCCAAGCGGTAGACGAGACCGATGCGCAAGCAGGTGCGATGGACGATACTTTCGCCATGCTCGAGGGATTGGCAGGAAAAGCGAAGGAGGATAAACCACATGCACCGAGAAACGATCGCGGGACTAGGAAGCGGAGCCGCAGCCCCGAACACAACGATTACGACCGTGGACGGCGCAGAGACAAATACCGCTCGCGATCAAGGTCTCGAAGTGGCACGCGGTACAACAAAAACGATGATCTCGTGGACGAGTTCGGTAGATCGATTGGGAAATACGGCAACCGGGAAGACAGCCGTCGCAATGGCCATAGCGACCGTCGGAGGCACCGTGATCGCGACGAGGATGATGATTTCCGCCGTCCCCCGCCTGTCGAACTGGATGACCACCCCGTTCTTTTCAAGGTCTACGATGGAACCGTAACCGGTGTGAAAGATTTCGGTGCCTTTGTGAACCTAAAGGGTGTTAAGGGCAAGGTAGATGGTCTTGTTCACGTTTCAGCAATGCAAGAAGGAGCGCGAGTGAATCATCCCTCAGATTTGGTCTCGCGGGGCCAACCAGTCAAAGTCAAAGTGGCTACTATCGAAGGCACTCGCATCGGACTGTCCATGAAGGAGGTGGATCAAGTGACAGGCAGGGATCTTGTTCCCCAGAAGCGCCTTGCTTCTGGTGCAAATATGGAACGCCTCGATGGGGGATTCGCAGATGATAATTACGGCAGCCTCGCCTCCGATGTGCCCGTCATTGAAGGGTCCGGAGGTCGGCCAATGAGGAACCGAAAGCGCATGACTTCGCCAGAGCGGTGGGAGATCAGACAATTGATTGCCTCCGGTGTTGTCTCTGCAGCAGATTATCCCGACATCGACGAGGAATATAATGCAACGCTCACCGGCGAAGGAACATTCGAAGAGGAGGAAGATATCGACATTGAGGTCAAAGACGAGGAGCCTCCTTTCTTGGCTGGCCAGACGAAACAATCCCTTGAACTTTCTCCTATTCGTGTTGTCAAGGCTCCTGATGGTTCAATGAACCGTTCTGCAATGGCAGGCACTAACCTTGCCAAGGAGCGACGCGAATTGAAGCAGCAGGAATTACAAGACAAGGCCGCCGAAAAGGCGGCTGATGTCGATCTGAATGCTCAATGGCAGGACCCCATGGTTGCACCTGAAGAGCGAAAGTTTGCTGCTGATCTTCGGAGTGCTCAGCAGCCCAAGCAGGACGAGGCTGTACCGGAGTGGAAGAGAGTAACGATGGGCAAGAATGCATCTTTTGGAAAGCGAACGACCATGTCCATGAAACAACAACGCGAGAGTCTGCCAGTCTACAAATTCCGGAAGCAATTGCTGGATGCAGTGAAGGACAATCAAATGATGATTGTCGTCGGAGATACAGGTTCTGGAAAGACGACGCAGTTGACCCAGTACCTGGCTGAGGGCGGATACGGAAACAACGGAATGATTGGTTGCACCCAGCCTCGTCGTGTCGCTGCCATGTCAGTGGCTAAACGTGTGGCTGAGGAAGTTGGTTGCAAGCTCGGAGCAGAGGTTGGATATACCATCCGTTTCGAGGATTGTACCAGCCCAGACACCAAGATCAAGTACATGACGGATGGAATGCTCCAGAGAGAAATTCTTCTGGATCCAGACCTCAAGAGATATTCCGTTATCATGCTTGACGAAGCACACGAGCGGACAATCGCGACTGATATCTTGTTCGGACTGTTGAAAAAGACAGTTAAACGAAGACCCGATCTCAGATTGATTATCACTTCCGCCACACTGGATGCTGAAAAGTTCTCCGAATACTTCCACGGCTGTCCCATTTTCTCCATTCCCGGCCGAACTTTCCCTGTCGAAGTCATGTACTCCAAGGAGCCTGAATCTGATTATCTGGATGCTGCCCTGATCACTGTCATGCAAATTCACTTGACAGAACCGCAAGGTGACATTCTGCTTTTCTTAACGGGTCAAGAAGAGATCGATACGGCATGTGAAATCTTATTTGAGCGCATGAAAGCTTTGGGACCTACTGTCCCTGAACTGGTCGTCTTACCTGTCTATTCTGCACTACCCAGTGAGATGCAGAGTAGGATTTTCGACCCAGCACCCCCAGGCGGACGTAAAGTCGTCATCGCAACAAATATTGCAGAGACCTCGATCACAATTGATCAGATTTACTACGTTATTGATCCCGGATTCGTCAAGCAGAACGCCTACGATCCGAAGCTCGGCATGGATTCCCTTGTGGTCACTCCAATTTCCCAAGCGCAAGCTAAGCAAAGAGCTGGCCGTGCCGGAAGAACGGGACCTGGAAAGTGTTTCCGATTGTATACGGAGGCTGCCTATCAGTCCGAAATGCTCCCAACATCCATCCCCGAGATTCAACGTCAGAACCTCTCACATACCATCCTCATGCTTAAGGCAATGGGTATCAACGACCTCCTCCACTTCGATTTCATGGACCCACCGCCTACCAACACCATGTTGACAGCACTCGAAGAACTATATGCCTTGTCAGCACTTGATGATGAGGGTCTTTTGACTCGACTCGGACGAAAGATGGCCGATTTCCCTATGGAGCCTGCGCTTGCCAAGGTGCTCATTGCATCCGTGGATTCAGGCTGCTCCGATGAAATGCTTAGCATTGTCGCCATGCTGTCAATCCAGTCTGTCTTCTACCGCCCCAAAGAAAAGCAGCAACAAGCAGACCAAAAGAAGTCCAAATTCCACGATCCGCACGGTGATCATCTAACCCTCCTCAATGTCTACAACGGTTGGAAGAACGCAGGCTTTAACAACTCCTGGTGCTTCGAGAACTTCATCCAAGCACGACAGATCAAGCGCGCCCAAGATGTGCGTCAGCAGCTGCTCGGCATTATGAACCGCTACAAGCACCGGATCGTCTCTTGCGGCCGGGATACCATGAAAGTGCGACAGTCCCTGTGCACCGGCTTCTTCCGCAACGCAGCACGCAAAGACCCCCAGGAAGGATACAAGACCCTGGTTGAAGGAACGCCTGTGTACATGCATCCTAGTTCCGCGATGTTCGGCAAACCGTCCGAGCACGTCATCTACCACACCTTGGTCCTCACGAGCAAGGAGTACATGCACTGCACCACTGCGATTGAGCCGAAATGGCTCGTGGAGGCGGCGCCAACTTTCTTCAAGGTTGCGCCTACGGATCGATTGTCGAAGCGTAAGAAGGCGGAGCGTATCCAGCCTTTGCACAACCGCTTTGCTGGCGAAGACGATTGGCGTATTTCTGCCCAGCGGCGGCAGGGCAGAGGTGGTGGTGGTGGAACTTGGGGTTGATTTTTGTTTTCAAAGATACCAGTTATGGTTGCAATCGTGCTTCTTTTTTTTGCGTCTTATATCTCTCTATCATCGTGCTTTTGCATGAACCACTTAGCTTAAAATATTGGGGTTACTTTTTTTTTGAATCTAGTTGTATGATATCTAGATGGGAATAATTTACTGATTGTTCCATTCACCATTATTCCTCAATAATACTGGCGGTTTAAACTAGCAAATAGCCTTGGTTGTAAATATTCCTGTCTGGTGCAGAGGATGGAAGGATTTATTCTCGTCTTTTATGAATATTCCGAAGGCATCAGTCTGGTCTGTTCCGTACAGAGATCGAACCTACACCCACAGTTTCTTGTAATGATGCTTGGAATATGTGCAGTTGGTCCTTCGCAGATTGTTAGTGCAAGATCCCTGGTTATTCATGGTGCTAGACAAGAAGATAACCTCCCTAGGCCATAAACAGGAGTCTTGTTTGCTCCGTTGAGCTGTATTACTTCCTGGAGAGAAGTCGTCTGTATATCTTGGAGTGATAAATATGTCTACTCCGAGCCAATATAGGATAGTTTGTTTTACAGAAGAGATTCGAAGCTAAACGATCAAATGTATTGGAATAAGATCACAACATAGACGGAAACCCAGTCTACTATATCTTAGAATGAATCCAAATCCTTCGAAACAAAAACCCAGGCATCGCTTAAAGCGGAATCCATCTGGTCGATGTCAGTAGCTTCCATGGAACAGTAGGATTGTCAAATGGCCTTCCAGCCCAGTGATTCTTCATCTCCGTGCTTGGGAACTTTGGTGCTATTACTCACCTCAATCCCACAGCCCCTAACCTTCAAAATATCGCGAAGCCGACGAGTCATGGTCTTCTTGCAGTGGACGTCCATTACATCGATCTTGCACTCGATTTGTTTAACAAGACTATCCATCCGGGAGGTCTTTCCCATCCTCTGCTTGTACAACATAATTTGTTTATGAGGACCCGCAGTGGTCATCTCGGCATCGAGAGTTGCGATATCCTTCACGAGGTCCTTCAGCTCAGCCATCAGGCCTTTGATGGCGTCGACGGTAGAGGGTTTAGCCATGATTGAAAGGATGGGATGATGGAGAAGATAAAGGTGTTGATGGGAGGATAAGTAAAAGAAGTAGATGAAACTGAAGTAGTAAATCAACTAGATAAATTAGATGAAGTAGAAGAACTGGTAGAACTGGAAGAACTAGAGAAGCTGGAGGAGGAAGGCATAGATCAAACAATTAGACGGTACAAATAGCCCGTAAAGTCATTTCCTAGTTGACAAGATGGGATGAGACGCGAGTCTTCGAAATATAAACATATCATCATGAAACACGCACCGAAATCCGAGACAGGTGCTATAGGACTATAATATGGTGACAAGAGATTAGCAATACACAAGTATTCGATATAGCACAAATAACATGAGAGAACACACAAAATTGCAACACGCATCGGTTTCGTAGTGCCCAGCAACATAATAGATGTTGCTCCTCACACAACTACGGACTCTACCTGGGATAGCTCGCGAACAAGGAAATACATCACCATGGGCTCCGTTCCGCCATACTGGGAGTAGTCCACCGAGACCGTATCTAGCAGCCGAAACCCAAGGCTGAGATATAGCTTCAGTGCAGCCGGTTCCGACATCACATAGGTCTTTATTCCTTGCTGATCAGCAATCTGCAGTCCACTTTGCACGAGCATTCTCCCAATACCTCGGCGCCAGAAAGAAGGGTCTGTCGTCAAATAATCAAGAGCTGGAGAGGGTTATCAGTCATCTACCTGAGTGATATATCGGCATGCATCTTACTCAGAAAGGGTCCACCTGGCATAATTCGAGCATCCGCTGCTTCGAGAGGCGCACTGCGATAACGCATCATCTCGCCGCCCTTTAAGCCTATAGGCTGTCCATTCCGGGAGTTCTCTTGATACTGTTTCTCGTACGCTGCGCGGTCGGCAGGAGTCCTTTCAGCGACCTTTGCCTCCAGCCAGACATCGCCCTTACTTGCCAGAATTGGAGGGAGGGACCATCGCGCATACCCCACCACTTGACCGGTCTCAACATCGATAACCTTCTGATGTCGTTTGGTTTCTGTGCCGGTCATCAAAGTCCAAGGAACGCGCTCGATCGCCCTAGGAATGATACTTTCGGGAGATGGGCTCTCCCACAGAGCTCTCCAGTGAGGATCGGTGAGACGAGCCCCCATCATAGTCGTTGCAAGGCCAGGAGCGTCTTCCGGGCAACAGGGCTGAATGATAAATGCCATCATGGAGGATGAGGAGAAGGTTTGATTCAACTTCTGACTGGGAGGGTAGACTGGTGGATGCACAGAGGAAGTGTTTTAGGAGGTTTCGGTGCAGGTAGTAATGTGCAGGGGAGGGGTCAGGTGAATTACTAGGCTAATCTTAACACAGCCCTAGAGGGCTCCAGGTAGCAGTCAATTACTACATCCTATCCCTCGACCTAGTCGCTTTTAGGCAATGCGGCTGAGATGATTGCCTGGGAGCTGTGTAGTGTATAAGCTGATAATGATCGGCATTAGACACTAGACACAGAAATGAACAGCCTGTCAGCTTTGTCAATGCCGGTGACTCCGATAAGCAGCCCTGGAAGCTGTATGAATCGAGGCCATTGATATCACCCTCAAAAGAGGATCCAGTCTCATTTCTGTATAGCTGTGTCTCACTACCGGTCTGGTTAGATTGGTATTTCAAAGATATATAAATAAAACTATATATGCCTAGGTGTTACAGTGAAATGATGTAAGTGATCTTGTCTCCACTTATCGGAGGCTAGCCACACACCGCCTTGATATTAATTCAGCAGAAACAGGCGGTGTATCCACACTTTTTGTCCCGGGCGGAGACCTCGGCCAATCAATTGGAACTGTCGGTATCGGATCTGAAGATAAAAAAAATAAGTTACAACACCCAACCCATCAAATCATGTCGCACGTCACAGAACATCCCTCTCGGGCGAAGAGAAGAAAGATCGATGATCCGAAAGAGAAAACGAACGTCACATCCAATATCAAGTCTGCTGCGTCGTTGCGCGAACTGTTGGCTGTCCAGCAAAATGCCCCATTGGCAAAGCAAGGTGAGGCAGATCGCAAGCCATCCAAAGCTAGACCGAAACTAATTGGCAGATAGGTATAATCAAGTTTAAAGAGTTCTTGGTGTCAATTGCACACACCGAAGAAGCGAGCGAAAAATCAGAGAAATTGCGTGTTCTGAAGGAGTATTGCGATAAGCAAATCACCAACTCCGGAAAGGAGGACGAGACCTCAGTGTGCTTTGCAGACCTCATTCAATCGTGGTCATTTGGTGATAGCAATAACAATGAGCCTTTGTTGACCAGTGTGCCTTCTGTTCTTGCGATCTTCCTCAAGACGATTTCGTCGGAACTGGAGTTCCGGGAATTCGGAATCGCCCTGTGCAAACATTTGCTGCAGAAAGACCAGCTGAGATTGTTTAACCGCGGTCTGACAGCAACCAAGTCCAAAGAGCATTTGATCTCACCATGTCTCCGTTTGCTTACGGAAATTGTGACTTTTGACGGAGGAGCAGTGGCACGACAGCTGTACCTCCGCCGGTACATTACCTTTAAGCGACTAGAGGTCTTCTTGACCCCGAACAAAGCGCAAGAGAGCTCAGAGGATGAGACTCACAAGTCCACCCTCAGACGGAACGCTCAGCGATACCTGCTAGCGAACCTGAGAGTTCAGCATGCCTCCGAGAAGGGCGATATCATCGAACAGCACAAGATCACCAGATCTTTCCTCGAATATATTCGGAAGGATCCGCGGGATACTGTACTGGAAATTATCAAGGCTATCGAGAGAGACGTGGTACAAGATTCCGCTCTGCCCCGCAAATCGAAGAGCAAGTTTTTCAACAGACACAATCTCGAACGACTGGTGACGCTTTATGGCTACGATCGGGAGTCAGATGAACCTAATGCTGGAGGGGTTATCATCGCCAATGAGATCCACCGAGTCATGATGAATGTGTGCAAAACCGCCGGGCTCGGCGTTCTCTTGCCCGAAACCGGCTGGTATCCCGTCGGAACCGATCCAGAGACCTTGGCTGTCGATGACGATGCGTGCATTGAATTGGGACTTGATTCCCCCATCTACGTCGACAAATACAGAGACTCCATCCCCGTGCGGAATGGTTCCCTTTCATTCCTCATCCAGTGCCTTCGGCCTGATGTGGATAGTCTTCAGATTGAACTGCTGGTGTCAATCTTCAAGGTGGCACCAGAGCTCATTGCTGATTACTTCTCGAGGAAAACCATGTTCATTTCAGACCCCAAGGCTACCCCTTCATGGATGGCTGAGTCGGCTTTCCTTTTCTCCACTGTGCAGTTGCCCGTCCCTGCAAACTGTGGCTGGAAGGATAAGCAGCCTATCCTGCCACCGCCCGTTTCTATCGTTATTGAAAATATTCTCCCTCGCCCCCTTAACCAGAAGATCATGACCCGCTGCCTCAACCAGAATGCGGAGATTATCACTTTGTTCGCCGTGCGAATCCTGACTCTCGCGTTCACTAAGCTGCGAGCTGTTCTCAAAATCTTCCAGGCGGATCACGGCCAAGGTCAGCTATTCTGGAACCAGGCTTCTGCTAAGTTGCTGGCAGAATTCTCCCGCCGTTGCCCTGCTGTCAAGGACGTCGTTGTCCTCTTCCGACGAACAGAAAAGGAGGATCTGACCCAGCAAGAGGCTGTTGCAGAGCTCTTGACCTGTTACTATGAAGTGATGCCGGACATTGCTCTGGAGGAAAACTTTGACGTCTCACTAGTCTTGGTGGATGTTCTCAAGAGACTGGAAGCCCCCGATGTTAGCGCGGATGATTCCGAATCGCTGTTGAGCCAACTTCAGAGCATTCTCCAGATCGCACAACAGTCCGCCTCATTGCGTTGGTGGCAAAAGCCAGCATCCATGCAATACTCACCCTTCACTTCGATCCTCAAGGTTCTCATGGATACTTCAGATAAAGACTCTTCGCGGCGTATCTCTACCTTGCTCAAGACCGTTCTGGTTGATAACTCTGTTCTGCAGAGCTCCCCACACGCGTTTGCGTCTGTCTTGTCAAGCCTTGAGAATTCAGAGGCCGATGCTTTGCATCAACAACTCGTCTTCTTTGATAACTGTGTCTCACGTGTCGCCAAGAAGCCCGTTCACTACCAGGATCTGCTACAGTCATTATCCGAAGATGTGTCCAGAACCACTAGCGCGCTTGTTGCTGCCATTGTTGAGCAATGGCCGTTTGTTGTCAAGAGCGGAGATGCATCCACGGAAGCTGCCGTTGGAGCCTGGATCGCAAGTCTTCTGGGTAATCTGAAGCATGCGGGTGAGAGCACCAAGGTGCTCAAAGCTGCTCGGGATGCGTTGGTTGAAGCAACTGAGACCAAGAAAATCAAGTCTCTTCTTAAGAAGTCTTTGAAGGAGGCCGATGATGTTGATAATGAAGACAAGATGGATATTGACTCTGGCTCCAACGTGCCTAATTCATCTACCAAAGCCTCTACCGTTGACCTCGATGAGATCTTCGGATTCCTGCCCACCGAAGGCACGACCCACAATGCCCTGAACAAATGGGAAAGAGAGGAAATTGCCGAAGCTGTGGATCAGGGTCACATCGCCGAGTTGATGCTCTGCCTGTGTTCTGAGCACGAAGAAGTCCGAAGACAGGCCTTTGCCAACATTATTCGCTTCATGGCCAAACTCAAGGAATCTACCTACGCAGAATGGCGCACGGTGTTCACCCTGGCCGGTGAGCTCCTCGAGACAGTTAACATAATTGGCATGGACAAGCCCGTTCCTTGGATTGTTGGCGAGTGCGCCTCAAACTGCCTGGCGGTTCTCACAGACCCCCTCCACAAGGTCTACGGCAAAGTCAACAAGTTCCTCCAGAAGGCACCATTCTGGGAAGTTGAGAAGATCCCAACATACTGGGTGGATAAGATCCTCCTGCACGAGCCTGAATTGGATGATGGATACTTCGATGAGATCGACTGGCTCCTGAACCTCTTTATCAGGGCACTCCGCACCGAGGCTGTAAGTTGCTACCTTTCGATTTTACACTTCAAAATCACCATTGCTAACACATTGAATCTAGGATATGGAGGTTTACCGCCGAGCTAATGTCTTTGAGCGCATTCTTTCCCTCTACCAGTCCCCCACCCTCGTCCCAGGAGCTCGACGAAAGATCCTGCAGATTGTGTACCGTGCCGCCCAGGTGGGTGGTAGTACTACTCTGATCACCCGTTCTGGTGTAATCAGTTGGATTCAAATCCAAGCTGCAGAAGCTGATGCGAAGGAGGCTGCTCAGCTTGCGGCACTTGCCCGTGCTTTGTATGAGAAGTGTGACCGTGAGCGAGTTGATGCCTGGAGTAATGGGACGCTTGGGCGAGTCGTTGATGAGATTCAGGCGCAAGTTTGAGGTCGAGTTTGTACAATAGATTGTTTGGAATGGGATTGGCGTTGCCTTTTGGGACATATGTAGCTAAAATTCACTCGAGTCCCTTTCTTTCTACAATATAACAAGAATAGGTATGTCTTGTCTTGCCTTTTTTGAAGTCTTTTCAGAAGTCTCAGACACTTTTGCAATCTGTATTTCTCATATTTTTCTCCCTTGTTGTTAACCGCACAATATGTGATATTCTTTCCTTTTCCTGCCAACAACCACTAACTAAAAAGACGTAGAGCAAATTAATAACCTATAATAGTGAGGATTCCCTGGTGCCCCTGCCCCCCCCCCCCCCCCCCAACTACTAACTTACCGGCATCTGGCTTCGATCAATGGTTCTGTGGGTGCGGCTGGGTGAAGAAAGAGGCTTCTATAATGGCGTCTCATAATGGGATCTTCGAGCGGTATAATTACGTCTCATTATTCTCAAAAAAGATAATTGAAATTAAAAGACATTATTTTCCGATTGAGTACAAAAGTACATTTAATTCACCTGAAAGTCACAAAGTCACCTAATGCTTGTGTTGGGCTTCAACCGCGATTTCATCCCTTTACAACTCCGACATCACATTTGGTGTAAATAACACATAAGATGTCCACAACCTCATTCGGAAGTCCCAATACATTCCTGGTCTGCGTTGCCATAAATAAAATACCAGTTAGGTTTATCCCCAAAGGTGGGTTGGAAGTATCACCAAAATGGTCTACTTTAACCAAGTTATACATCAGCTCTATGGCCAATTTGTATGATTCCTTTTCACCAGCCCCCGGACTACGTCGCCGACGAGTAAATCCTAGATCAAATCCGGAAGCTCTCCACGCCAGGATCTCTAATAGCTTTAATTGGATTGGGGGATACTAGGTAGGTTCAAAAGTCGGAATCAATCCCGGCTTTCAAACCGCTAATACGAAAGACATAGTCAGCTATGGAGTACTATGCTCGAGTTCATCGTCAATCGACAGACATATGCGTGTTCTGGATCGATGCAAGCAGCGCAGCCTGGTTTTAACAGAGCTATCGACGCATTGCCGTGCTTGCCAAGATTCCTCGCTCCGATAACCCTGATGCAAACATTTTTCAACTCGTACAAGACTGGATAAATAACAGGGATGGATTCTTGTTTTAGACAATGTTGATGACGATGACTTCCTCGATACTCCGCCGCGAACAAACCGAGATTCGAAAAAGCCTCACAGAGGATATATCCCTCATAGTGATTGCGGATCGGTCATTACGACTACACGCAACAGGAGCACGGCACTGAGGAGTACAGAAACATGCAATATCATTCAAATCACTCGTGGGTGAATTCGCAAGACTTTTCTATTATGGTCTATACACCTTCGTCTTCGTGTTTTATTGTATCCTACTTTATCACGGGTAGTTCAGCTATACCCCATCAAATTTATATATTCTACTACCATGTAGGTACTATATACTATTCCGTACTCCGTAGTACTATGCTAGCTATAGGGAGTACTAGATTAGGTAGAGCGTAGCGTGGATAGGGCCTATACTTCTTTTATTGACCTTAGTTTTATGTAATCTTATTTATCAAACTACGCTATATCGACTGTCATATTGGATATCCCTCTGAGAGGTTCTAGTGGCGGAGAAGCGCAGTGAGATTGCCTTCGTTAGACCCTAAGTATCACCCGCAATATACTAAGACGCAGGGCAGTCTAGATCACGGAGTCTCGAGCAACAACTCTGGATGCACATCCTCATCATAGCACTCCCCCAGACCTCGCTCGACAGCCGGCCGCACCGCAATGCGATCCACCCACTGTTGTAAATGAGGTAACTGGGCCAATTCATCCTCCGAGAATCCAATGCGTCGAATATTTCGTATCCAAGCCCAGGCGTTGATATCAGCAATGCTGTATTTCCCCTCGTCCTTCCCAGCCAAATATTCCCGTGCGCCACCACCAAATCTCCCCGAAAGACGGATTTCAAGTACATCGTAAACTCGTAGCAGTTCCCGCTTGAAACGATCCACGTCTAGATTGTCTTAGCAAGCATATATAGAAGCTCCAAGGGTAACCCACGAGTTTGCTCATTGTTTCGGAAAAAATTATATTGTCCTTGATTGGGTTGTCCCGAAGCATGCCAGAATATTAGCCATTGAAATGCCTCACTTTGTTCAATGGGATCCGAAAACCAGAAAAGATTGTTTCTGTCCAGATTGACGAGATATAACAGTTCAGCAGATGATTCCATGACTACATGGGGCGGACTTGTATCGTTGTCGATTAAGATTGGGATACGTCCTGGATTCTTTATTAGTCTGGGAAATGAAATATTCAAAGGAAAAGAGGTACCATTGGGATTTAATCTGAGAAACCAGTCTTTTTTCTGCTCGTTTTTATCGAGGTCGATCAGACTTGTTGTCCATGCAAGGCCGTAGGCATCCTTGAGTTCTTCGAGAAGAATGTGGACTTTTCTTCCGTTTGGGGTTAAAGAAGTTATGAGGTGTAAGCCCTGTGACAGTCAACTCTGGTAGAAGGTAAAGGGTATCTATCTTCACTTACTTGGGCTTTCTTCACCCGTTCGGGGGTTTCTGCGACATAAAAAGACATCTTAGATGCAACAAAAAGTTCAGGAATATGGAGAATTGGTCGGAAGAGTGAAAGAAAAGGAAAAGCGATGTAACCTTGAAATCGACCAGGGTCTCATGCTTTAATGGCGTGATAGATGCATTGCATGAAAAGTGGCCGGTGTACGGTAGATCCTAGGGGGTATAGAGATAGCTTACGCAATACAAATGGAAACCTATCCTGTAGCCTTAAGCTCCAATTAGCACTCGGACTATGGAGTGTTTTTACTTTATTTTCTTAGTGTAGATGCTCTATATATATATGTTCGCTACTAATTGTCAATTCCAAGAGTGGTTTGAAATGGCGCTTGATACTCTAAAAAAGACCTCTTATATAAACCTCCTGTAAAATAAAATCGTATACATCCAGAAGATTAAGGAATAGCAGTATGGTCAATAACCCATTGACGAATCTCCCAGAAATTGCGGCATTTATGATTTGAACGGAAATCGGCACGCTCTCCGAACGGCGCCTGCTTTGTTAGAAATGGAAGATAAGGTGGAGGACTTGCTTACATTTGGATCTAATTCTATAAGAATCGGCGTCACATCAGACGTACCTAGGAAGTGTTAGAGTTGTGGTATACCATCGCCGACTGCATACTTACACATAATGTTTGCTCGTAAAACCTCGATGCAATGATCTGCCAACGTCAACACATGTCCATACATTTGGATAAACGTACCTAGATGCATCCTCGTGAGCTTGGGGTCTCCATAAAGACTTCCCGGTAAGTCAAGTCCTTGGTCAAGCCAGTGCTCTTTGTAGGACCATTGTCGGAGCATGTGCTAGAAGTGGAAATTAGTAATTATCCCTAAAGACAATTTTTTCAAAAGCATACCACACAATGCAGCTGATGAAGGACTTCCAACTGAGCCGCATATCCGGTTCCCACCTCCGGTGGAACATGTTTGTATGTTCTGCCTGAATGTGATTTGTTCATGACGCCCAACTTGTCTTCAGGAACCTCGAATGCGCCCTCTGCTCCAGTATTCCAATCAGCTGTGAAGTCTCAACAGTTCATATCAGATCACGTACGGTGCCACAGTTTCTCCCACATTACCTCCCTCTCGGGGGTTGGGGGGCCACGGTAGTCTGTTTTCTCGTTGAAGTATAGTGGAAGGTCGTACTCGGAATACTTGATCAAGTCAGGTTCTCCAAGAAGAGGGGCTATGTTCATTAGCTCTGTTGTGTCCATTTTCCCTGGCTGACAAGACGTCAGGCGAAAGAACTTACAGTATGCTGATACTTTTCGGGCGCATTCAAGATCTGAATCTGACTCTGAGTACCTCATTTGAAAAGCAAGAATGAGTCCAGCTGTCAGCAGAATGAGAGCAATTGATTCCAGAACACAAGTAATGCGCAGAATTCGCAGAGACTTGCGTTGGTAGAATCCAATCACCAAATTCTCGGACGACTCCTCCGATTTCTCTGTTAGCGACCTCGAGCCATGTGAGATGAAAGGTCGGCTCTCCTCAGACATCTTCAGTGTGAGATGAAAATGCCTTGTATGTCTCTTGCTCTCGGATATTGCCTTCCGTCATAGAAAATCCTAAGCTTTTGCAGAAGACTGGCCTCGGAATATGTTTAAGCAATTATCTTATCAGTGCAGATGCACTTGGTTGAGTATGAATACGGAATGAAAAATTCGTATTGAAAAACAAAGTGATACATAATTCGTAAGTCATCTAGGGTACACCTTCAGCCGCAGGAAGAGGTCTATGCTTCCCCTAAAAGCACGCATATATATCACGTCAAAGCGGACTAGTTTCCATCTCACGGCCAGGAAGCATGATTTCGTCGTTGCCTCGCCTCAGTCTAGCCCACCCCCTTTCTCCCACCTTAAGATCTACCATCCAAAGCAGATGCGCGATTTTAGCCATTGGCTCGTCCGAAGGAGCGCTGCGACGCGAATAGATCGACGGGACATATCAAGCTCGGAAGGTCTGACAAAGGCCCGCGGGTTGTCACAGCATCCAGCAGTGCAACACAACCCCAGGCAAGGAGCGGGAGGTGGGGCAATCGGCAGCATATGTCAAAGTCGGTCAAAAGTTGCATAGGCTCGTTCCATATCAAGGCCCACAGAGCCGGATATGATGCATCTTTCCTCGTAGCAAGATTTACCTCTAATTGTTATGAGAGATAGAACAAGGCTGTAATTATTGTTTTAGGAGACTGACTATTCTCAACGCAGCGTTAGCGAATATCACATTTGAGCTGCGGTGAAAGGTGACCAAAGGGGCAACGGTGTCGGATGAGGCGGCAACTCCAGCGAGATGTAAGGCGCAAGAGGTGGTGGGGGCGAGAAAGAAGGAAAGGGAAAGTGAAGGAAGAGGGCGTGCGGTTAAGGTTGTGAAAAATAAAGATTGGAGAAAGTTGGAATGTGGCACGGAAGACAGTAGGTCTTGGCAATGCTTGATATGAGGACTATGTACATAAGCTTGTATATGTGGACTTCATATATCTCTTAAATATCTTATAGTAGAAGCCAACCACAAATTCTTCTTAGGGGTCATCCGAGCAACAAAGATTATATCAAGTCATGATGGCCTTAGTATTGGATAGTGTTGAGCTACGAAGGAGAGGTGATAAAAGAAAATAAAGTCTCTGCTATTCAATCTATGAATAAGTAGGGTACTTATACCCTGTGTCTCACAAACAATCGCCCAGTCTGTAGTAGACAATCAAGCATATATGGGATGATCCAACAGATAGAAACTATCTACATATACTGGACTCCTCAACTCAGACCTAGTTTCACTCGAGCAGGTCCGCATAGGCAGCTTGGCATTTCATGGTCACATCGTATTGATCCCGCTTCTCGAGCAAGTCGGCATACGCAGCCTGGCATTTCATGGTGGTGTCGTACTGATCACGCTTCTCGAGAAGGTCCGCGTAGGCAGCTTGACATTTCATAGTAACATCGTACTGGTCACGCTTCTCGAGCAAGTCGGCATATGCAGCCTGACATTTCATGGTGGTGTCATATTGGTCGCGCTTCTCGAGAAGGTCCGCGTAGGCAGCCTGGCATTTCATAGTGACATCGTACTGATCACGCTTCTCGAGAAGGTCTGCGTAGGCAGCCTGACATTTCATAGTAACATCGTACTGATCACGCTTCTCTAGAATACTGTGAGCACAATTGATACTACAGTTAGGAGATGGCTTGAAGTCTTACCCGTAGGCACAGGAGCGGCTGCCACAAGAGATGCGGCGGCGAAGATGGCCACGAAAATTGCTTGGCTGAAAAATTTCATTTTGACGTTGATAGAAAAAAATGGAAGGTTCTGAGTTGAGATATCAGTTTGGTTAGGTTGGTCTGGAAGAAGAAGTAGCTGATGGGAGGACCACCGTATTTATACCAAAGATTCGCTTAGATATAGATACTGAATCCCGTAGTCACCGCTAGCAGCGAGACGACAATCCCCTCCGCAAGGCTCCCAAGTTTATGATACCTTGTTAGCATTTGCCTAACCTGAACAGATCAGTACTTGACTGCCCATTTAGAAAATGAAGAGAATAGTCTACACCGACAATCATCATGATCGTCCATTTTGGCCAATTATTTCGCACAGCTATATCCTGTCGTTGGGCTGAATAGGGCAGCGTGCAGAGTAACATTTCAAGGGGCAAGCATTATGAACATCAAGACGATCATTTCTCTAACATTCATACACAATGATTCCATAGACTTAGACAACCTATAACAAGGTTTGGATCTGATGCAGGCCACGTAAACTCAGTGTGGAGATTGTCATGCTCATATGCTCAGATCAAGAATGAGCAATTTATAGATATATTGGATTTATTAGCCTACTGAGTAAAGCCGTACGACGTTTAGGGGAAAGACGCCTGGGATCTGCCAAAGATTTTGCGAGCAGGGGAGGCGGAGGTTGAAGGGAAAAATATATCATACACATGAGTGATGTAGAATTAGGGTCTTGCATTGTCTCATACTATAGTTCGGATGTAAATTCACATAAGGCCATTTAACATGACCCAAGAGCAATATTCCCCGGTGTATTTACTTTGTCATTATCGGGATCCGCCTTGCTAGCCTCCAACAACATCATCACACAATGCTTTGTATGACCAAAGCTCCCCGTTAGATGATCAATTTTTCCACCTCGCTCGAGGACTTTGTGGAGTCTCAATATCATGAATGCACAATGCACCAGGTGCTCCCTCTGCGTTGACCACCAAAATTTATCCCCCAGCTCCGATAACTCATCCGTACCCTCGATTGTATGTTCTGCATGTCTATCCCGGTAGTAAACCCAGGTCTCGTTGACAGAGTAATTGAGAAACTCCTGTGTCTCGTCGCGAGCACACTGTTCCGGAAGCCAGTTCATAGACAAGGCGTCAAATGTACACCCTCTCCGTTTTGCTTCCTCAGTCGAATTGCCGCATGTGTACTTTTGAGATTCGAATTGCGGATAGGGCGAATGTGTGTAGTGTGCCACCGAGTGCCATCGGATTTCTACTGCTAAGAAAGTAATGGCGGCGGCACAGAGGGCAATAGATGCGGCGAACACAATCCAGATGAGCTTGGGTGTTGGTTGTGTAATAGGGTGTCTCGAGGCGGTGATATCTTCAGGCTCCTCAAGACGCTCATATTTGCTCTTGATAAATGTTCAGTATTTCTAATAATCATTCGCCATTGTGGGATCTTACCAATTTGGAAGGCATATTTTAGGGTGAAACCTATCTTTGTGATGGCAACCACGCAAAAGAAATGAAAAAAGAGTAGAGTGTTAATGACACATTTGACTGAGACGTGTGAAATGGATATGTGAAATGTCAATCTAACAAGTTATCCCCGGGTCTTGCTCGAGAATTCGTGGGAACAGTCAACCTACTATGAATGCTGTCGGCTGACGACGGAATATGAAATATAAGCAAATGCGGGATCTGCAGCCTCTTTCTCTAGTGAACAAGCCAACTTGCGGGCCGATAAGAGGGGATGCGTGGTGCAGATCACCTTGGTGGAATTAGGGCAGATCGCCGTACAAAACCATCAAGGGTGAGGCTTGCTAAATTCCTTTCACTTTGAGGGTATGGGGTATGGTAATGACACCGGCTTTCCCGTCTCTTACATTCCGAGTACATGCAGCCTAGACATACTAGAAAACTGCTGCTGGCTTGTTTTTAATTTGGTAGATATGTCGTGACTTATGCAAGACGACCCTTACATATAAGGCAACAGCGTTACTTGTCCCAAGATAATGCTATTATAGAATCTGACTACTTTCAATCTATCCTCTTTCTCTTCTTGCTGCATTTTGTTCTCGTCTTCTACCCAATCCATTAGCGTTTACCATGTTTCTCCCTATTATCCAACTGATCTTCCTTAATTTGCCTCATATGACATATTGCATTTCACTAAAAGGCCAAACAGTCGAATTAAATGGAATTTCATTTTACCTCCCGCCAAAGGTTCTTGGTACATTCGGCTTCGATAACAGTCCAGCTGTCGGGAATTTGACGGAACCTTTGTATCCTATCACTTTCATAGACATCGCTAGCGATAATCGTTCTCTAGATACAATTATTGCGGGTTATCAATCATTGGATGATGTTTTCAATATTGGGTTTTTGAAAGGTGCAATTCATCACTTATAACTTGCTAGCGCCTGAACTGACCAGTTGTCAAGTCATTTTCCACAATGGGCACTCAAATGACGCTATACAAGACTTGCAGACAGTCAAGTCAAAATATGATGTCGAAGCCATCTTTCCATATCCGGTCGATGCTTCTAAGCCGTCCCTTCCCCCTGGGCCATATTTCTGGTCTCCAGCATCAGGAATAATAAACGCCGCGTATCGACTCTATTCAGACGAACAAGGGGCCTTTACGCAAGGCCTAATACCCTTGGAGGATGGCTCTTACGATGTGATACCTGCCGCTGTACCAGTATGGCCATCCGCAATCGAAAACACATTGGCTCAATCTAACCGTGTACCAGGGAGCCGGGTCGATGACCATTGGGGTACTGTCAAGGCTGCAATCTACGAAGGATCCGGCGAAGCCACTAGCAGGTGTTAGTGCATAATCCCCACAACATCTTCGTTATCAAAACGATCCACCCATTGTATGTTTGCTGAGTAACTTTGGCTTAGGTACGCCTTGGAGTGAAAGACATCTTCGATGTTGCTGGTATCAAGTCCAGTGGCGGAAATAGGGCTTACTATAAACTGTCTCCCCCCGCGAATGAGACAGCCCCCGCCATCCAGAAGCTAATCGATGCTGGGGCTGTTTTGATTGGAAAAATGAAAACCAGTCAATTTGCGAATGGAGAGGTGAGTCAGAAAATTATACTTTTGTGCTCCTATGTGCTGATCATCCGCGTTAGTGGGCTACGTGAGTTTCATCTGAAGGACTAAGGCACATGGAAGCTAATTGCAGCTGACATGACATAGAGCAGATTGGTACATGCTATTACACACTTTGATCAATTTGTTTCGTTGCTGATCAAACAAATAGGGTTGATTACCATGCTCCATTCAACCCGAGAGGAGATGGTTATCAAGACCCGGGAAGTTCAAGCAGTGGTCCGGCAGCTGGAGTGGCGTCATACGACTGGCTCGACTTGGCCATAGGAACAGACACTGGAGGCTCCATACGTGTTCCTGCCGGGGTGAATGGTGTGTACGGGGTCCGGCCATCTCATGATTCAGCTTTGCTGAAAGGGATCATACCCCTCTCGCCTGAGATGGATACAGTTGGTATAGAATACTTATAATACTGCGTGATGTTGCTCAATATCCTCTAACTACGAGTTATAGGAATCCTGGCCCGAAACACAACGCTGTTGAAAGAAGCTTCGAAAGTACTATACGGCGGTCTCGGAGCTAACGCTTCTCTGCCACGAAAACTATACCTAGTTGACTTTCCCACTAACCGATCGAGCCAAAGCGATAAGATTCTTTTAGATTTTACTGCATCACTTGCAGATACTCTCCACATAACTGCCGAAGTCTTTGACATGAAAAAGATATGGAACTTGACTGCCCCGAAAGAGGCAAATGGTGCCGGACTTGTTGACTTTGTTGGTGACATTTTTCCGCTGTTGACTGCAAAGGAGCAGCTTCAGCTAGTGGGAAACAAACTATACACTCAATACAAAGCAGAGAACAACGGCCGGCTACCTTTCATTGACCCAAGTCCCTGGATCCGGTGGAATTGGGGAACAGAACAAGCAGACACATCTCTAGATGAGGCTTTTCACAATATGAGTATCTTTGCCAGTTGGTGGCACTCTCATGGACAGGCAGGCGGCCCAGATTCATGCTCTGATTCTCTATTTGTTTATCCTCAATCGATCGGAGAGACCATATATCGAGATGGTCCATACCCAATTGATTCACCAGGAATTCCGTCGGGGTTTGGAATCGATCGTGTTCCTTCGTTCGTAGGTTCGCCTGATTTCACGTTGTCAAGTAAGTTTATCGAAATACAAGAGCTTTATAGATGGATTGTGTCTGATTTCTGCTAGTTGGAGAAATTGAATATCACTCAAGGATCACAAACCGAACTGAAGTCCTGCCTGTTTCTGCTGATATAATGGGAGGTAAAGGGTGTGAGGGGATGCTATTTAATGTGATAGACAAACTAGTCGCGGCTGGAAAGTTGAAAGGAAAACTCCATACTGGAAAGTCATTGTACGGTTTGAATTAGCCGTGGTCCTGCTTGTTTGTCCATCATAGAGATGGGGGAACACGGTACAATACAGCTATATATATCTGGAAAACCAGTTTCGGGTACACTCGCTCTCAGATGCGAGGAGAACGAATCAAAAGTAAAGAAAAACATACAGCATGTCTAGGGTGTTCTAGTGGCCCGATACGGACCGTGGACGGTCCGTGAACCGGCATCGAAACACTACATCCTCTCTGGCCGACCTTGATGATTAAATTGTTTCAACAATATGTATAAAAATATTTTAATCATTTGGGATAATTGGCTAATTGACCAATTGGCTGTTTTCCTTTCTTTCCACTCAATTCGAAGTCGACGTGACTGGAATTCAGGGCATTAGATTTCATGTGATCGGCTCAATCGGCTCCCCCGCCCGATACGGACCGTCCATTGGCATTAAGATGACTCTCGCATAGATAAATAGTTAGAATTCGCAGAGAAAAAGAAAACTTTCAATTTCAATAACACATCTGTCAATCACGTCATTTGTAAGGTCTTATTCGAAATGACTAGCAATCCCTCATACCTTATTATTGGCGCAGGTGTTTTTGGTGTATCAACCGCCTATCACCTCATCCAAAAGTATCCTGATGCATCGATAACTCTGGTTGATCGAGACGCATATGATGCTGAGTCGCGTGTGGCTGCATCATGGGATTGGAACAAGGTCATCCGTGCTGATTACGACGACAAGGTCTACTGTAGACTTGCTCTTGAGGCTCAAGAGATTTTCAAATCCGATCCTCTTTGGCAGCCACACTTTCACCAGACTGGGGTTTACTGGAATTGCCGCAGCGACTACGCGCAAAATGTCATCACAAATCACAAGGAACTTGGTCGCAATGATGATATCATTGCTCTCCCTGTTGCTGAAGCTAGAAAGCTTTATGGAGGAATCTTTGACAACGCTGACTACACCGGCGTCAAGGAGGTTCTTGTGAATAGGGCTAGTGGCTGGGCTGCTGCTGGAGATGCTCTTCGAGCAGTGACAAAAAGGTGCCTAGAATTGGGCGTATCATATGTCACTGCATCCGTTACTAACCTTGAGTTCGATGGCCATGGCTCCTGCACCGGTGTAAAGACACGATCTGGTGAGATATTGTCGGCCACACATGTTATTGTCGCTGCTGGGGCTTTCACGCCGACATTACTGGAGTGGAGTGCTGCGAAGAGCGGCAACCCTGGGCTACGAGCTGGAGAGCGAATTCTTGCGGCTGGTATTACGACCGGAATGGCACAACTCAACGAGGAGCAATACAAGAAGTTTAAAGACATGCCTGTTGGCTTCCAGGGCTACACACCGGCCGAAGGTACGATTTTCGGGTGTATTCGTATGAAATGTCACTAATAATTCCTAGGGAAACCCTTCATTGGCACCCTTCCCCCTACTAAAGACCGAGAGCTCAAGTGGTGGGGATCTAAGATTTTCACAAACACCCGAGAGGTACTCCCTGGGCATTACATCTCTTCTCCTCCACCCACGCATGATTACAACCAGTGGAAGGTTCCAGGACCTCTCAAGCAAGATATCGTAGAGGCTAGGAATCTGTGGTATGGGCCCGAAAGTGCAACATGGGAGATGACGAAACACCGCATTTGCTGGTTAGTGACCCCCTGAAAACGCAATTAAATCTTTTAACACTTCTAAGGGACGCTTTCACCACTACCTCGGACTTTATCATTTCGCCTCACTCCGCCTCCAAAGGACTATACATCGCCACTTGTGGTTCATTCCATGGATACAAGTTTTTCCCTGTGCTTGGCAAGTACATCACGCAGATGCTTGAGGGGGAATTGGCACCCGAATTGATGGGAAAGTGGGCATGGGATCGACAGCGACCTGACTCGTCCCAAAACGTCGAGTACCCAAACTCTGAGATGAAGCATTTACTGGAACCTGCAGCGAAGTTATAGAAATCAGAGCCTTCAAGTCAAATCAAGCATCACCAGCGGACTTTCTAGAGATCAGAACTCCATTTTTATGCGCTTGATATTCCACCCAATACCCCAAACCGGTTTAGGCAACACGCCAACGCGATAATGGATCCTAACTTGAGGAAGATGAGAGTTTCATATATTCTGATTTCATATTTAAGTCACGATGAAACCATTAGGTAGTAATAACTTTGTTACGGCTACTGGCGAAGGGGAGGAAGAAGAAGAAACATTGTTATTCAATCTAGCGAAGAGCAGGGTTTTTACACCTTGCCAATCAAGTAAACAAACGCTGATTCCGACAAATAAGTCAAAGGAAAGTCCGAAGACGGTCCGAGGACGGTCTGATATCCAACAAACTTGATGACATTCATAGGAGGAAAAGAGAGAGAAGCTAAACTACTACTACACGGAAAGGCACGAAAGCCGACTTCGGCAATATAGTTGTGGGGCCGCACACCTTAAATGAGCGTTTTCTGACGTATCCATGGTTCAGTCCCGAGTCCCTACCTTGTGTAACAGAAGTCTAGGGCTGTTGCCTGGAGACATTTAAAAGTACACACCTCCCTTGATCTCAGCGTTGATCCAATCTTCTATCATGGACGAAAAGCCTGGTTTCATTCCACCCGCTAAGGGACTGTGGATGCTTGATGATCCTGGGAAAAATCTCAAATTCATGTCCGAAGAAGAGCTCGACCGAAATGCCATCGAAGTCACTGATGATACGAGACCCAGGGAGCCACCCGCAGAGGTAATCACCAAATACCTTGCCACCCTGACTCCCCCTCAGAAGAAGATGCAAGATGAGCTCCGCGACTTGGGCTGGAATGACGCTGCTATTCACAACTTGCTCACTATCTATGAAGATGCACAGCGATACAACTGCGCAAAGCTACGCCAGAAAGTATACACCGAAGCGGAAATTCAAAGGCTCGATGCGCTCGGCAATCAGAATGTAATGGATTTCTCGCATCTCAAACGTAGACTTGCCAGCACAGGTGATGAAGATTATCAACTGCAGCTGTACTTGCTGGATGAGGTGAAGACGTCTGGTTATGCTTGGTGAAGAATAGGAATAGCTGGAAGGGCATGTGGTCAACGTTGAGGAGAATTACAAGCAGGAAGATAGGGGCTGCAATGAACGTCTGTTTCAAGGGTGATTTTCAGTCAAACTTGGTGACCAACTTCAATATTATTTTTATCCATGTCTGTAATCATGGCAATCGTTGCCAAAAAGACCGCTAAGAAGGTAATATCCTTAGCGATGACTGTGAAGCGTTCTCGCGGCGTTATCGGTAGCTTGGATTTGAGTGTCAAATCTGTTTTAATAAACTTTTTAAGACATTAGAATAAATTTTAGGGAACCAGCGGGTAAGTGTTATATTAAGGATACCTTGCTTGGATTTAATAGGGACAGAGCGAGAAGCCCCTCATCCCAATCCTACTGGGACTGCGACGAAGAGAGGCCCAGAAAGAAATGAGGGAGAGAGTTGTATTGAGAAAGGAGCAAACTATCTGAGGGTCGATGCCTGAGGCACCAACCACAAATCTGAAAATGAAGTTGATGAAGTTTAGGTAGGCAGACTTCTATAAGGGGATGTTTTTTCTTGTAATATAGTCCATAAATGGTTTTAAGAGTCAAATTTTGGTCAGGTTCGTTTTTGAAAAAGTTAGTATCTGCCACTTCATTTCGACAAAGTCTCTATCATCTTGTGACCTCTCGCCACCCTTCTCGCCTATACCCGCACTCACACTAGAGCTGTGTAGCGAGAGTATCTGAAAGAAGATAAAAAAACTAAAAACATACAACAGTGAGGATTCGCTAGTGGTCACCCACCCAACTACACTCACCGGCGTGTGGCTTAAGTACAGCTGAGCGGACGGGAAGCCCTATTTTCCACACCCTATGGTCGTATGTGGCTGCTTATATGTGGAAGAGAAATATACAGTAAAAACGAATAGCTCCTAGGTGATAGAAATGGAGAGAAAAGGTGCGCTATAAAATGAGGGTGGGGTGAATCTTGATATGATAGGCTAGGGGATATAAGATCCTGAATGGTACTACAACATACATTATCAAAAACCGGCTTCTCATTTCATTCGGACATTGTGAATTGAGTAATCCTCTTTCTTCTTATGTGTAACTTTGTCACGAGCCCCTTGGCTCTCTTGGACTATTGAGAATTGAGGTGAAGGCATGGTTCAATATTTAACATTCTTCCCTGACAGTTAAACAATAAATACTCCGTACAGAAAGAAAAGATGCAACTGGATGCAACTATCTGAGCCTTCCAGGCTCTATGAAATATTGAATGCGACTACCCGTTGGCTCCAAGGTTGATACCTGGGAGAAATTGATCGATCTAGACTAAATTAATTGATTAATTTCAACCATTCAGATATGGTTGGTTATTAAATACGGGGTAGAGATTCGCCGCCACTGTGACTATTATCTCGGCTTGCATGAAATGTGATCACTCCGATATTGCATTCAGTCATACACATAAACTAGTTTCATAGATCTCGATCGATTGCAAGTTGATAGGGTCTCGACGAAGCAACCATCACATCGTGTGTGGACCCTTCCAGCCTGGTGCAGTTGGCTTCCCACGTTTTTAGTCTGGTGTAAGTTCCATTCACGATAAAACATGCACCTAGCGATCTGATAATTGGGTCTTGCGATTGCTTTGGCCCATAGGGGCGGGGCGAGATGGGTTGTGTTTGAGATACGCTGGGTTATCAAAGTCGTTAAAAGGAGACTAAAAGACAGAATCTGGACTGAGAACAACCCCCTCCCCTCAATAACAACATTGAAGAATCATGTTTTCTCTTCTAGAACTTACAACAAAGCTCGCCCTGTTCGTGACTATTTTCTTCGCCTCTCGTTTCCTATGGAATTATCTTCGGTCCCCATTGAAGTCTTTCCCTGGTCCTAAACTGGCGAGCTTTACCAACCTATGGCGCATGCAAGATGTAGCCAAGGGCCGTTGTGATATCACGCATAACAAGTTGCATCGCATACACGGGCCCGCTGTTCGTATGGGACCGAATGTCCTCAGCCTATCCGATCCAAACTTGATCAGCCTCGTTTATAATACTAAGAACCCATGGCTTAAGGTAATATTCCACGCCAGGAAAAATGACCTCCGTTTTAATACTTATATTATATAGAGTCATTTGTACAAAGTCGCTGACGTCGTCATCGGTGGTGTTCGACTCAGCAATCTGTTCTCGAGTCGGAATGAGAGTTGGCACTCGACTTACATTCGCCCAGTCAAGAGCTCGTATTCTATGAGTAAGGTTCAAGACCTCGAGAGCAATCTAGATATCACTATCGAACTCCTCATTGACCAACTCCGGGAGCGGTTTGTCTGCACGGGTAAGACCTGCGAGATGTCTGATTGGATCAACTTCTGTGAGTATTTGTATTCAATCCTGGAAACGCGATTGAAACTGACTAATTGGCAACTTAGTTGCATGGGATGCTATGAGTCAAGTCAACTTCTCGCAAGATCTTGGTATCCTCGAGGCTGGAAGTGACTACAAGGGTTTCCTCAGAAGGTCCAATCAATCAATCGATTACTTTGCTTCAGTCAGTGGAATGGTTGCTGGAACTAAATAAAACCCACACTAATATTTATACAGATCGGCCAAATTCCTCTTCTGGATCACATATTCGGCAAGAACCCAATCATGGCCATTGGACCGCCAACTTTTCTCTGGGCCAATGCCTTCAGTCTTGACCAACTCCACAAACGCCATAAAGAAGGCAATCATGATGGTCCCGATCTCCTTGCCAAATTCCTCGACGCTAAGAAGAAGAATCCCGAACTTGTCGATGACAACACTATCGTCATGTGGTTAGTTGCCAATGTCCTTGCAGGTAGTGACACAACAGCAAGCACTATGTGCGCGACAACTTACTACGTTTTGAAGAATTCCGCAGTTTACAAGAGACTCTGCGATGAGCTCCGCGCCGCTAATCTCTCTTTTCCCGCCAAATGGAAAGAAATCCAAGGGCTAAAATACCTTGAAGCCGTGATGCGTGAATCAATGCGAATTAATCCCGGAATCGGTCTCATGATCGAGCGTATTGTTCCGAAAGGTGGCTTCACTCTGCCGGACGGACGTTTCGTGGCCGAGGGGACTACTGTGGGCATGAATCCATGGGTGATCAACAGAAACGAGGCGGTCTTCGGTGCCAAAACAGAAGAATTTATCCCCGAGCGCTGGCTTCAGAGACCCGAGGAGCCAGAAGAGTCGTTCCAGGCGCGTTTTTCTAAGATGAAAAGCACCGACTTTACATTCGGGGCTGGGTCGCGTGCCTGTTTGGGAAGGTACCTCTCAGAGCTAGAGAGCTTCAAGCTGATTGCAACACTTTTTAACACATTCGATGTAAGTTAAAATTGGTTGGACTAAAGTCATATTAGCTAATTGGCACAGATAAATCTCCCCAGTCAGGATCATGAGTGGCAGATCAGAAACTCGTGGTTCGTTAGACAGGACAATATTCCTGTCCGCCTGGTAGAGCGGGCATAAATCTTTTGATTTAGGTCTTGATTTGCCAGCTTCATATTATGATATATCTCAAGATTGTATGTAGCTTTACTGCTGTATATGGGTACACGGTTTAGTTGTCTATTACGCTAGTGAGCCAGTTCACATTCCCCCGCTGTTGTAAAATGAGCGTTTCATACATACCAATATCATAATGATTCTATACTTAATACCTGAATTGCGTATTAAAAGAACCCCTGAAAAGACCGCTGAAAAGACAAGAAAGTGTCAAGATGGGGAAACCTGAAGTGCAGTGGGAGTACGGAGTAGATTGGCATTGTATATGGGAGCCTAAGGCATGAAACCTAACCAGGAAAGCGCGATGTCCTTTACGAATTAACTAGAGCAAGTTCCCCATCGGTTCATCGAGTTCCTGTCGAGGAGTATGGCCTACCCAGTCTTATAGCGCTCAGGGTTCAAACCCGGGATTTGGTACCTGAATACGTTATTTTAGAACGGCAGAAAATTGAGATACCTGAATTACTATTATTTATGCCTTAGTAATCAAAGTAGCCTGATTCTGCTGGCGTTCACAAGTGTCAAAAATGAAGCTTTTCATCTGCGTACAAATCCACGTATGCAGCCATTTCTCGGCGTTGAAGCCTTTTCACTACGTAATCATTTCCTCTCTTTTTTTTTTGACTTGCAAACCATCCAGGGCTGTCGTATACAGTATTTGAGTATTTGGAGGTTGAACTGCAACCGAGGAAGATTGTTAGCTTGCTTTGATGTGGTTGTCAGGCTTCGCAATTCGGGGCCATAACCTGGGAAAGAGGTCGTTCAGGTGTATGTGAAGGATATTGAAAGCAGTGTTCCCAGATCACTGAAGGAGCTCAAGCACTTTACAAAGGTGTGGATTGAGCCCGGGAAGAAGGCTACGGTGAGGATGACGCTGGATAGATATGGCCTGTCTTTCTGGAGTGAAATCGAGGAGAGCTGGGTGGCAGAGGGTGGCACTTTCCAGATCATCATCGCGAGGAGCGCAGATCCAGCAGACGAGCTTCTACATGAGACATTCGAGCTCAGGGAGACTCTGGTATGGTCGGCCTTATAGATTGTCAGACTGTCTGCCTACCACCAACCTGAGAATTATAGCTAGGTTGAACACCACGGATTACCTTCTGGTCTATGGGAAGTAATTTCTCGCAGTATAAGCAGTGGAGGATCTGAATATCCAAGCGCATCAAAATGATGAATGGCTGGGAGCTACGGATAAACTCAGCTAGTAGCATCTCTATTTCTATGCGAACTTTCAGATTAAATGCAATGGGATCACCTTCTATCCTTTTCTGAATCCTTTCAAAGTACTTACCGTAGGCCAAGATCAGTCAGCAAGACGGGTGCTTATTCCTTTCGTGCCCTTATGTATGGTCTAACAAGCTCCTTGATCTTGTAAGAGCTCTGGGCTCAGTGGGAGAACACCACAACTCTAGTGGATTTATCAGGTCGTGCAGAGAGGATCTCACAACAAAAATAAAAACATATAACGGTGAGGATTTGCTGGTCACCCAACTACTACCCGGCATGTGGTTGTGCGGCTTCTAGTTTGGTGGATGTCAGATGGAGAGAGAGATAGAAGCCGCTTTAGGGTCGCGCGACGCACTAATCATCTTGTCCCCAGATACAAAACCTTTAATGCCACACCAAGTGTCGACATCATGGACCTACAGAAAATGAAGCGCAGGCGCTCCTCGGTCATCATTCAGATCCAGGGGCCGCTCACATGGTCTCTCGGAGGGTCACTTTTAACTGGCCTGCACTTTTTGGTGGTCCAACGATAGTGTCCCTGTTCCAAGCGCAGACGGACGGTTTTACTTGGGCTGTATGTCTGCCAGGCCACCTGGCCGATATTCCGTAGTTGGCCTTCATGCCGGACGGCAAGACAATCCTCAGCCGAGCGAGCGACGGCGTAGGTCGACTGATCAGCACATCCCTTGCGTCGGTGTGGGGCCGAGTCGTCGTGCTCCGGCACCAGAAATCGGGCCTGCTCCAGAGCTACGACCTCGAATCTCCGTGTCCCTGCGCCGATATGTTTCCCCCCGACATTTCACCCGACTGTTATCTGCTTGGGTGGTGCTCCGACACGGGCGTTAAGGTGTGCGACCTGCTGACAAGCCGGTGTCGAGGCAGCGCTACATGAAAGGGCGGCGGGACTGAGTTCGCGACTGCGGCGGGTTTCAGCATAGGCGGTGGTATGATTCTCGCTGTGGGAATGTTCGATGGCGGCATCATGGTGTATAACGTGCTTGACGAGTGGAGGGGCCTCCCGTGGAACTTGACGCCCACGAGCAGCCAGAGGAAGTTCAAGCGGTAACGCGACCGTTCGAGGTCTGAAGATAGACGAGGCCGATGCAAATTGTCGTGAGATCGAGGTTATGGGACGATTATACCAATAGCATACAAAGCCTAGACTGCGTTGGTTGTGCAGGCATCACTTTCAAATATTGCGCGTAATGTTGGAGCCCTCGTCTGCCTTCGTGGGTCGTAGTTGCGAATCACAGTTACTATATGTAATCCGAAGAATAAAATATCGATGACCCCAGTGGATAAGTTCCTGATGGAATAAGTTGAGGAACATGCCGCTTGGCATTGGAGCTACATACCTTGAAGGTCTTGGCAGTGATTATCTAATCACAACCCCTCGACCCGTCCACGGGACCTCAACCCAGGTCCCCCAACAATTCGGAATATCTGCTTACTGCCCTTGTGTGAGACAACCAGAACCCTCCAATCCTTCCAATCGCTATTCCTGTTTGTCAAGTCTTTGTACAACGTGACAGAATGACCTCCAAAGCCAATATGCATCGGTATCTCCGACAGTCGCTCGACCATATATTCCAAAACAACAAGAAATGGGTCTCATCGAAGAAAGAGACGGATGCCACCTTTTTTGACAAGCTTTCTGCTGGACAATCACCCGACTATCTGTAAGTGACATCGCTGTCATCTCATCCCCGTCAAAATATTCATATCGGAATAGGTACATAGGCTGTAGCGATAGCCGTGTCCCCGCCAACGAAATCATGGGTCTGGAAGCTGGCGAGGTCTTCGTTCACCGTAATATCGCCAATCTGGTGCCCAATGTCGACCTCAACGTCATGTCGGTGATCAACTATGCCGTGCGCCACCTCAAAGTCAAGCATATCATTGTGTGCGGCCACTACAATTGTGGTGGGGTCAAGGCGGCCTTGACGCCTGCTGACCTGGGATTGCTTAACCCATGGCTCCGAAACATCCGCGATGTTTATCGCTTGCATGAGAAGGAACTCGACGCAATCCCCGAGGAGCACGCGAGATACAATCGTTTGATTGAACTCAATGTGATGGAATCCTGTAGGAATATCATCAAGACCGCTGCTGTCCAGCAGAGCTATGAGGATAATCATTATCCCATTGTCCATGGATGGGTTTTCGATCTCGGCGACGGCCTGCTGAAAGACCTGAAGATCAACTTTGAAGCTGAGTTGGAGGATGTGAAGAAGATCTATTGTCTCTCGTCGGGTGAGAATTCTGGACATTGAATCATGAAGACGATAGTTGCCAAATGCCAGTCACAACTCGGGTATTCGGTTTGTTGCTCGGATTGCATTTCTCGGGCTTCTCTTTTGGCCTGTTTTCCCCGTCTCCGTGAAGCTATATCGATGGCTTCCGGGCAGTTGGTGATCTGTCATAGTTGGTTTTTTCCATTTTATTCGTCATTTTTGCATCTTGTTTCCTCCTTTGTGCAGTAGAAGCAAGCAGAATCGAAGGATTTCCGTGCTGGAGAGAAAGCAAATGGAAAAGAGAACCATTTGGATGAATTGATGCCTCAACCCCTGTTCTAATGGTTCTGCTGCTCTTCCAACACTCGACAGGCCTTCTCGGTCTCTGAATCGTACACCAGCCCATGGATATGTAGGCGCCCTAGTGTAATTGCATCGGTCACTTCGGGAAATTTGCGCAGCGAACGTATCTGATCAAGAATATTCAACTCAACAAAAAAGCGATCTCGCTCCCGCACTGGAAGTTGATTTATATCTTCTTCGTGCATCGAATGGAGAGTGTCGAGTTTGCTTTATGCCCATTATTAGTAATTGGGACATTTCGCGGAATTCTTAGGCAGAAGGATTTACCTCGACCATGGACCTTTTAATCCGTCTCTCGAGGTCGCATTCACAATGCGGCATCCGTAATGGCCGCAAACGACGATGTGTTTCACCTAGATAACATAAGAAAACGCGAACATGCAATGGATATAGGATCAAGGGCGGACCTGAAGATCAACGACGGCATGTTTTATAGTAGTCTCGCAGGATAAGTCGCCATCAATGATCATATTGCCGAGGTTTCTGAGCACGAACAACTCTTCGCTGAGAATATTAAGAAAGGTGAATTCTTTGGCATTACTATCACAGCATCCGATCCACAGAATCTGCTGTCTTGCCTGTTGAAGGCTAGGTATATAGTTTTCGCTGAGCGACTCGGTCGCCCTGAGCCTTGTTTCAATCATGCTTAGAAGAGTAAGTAGTATTATGAAATTCTCCAGGGCTCTCAAATAGATAGGAAAGATGAGATTTAAGCAAAGACTTTAAAAGGGAAATTAAGGACCGTCGATCGTATCTCAGTATGGCGTCGAAGAGCCGGAGCCGGAGCCGAGGTATTGCCGTTTCGGCCGAGTTCACGAACCGGTTCAAACGTTTTGAAATTTCCCAGAAAAGAGGAGCCGCTCTATAAAATACTTCTATCTTAACCTCAAGGTCTCTTCCAGAGCATATCTATCAGGGTACATTACAACTTGTCGGCAGTTAAAAATGCATATGGATATCCAACAAAAAGATCACTTAGCAGTAAGGTTTTCGACTGTAGGCAAAGACGTATTAAAAAAAAAATTTAAAAAACATACTACCCGGCGGTATGCCTCAATCCAATTCAAATAATTCATACATATCAACTTATGCATGCAAATCGAGAACTCAGCAGGTGATTATCTTTATAGAGTCTTCTAGTGATTTTAGCTCCGCGGTTACCTGAAATACCAAACTCTACAAAATCCACTTTTGGATCCTTCATTGGGGTTTTTTTCTCTCTAAATTAGGAAATGGAGATAAATTGACAAACCGTGATCGTATGCAACTGTAATTTATGGGTTGAATTATCCCTTACCTTCTATAGTTCTGCAATACGTCAAATTTATCTATTCTGCTGAAATTAACGGTGGATATATCTGATATACGCAGGAAGCTTTTCCTTTCTTCTATATCTCTAAACGCGACAGAATTGTCTACCCTGAAATTGAGATCTTCGAACTATCGCGGATGACTTCCGCGGAGTCAACATTCCGCTCTCATATCCAACGGAATAATTCTTAATAGGACAAATCTCACGGTGCTCCCAATTGAACATTGTCTTCCCAATCAAATGTATCTTTTTTTCCGGCCGTAAATACAGGCCCCATTATGGGATCAGGATCTAACATTGAGATAGCGACTAAAGAATTTTGCATATAGACTGCACATGGTAAGATTAATATCTTCGCTCATTTTTGCAACTCTCAGAGAACATGGAAGTGAGTCGACACAATGGAAAAAAGACTGGTTATGGAACAATCGACCCCCAATCACCAAGCGATACTTTCCCTCCTCGATCACCCGAATCCCAGATTGGGGCAGCCTACTCTGAAGATGTATCGAAATACGAATCTTATCCCGATGGTGGGATTAAATCATGGCTTGTAGTCTTTGGTTGTTTTTGCGCCTTCTTTTCTGCACTCTCCTTCATGAACTCAATTGGCGTATATCATTCCTGGATAGCTTCACATCAGTTGCAGGCCGAGGGAGCTGGAAAGATTGGATGGATCTTTGGTTTCTCTAATTTCTTAACATTCGTGGCAAGCCTCTTCATTGGTCCGGTTTTTGATTCTTGCGGTCCTCGCCCGCTCTCTGCTGTTGGGCCTGTCTTTCTACAGGCCCAATATATCCTTTTAGGCTTTTGCAGGACTTACTGGCATTTTTTCTTCTGCATCGGTGTCTTCGGGGGTATAGGCACCTGTGTTCTATTCACTTGCGCTATTGGTACCATCCAGCACTGGTTCTTCCATAGACGTGGGCTTGCCATGGGCCTTGCGATATCTGGTGGGAGCGCCAGCGGAATCCTTCTACCCCTTATAATTAGCGGAATATTGCCGAAGATTGGCTTTCAGAAGACAACCCTGACAGTATCAGTCATTCTTCTGCCATTTGAAATTGCTGCCGTCGTTCTCATGACAACTCCAACTCTGAGCGCCAAGCATCGCCAAAGACTGAGCCTGGATGGTCGATGGAAAGCCATGCCTAGTCTTCGAATCTTACTTGAGCTTCAACCCTTTCTCATCGCTCTTGGTCTTCTTTTCGGAGAACTCGCTATGTTCATCCCGATGACATGTTACTTCGTACGCCCTGAGCCATGATATGCCACTATCACTTGCCTATTATCTTATCACTGCCATGAGTTGTGGTTCATTGCTAGGTCGCTGTGTGGCTGGGTTTATTGGTGATCATATTGGATGGTTTAACACACAAATTCTCATTCTCGGTTTATCCACGACCTCAATACTTGGTATTTGGCTTCCTGCAGAGGCCAATCCCAAGCTCCTCTGGTTATTTGTCGTCCTGTTTGGTTTCTGCAGCGGATCATCAATAAGCCTAGGACTTGTCTGCATATCCCAACTGTGCAAGACAGAGAACTATGGAAAAGTTTCTGGGACCTTGTTTGCATTCTCTAGCATTGGGTATGACTAGCTTTCTTGTTTTGTGGAATTCTTGTACTTTTGCTAATTTACTTAAGATATCTCATTGGTATTCCCGTAGGTGGTCTGCTTCTTCAGCTACCAAATGCATCATACAGGGCGTTGATAATGCTTGCTGGACTAGCATATGGCTTAGGATTGCTGTGTTGGACGGCTATACGGGTTCTTCGGGGTGGATGGAAGTTGAAAGCAAGACTCTGAGCTCTTTGTATTGGACTCGGGAGGCGTATACCTACCATTCATGATAGCTATATGACCATCGTTTAAATAGATTAGGGCAAACACTAGACAGTACATCATGGAAGAACTAGTGGCACGAGAAGGAATTTCTCGATTATGTACAGAGTTTTTAGGCTTAGAACCAATTAACATTAACAAAACACATAGACGCACTGATCCTACGAGCCTTCAGTCTCAGTAAATTTCTACCTATCGCTTCTACAGTGATGGTCCATGCCCTTTCAAAAGCATCATGCCAAGCCCTCAAATAATCAATGCCAAGACAAATTTTAATAACAAGCAGATATCCCCTACACCCGCAGCCGGAGCGAGACCAAACTAGGAATGAAGTACTCCGTAGATGATATCAACTTCAGCTCGCAAGACGTGTCATCTTCGGATGCTAGACCTTAACTTCTTCCCGTGACCGAGGGCTAACGTACTCTTAAACTATACCCCCTCTCTTGGCATATACGCACCTTGTTGAAATTCTTACGCAGTCAATGCCGTTACCAGAAGTCGGCAAGTGTAACTGCCGGAATATGGTCATCCAGCTCCAACATGTAAATTTCTGTTTCTTTTGTATTATAGACTTCGAGCCTTTTGCACATTCCAATTGTATACATATATTGTTGAATTCATTCTTCATCTCTGGTTACATGCAGTATTCATTCGTCTTCTAATATTTTCACACACTCGGCCAATCTACGGCCAATGTACGGCAGTTTCATAGTCGTATAAATCGTGGCTTGCTACTCCGCATCGTCACTAGAAATGATTGGCGGAAGAATAGACTATAATGTATCGCTAATAGGTTCCCTACTTCACAGAGTCCGGGGTAGATCCGGCCGGGGAGGAGCGTCTAGAGCAATGAAACTTCGCCCCTCATTTTAGTATAAATAACTATCCCACGGTGACCCCGGCTTTTTTATTCCAGGGCTAATATCTTACCTGACTTGTCCATATCACTTCTCCCACACGATAAGCGTTTGTCTGGCACCTTCACTATGGCCAATGCTTCCCCGGTCGCGTCCTTAGCGGATGAAAAGGGCGTGGTGAATTATAAAGAAAATGTGATGGATATCGCTGCGGGAAGAGGCATTCCCGCCACAGATGATCATGGCCAGGCCCTTGTGGAATTCGATAAGGCTGCTGAGTCGAGGTTGCGTCTAAAGATCGACCTATATATCATTCCCACGGTGGCATTAATGTATCTGTTTTGTTTTATCGATCGGGCAAACATAGGTGCCTATATTGCCTATCACTCTTACCTTGCGACCCTAACTAATCAAACTTGTTGAAATAGGAAATGCTAAGCTAGCTGGCTTCGAGGATGACCTCGGACTCGAAGGGTTTGATTACAACATCGTGCTGTCGATCTTCTTCATCTCATATATCGTCTTTGAGATCCCGAGCAATCTCATGTGTAAATGGATGGGGCCTGGGTGGTGGCTGCCAGGCATTGAAGTCGGCTTTGGCATTTGCTCCGTCGCGACAGCATTTGTCAACAATATTCATGAGGCATCCGGTGTTCGCTTTCTTTTAGGGTAAGTGGATAATCGCCTGATGATTTTCACGGGGAATACCTTGCGAATACCGCTAACTCTTTGCTAGTTTGTTCGAGGCAGGATTGATGCCTGGAATCGCATATTATCTTTCGCGATGGTATCGACGGAGTGAACTTGCCTTCCGTCTGGCACTATATATCGTTATGGCTCCACTAGCCGGCGCATTTGGTGGCCTTCTAGCTTCTGGTATCCTGAAGCTAGATAGTTTCGGCTCTCTCTCGAGCTGGCGAATGATCTTCGCGATTGAAGGCATTATTACTATCTGTATTGGTGTTGTTTCATTCTTCACCCTGACCGATAGACCGGAGACGGCGCTATGGCTCTCACAAGAAGAGAAGGACCTAGCCGTTGCCCGTGTCAAGTCTGAGCGCGTGGCGACAACCGAGCTTCTCGATAGATTTGACACGACTAAAATGATGCGTGGCATCTTTAATCCAACCACGATTATCATGACATTCATCTATATGTTGAATAATATCACCGTTCAAGGTCTCGGAATGTTTGCACCCACGATTATCAAAACTATCTATCCCGATGAGGGGGTGATATCCCAGCAACTACATACGGTTCCCCCGTATATTGTCGGGGCATTCTTTACTTTATTGTTCCCGTTCCTTAGCTGGCGCTTCGACAACCGACTGTTCTTCTGTATTATATGTCCACCGCTAATGATAGTTGGTAAACATCCCCCCTATTATAGTCTCTGATCAAAAGCTGATTATAGTGGATAGGCTATATCATGTTCCTTGCTTCCGAAGACCCCATGGTACGATATGGAGCGACTTTCATTATCAGCAGTGGGTCGTTCTCGTTAGGGGCTTTCTGCGCGGCGCAGGTCTCTGCCAACGTCGTGTCGGATACCGCGCGGTCGTCGGCGATTGGCGCAATGGTCATGTTTGGAAATCTCGGCGGGCTTATCAGCACCTGGTCCTTCCTACCCTTCGACGCCCCTGACTATCATATCGGGAATGGGCTTAACTTGGCAACTTCAAGTGTGTCCCTCATTCTAGCCGCTAGCCTGTGGGCCTATATGGCCTGGGACAACAAGCGGCGTGATCGAGTGGATATTGCTGCTGCCTTAAGAGGACTTTCGCAGCTGCAGATTCAGGACCTCGACTGGCGTCATCCTGGCTTCCGTTGGCGACCTTAGGTTCAAGTTCTTTCGTTGGTGTTGAGTTATCTCCTTCGTCTTGGGTGAATGTAAACTAGGAATGTACCCTAGTCTCATGGAGCCGGTAGGAAGACAGAGAAGGGTGTCCCTAGGTCTACTATGTAGTAAATGATGATAGATTATCTTCAATTTTATTATATGAATGAGCAGTGGTTGTGAGCTCAAAAGCATACATAGTTTCGCTATTGAAAATGTACTGCAACCGAAGCAATGAGCGGCCGGCTCCTTACTAGAGTGGCTCTTGGCCCGACCGCATTCAAATACCACATATCTTTCAAGCCTAGCTAGATATGGGCTGAAGGGGCTGAAGAGGGCAGTTTTCCAAAAAAAAAACATACAACAGCATGTATAAGGTGGTGGTCACCTAGCGCCCACGGTTCGGGCATGGGCGGCTCGCCGCTCTACTCAGGGCACTCAGGACGGATATTTACCCACCTAGATATTCTTTACCCGAATATTCAGGCCGTACAGCAAAAGTTACATTTCCCATCATGATCAAAAAAGCTATAAGTATCCTTTTCCCCCCCTCCGTTTCTATCACTCTAACTTCGCTTTATCATGAGTAAGATGCGTACCAAGCATGACCTATGTAAGTAATTTAGTAGGTAATATAGCGTAATGATAGGTAATAATATTTAGGACAAAAAGTCGGCCGACTACATAGGCCTAAATGATTTCACGCAGTTGACTGGCTTAGGTTCTAGGTGACACACGTGATGTGTACCGGCAAGGAAGGATGGATGTAATCACGTTGGTAGTAATTGACCAGCGTACTTTTACCTAAAAGGTGCCGTCTTTGGCTAACGGCCATCATTTTTGCTTTTAACGCCACTTTTACAGCATGATTAACATTTTGTGTGAAAATTTTTCACCAGAGCTTCATGTTGCATAGTTTGAATGGCCCACATTCTCCTAACTAATCCGAATATTGACCCTTAGACAGCACAAAGCCGAGAGCGAGCCTCCGTCTTGGCAACATTGTTAGAGGGTTTATCCGAGCTACCCATTGGCAAATGGGTGGTGAATGATGTCATAGCCCCATTATATGTCCAAGCCGAGACCGAACTTCCGTCTTGGGCACCCGCATTATCGATGAAACCACTGATACTAGGTATAGCCAACAGTATGCAATACCCTGATATTTAATAGTGATGCGGATGTACGGCAACAAGGCTAGAAGGTATATAAGGCGTTGCCCGCAACTATCGCAGTATTCTTGTTATCACACCTGCGTCCGCGTCCTATACCCTACCAAATATCATCATCTTCGCTATGTTGATCCTTATCGCTGGTATTACGGGCAATCTGGGCAAGCATCTCGCCCGGGTTGGTCTTGAAAAGGGCCACCAGGTTCGAGGATTGGGCCGATCCCCAGACAAGCTAGATGACAAAACAAAGGACCAACTTGAAAGCTTTGTCGTCTCTTCTTCCTACTATGATACCCCTGCGCTGGATCGTGCGATGATTGGCGTAGCTGCCGTTATTTGTGCATACTCGGGTCGACCGGAGCTGGTACTCGACGGCAATCTTCTTCTCCTGCGAGCTGCCGAGCGCGCTGGTATCAAAGTAGGTTACTTCTCGATGTACAGCTTCCATTTACTCACAGTTTTAGATCTACCTAGCGTCAAGCTGGAATGTGGACTGGCGACATGTGAGATTTGGAGACCACGAGAGTTTCAACCCGTTCCTTTCGTTCCGCCAGCAGGTGGCGATCACATCGGCGATGAAGCCAATTTGGATTTTCACTGGTGTTCTGGCTGAAGTGTTCTTCTCCGTTCCTGGACATGGCGATCTATCGCCCAAGAATCATGGTATCTGGGACCCTGCCGCGAAGACAATTGATCTTTGGGGAACAGGTCGAGAGAAATTCGATTGGACGACTGAAGCAAACGCAGCGGAGTTTAGTATTGCTATCATTGAGTCCCCGGAAGCATCTCAAGGTGGATTTTATTCAGTCCGGTCAGGCTGTCATAGCCTTCGGGAAATCAAGGCCGTATATGAACGGGTCCGAGGATCAGAGGTCAAGTTGATTGAAAAAGGCTCTGTCGAGGAGCTTGAAAAGACTGCCTTGCAGGCCCGTGCTCGGGGTTCCCTTCTGGCTTTCTGGGAGTATATCGGCTATTTCTATCAGCTGGTTACCATTGACGGCTCGGCTGTTCTACGTAACCTGGACAATGACCGCTTTCCGGATGTGAAGCCTACGGGCCTTGAAGAATTTCTACGTCAGACACCTGAAGTTTAAACGCTAGGATTCTGAGGACGACAGATTGTTGATATGAGTGTCTGCGGGTCCAAGCCAATAGGTCAAGATAGTTGTCTAGTGTTAATAACTAGTTCTGAGAGCTTGTCTCTGCAAATCAACAACTCTCTTCCCCCCTCTCTCCGGCCCTTCGTCTAGTAGACTCGATATAGATCTTTAGATTAGAGCATCTTCACAGCAGAATATTTCGATATTGTCAGGACATGTCATTAGATAATATTCAACTTGCCCCTAACTATCAAACCTTGCTCTCGTCGGCGAGTATACCGTATTATTCTACTGAGTAACGTTTGCCCTCAGCTTAAGCCTAGGATTTTATCAACAGAGTCACACATTGCCTAAGGGGGAGCTCCTTGCACATGGCCTATACTTGGCTTTTTACTGAACATATTTATAACAGACATCCCCTTGAGGCCGATCAAGAATGTCCCGTGCCAACTTTCAAAAAAGCACAAAGCGCGAGCCTATTCAATTTCGTAATGAAACCAATAGGAGCCCCCACAGAATTATCGTTTGGCGATTGAACGTCCAAGCCGGCTCTTCTTAAGCAGAGAGAAACCTCACTCAGCAATTCCAAATCTTTAGCTGTTTGGGGGGCTTTCGGGTTTTGTAGAAGATTGCAAAAGATTGACAGTAGAGCGGACAAGGGGTAAAAAAGGAGAAACCCACAATGATAGTCAGCAAGAAATAAAATCATGTTATTGTAGAGAGAGAGAGAGAGAGAGAGAGAGACAAACCAGATGTAATCTTCCGAGAGAGCATGTTTAACGCCACGTAAAAAGAGAATCAAAGACCGACTGGCTTCAACAGACAGTTCCTGACTAGAATATACGACATTCCTAGTCTCTCCGAAGTCTCCGTTCCGCGCTTTGCACCGATGGCTAGCTTGATGAATCGCAGCTACACAATGGTAGTATTGTACCCGTAACATAATCGACCGAATATCAGTCACAGGTTCCGACTGTGTTTCATTAGAAAGGTGAGCCAACATCCTGTCTGATGCCAAAAGGCTACCTTTCCACTTCTGCAAATCTTCGTCTAACTCTCGGATGGTCCGCAAAAGCTCAGTGTCCGATTTTCGAAGCGCCTTTGCCGAAAAAAGTGAGCGGTATATTTTCGATGTGATTATGCTCAAGTTAAGATCAGTAGGAAACAATAGAGGTCTAGCCTCTGGGCCGGCGGACAGCTGGGGTGGTATCTGGTCTACTGATATAGAGTTTGAATACCCCATGGGAAAGGTGAGATCACAGTCATCGTCACAGAGAGATGGAGGGCGGCCTGTTCGTAGGAACAGCTCTTTATCGAGGACATAACAGATCCAGAACAGATTCCTGAGGTGACAGCGTGTTCGGAAGGACAGATCTGATAAATTTGGCGATGGTGACATAAGGTTAGTGTCCTCATAGCAAAGATTTCCCCCTAGCATAAAGATCAAGCGTGTAGCATTGCCGATAAGGATATCTACTGATCGAGAATCCCCGGAGAGGGTATGATAGAGCGCCTAATGATTTCACCGGTCAGCGCTCTCTCGTAATAATTCCACGGGCTTTGTGTGTTTGAGTATCATATTGCTGGGGAGCAGAACGCACCAGCATGAGCAAGCTCTGCAAGCCATCCAAAGTCGGTGTCTCCCGCAGAATTTCTGGAAGCAGCCTATGTGCCTCTGCAGCATATGCCTCGCCATCAACATAGATTCGCGGTGTTATTCCCATGTCAATTATAGAACAAAATGCAAGGAAAGCAAAAATACTAGCTCTGCTCGCGTTTCGGTTTGTAAAACCATCAGACAGTCGTGACTGTAATGGATGATACACATTGCTAATCGTTTTCAAATGCAAAGTTATATCGACCAAAGGAAACACAAGACACACTGGGGAGATTAGGAAGATGTCAATACACTCCTGTGTGATGCTAATATCGGGTAGCTCAACTGGGTGTCGCGCCGATGGGTCAGGCCACGAACTTCGTTCGTTTTGCCATGGAGGGATAGAATCATGGGATTGGTTGACGAAGAGCCTCTCTCCAGTACGGGCCTGCACCCATTCCTGACCTCTGATGGAAAAAAATGGTATCCCGTTATATGAGCTGATAAGTTCAAGCCCACGTGTTGGAAATGGCATTATGTGTTCGTGGTGTAGTGCGACTCCTTCTTTACGAATCAAGAACAAGTTATTAGTTAAGAGAAAAAGAAAAGAAAATATCCAGAGTGTAATGTTCACGAACCCTTGTCTATAGCAAGACTGAGAACAAATTCTTCAATTCGATCGATGCGCTGCGTGATACTAGGCGCCGCTACTTGCCTAGAACGAGCCCAAGCTGTTAGTGATTACTCTACCTGGTAGAGAGATAGTTTAATTTTCAACTTACTTTTTAACCATATGGTCATTTCGCGGCCTATGCGGGAGACGAGAAAATGTACACGCGACATTGTAATGGGCGCACCAGCTACAACGTGGTCTTGACGTGTTGCACTTTATCTAGCTCCCATTTTCATATTAGCCTTAGTAATGGTGTGAAAGGGTAGACTGCGGTTACCTTTCTTTTATAGCAGGAATCACATGCCCACGACTTCATTTCTTTTTTGGATGATGAATAGGAGCCGGAGATGATATAGGAACAGAAAAAATTAGGCAAATTGGGGAGGATATAAATTCAATCAACCCAATCTCTGCTTAGACAGATAGGCAAGGCAGCAGCTTATCTATCGGGTGATTAGTTTGGCCGACTAACTGTTAGCATTATTTGTCGCGCTATATCACCAGGCATTACACGTAGTTAAACTCTTTCACTTTGTATCTTTATATCGCCACCTTGGGCCCCGGGAGATTGTTCTTATTAGTCATCTGGCTACGCCAAGCCACTAACCAAGATGGGATGATGCACCCCGAGAATTTCATCCAGTAATTCGATGCTTTGGCAAAGGATTCCCAGAGGTGTGGCATACGGGATTTAGGAACACCAGTCGAGATCTTGGTGGCACTCAAGGTCCCGTTTTGTTAATCATTTTATCACACTGGGATGCGACGCTCTTCCATCAAGCTGAGTCGGGGCTCATCAAGTTTGGCCGCCCGTTCTCGTGCGGTTTTGTCAATTCTGATATTATTCTCATGTCTGGCTGCCGAATGAGTATTTGGCATGTATCAAATCTTTAAGAAAATGTGCTTACACGCAAACAAACCTAGCCATAGTAGCGGTCCCAACCAACTCAGTCAACTTGGCAATCTATCCCGTACTCTAAGAGGATCTAGCAGCGCCAGCTATTGCCCAGAAAGAATAGAGACCGTCAAATTCCAGTTCGAGCATCCCACGTAGATTTGAAATACTCCATCATCAAAACCCCGAGTTTATCGCTCCTACAACAACTCGAATAGAGTCTACACAGAGAAGATACCATCTTCATGTTCGGCAGCAACCCACCGCCGCGTGAGTTTGCGGTAAAAGCGTTTGATACCGTCGACCGGTCGATCTATCTCCAATTAGTACATATTCTCCTCTCAGGTTTCGATACAGGGTCGTTGGATGGCCGTGATATCCTGCAAGATCCGCGATTTACAGTTGCTGTTTAGTATACCCAGAAATCGAACAAAACTAGCATCCAAAACGAGATGTAGGAAGCGATAGAGTTGCTCGTGCGGATGATGTATTTTTCACACCACTTCTGTCTGGCAAAAAATTCATTTCCTCTTTCTTCATGAACGCAGATCCCGACCCGAACTCGGCCCTACCCGCCCCTACCCGTCCCTCCCACGACTGGAATCCAGGAAACTCTTTCTTGCCTAGCACTGGTAAACTCCAGAATGCATCAAAACGTTTCCAGCCTACTACTTTGTTCATCTTCACCGATCTCTCCATCGGCTCTGCAGGGATGTAGCGCCTCAAACTCCGGCTCATGAACTGGGGCTATGTTAAGGATAAGGGACACTCGATACCTATCTCGCGGAAGCTTGGTCGGACCCGTTTGGTGTGTGCCTAGCGAAGGATTTCCCGGCAATGTGTGATTCATCTATCCTCGCAAATTGGCTCAAGGAACATAAGTTTGCAAAGTTACAAATTAGAGAAAAGGGCAAGGGGGAAGGGGCGAAAGAAATAGTGACGTCGCATCTCTTGTGAAGAGTAGGGCGGCAAGAAGGGATTTCCTAACGAATCAAAAAAGAATAAAAGTACATACAACAGTGAGGATTCGCTGGTGGTCACCCACCCAACTACTAACTCACCGGCGTGTGGCTTAAGTACGGCTGAGCGGACGGGAAGCCCTGTTTTCCACACCCTATGGTCGTATGTACTTGTATAAGTGCGGTAGAGGATTGTATTATGCAAATGGTAAGTGGTGAATAGGCGCTAGATGATCGGCCCTCCGGAGCAATTAATGAATAGCCTGGACTCGGCGTACTCAACGCAGTTTCATCCATTGTATTCGATTGTCAATAAAATCGAGCTTGAAAGGGTCCACAACGAACGAAAGACCCCGTGGCTTCTCATTCACACGGTCTGCTTTATCGAGGCCACCTTCTGTGACTCTGCTGTGATCCACCAGTCTAATATTAGGTCACGACTTGATACACGCCGTCAATATTACCAGAAAGCAAAGCTGCTTTTTGACTTTGGTTATGAAACAAATAAGATTATATTGGTGCAATGTTCTATAATGTTGAGCTTCTGGGGACCGTAACCCCATAGCCATTGGAACCCGTGCTCCTGGATTGGATTTGGTGTCACATTTGCCGTGTCGCTTGGGATCCACCGCTCAGCTGCTTCTTCCAATGCACCCCGGGGCGACAAAGGCCTTTTACGTCTGGTGGTTGTTGGTCGTACGAGATACATATTGTTCTGTATTATTAGGAAGACCCTTTCGTATCAATCTGACACAATCGGACACAAAAGCATTGATGATGGAAGACTTTGTCCATGAGAGTGCAGAGGAAGGATTTTACACATTGCACGCCTAACGCTTTTTTTACGACAAATCTTGCATTGTTGCTTTGGGCCTGGTGATCAGACCACTACTCCAGGACAGATCCACATTGATACCGAGAAATGGCATTCCGACTTGCAACACTCACTTCAACGCTGGCCCCACAAAAACGTTCCATTCACATGCTCGGTCGCTCTTGAGCTTCACTATAACTACTACTTGATTCTGCTGTACATTCAAAATCCGACAATAATGCAGCAAGGGGCCCCTCTTCATCACTACTCAGAGCAACCGCCAGCCGGTGTCGTTGAATCATGTGCTCGCACAATCGCTTCCTATGCCATCACCCTTGTGACCAGAACAGATGTCTGCGACCTTCCGCACGAGCTCTTCCCGACATTCTTTGTCGCTGGAATAGTACTATATCGACAAACCCAAGATTAACACGAACTATTGTCTCAGATGGCCCAGGCTAATCTTGACAACTGCCGGGTCATCTTGAACGAAGCGAAGGATGTTTGGGATCCCGGCAAATGGGCCATGGAGATTTTCGACTTTCTGTGTGCCAATCGCAAAGAAAATGCCCAGAGGTTGTCCCAAGTTCCACGGGAAACCCAAGAAACAGCCCCCTTGCGCGATCCCAACACGGTGGATAATCCCTCCACAACAGAACAGTACCCCCTTGCAAAACTCAATCACGATCCCTCTTTTGCCTTAAGTTGGGATTCAATTCAAGCACAGTTTACCGGTGGGATGCAAGATTACTCACTAATGCCGACTTTTCTCCCACTGGCCACGGATGAATGGTCGGCATTCCAACTTTGATTCCTATTTGGTCTCCATTTATTTGAAATCTTACACGCGTGGATCGATCATTGTATCATACAACCGCAGTTATATGGACGCTGAATAATGTCTCCGATATGGATCAATAGAGATCCCCACAAAAACAGGTAATTTATCATATGTGGGTTTAATAAACACGCTAGTCCTATTTAAATGATTTACTGTCGGTGGGACCTGCCTTCTCCTAACTAGTTAGTTAACTATGCCCCTTCGTAAATGGGTGACATAATACAGGGATGTATCTCACATGACACTAGTTTTCGGAGGCGCCTTTATCAATTGACATAAACATATTCTCGTCTTAATGCTTCCACAACCAGCTTCAAAGCCGGTGCAGGGTCATCTAATTTTTTTCCCTTGAAAAAGAACACCTATCATGGAGGAAGGGAATAGTTGGATGAACTTATTTTTCTCTGGCAGCCGTCCAAACATTCTGAAAACGAACGAACTCGGCGGCCAAACATTCCGACTGTTTTGTGCTGAAGACGAGAACTGGGAACTAGGAAGCAGGGCCGATTTATCAAGAGAACCGGATGCGAACACTATACAGGTGTTTTGGCTTCGGATCAAAGGACGCAGAAAATATATCGGCAAAGTCGTAAGGGGAGACTATCATTATACGCGAGCTCCGATTAATCATATACCAGTTTCCTCGCTATTCTAAGCAAGATGCTATGATACAGCTTCATCGTATCGGAGTATTTCCGACTCCAGAAAGGATAGACGATGCTATATACCAGTTCGATAGATTTCATCGGGAGGCTCGAGCATACAGCCATATCGACCTATTCTGTTCCGCCCGTGAAAGAATATATTTCCCACAATTCCACGGAGTGATTACCGATATACCAAATCTTCGATTTTCTTCTGGGTATTGGCATGAGCGAGCGGTTGTGCTAGAAGCAATAAAGCTAGATTTACGCTCTCGACGTGTTCTAAGTGAAGTCAACAATCACCAGTCCGAAAGCTTCTTAGCTATCCTTATCACGCTATCTCAAAGGTTTTGCACCACTCCTGGAGTGATTTCTCTAAGCTCATTTGAGCGGGAGTGGTATCATTCTTTACTGAAAGACCGACTTCGTCGCCTAGATACTTTGCATCGAATTGGCATAACCCATGGCGATATCCATGATTTCCACTTTCGACTTCCTAATGATATTTACGATACAGTTCTATACGACTTCTCCGAATCGTACACTTTCTCTGAAAAGCAGCCTTTTCGGGTGTGTGGTGGAAGACCTCGACCACTAAGCGTTATATCAGAGGGTGAACGTGAACGTGTCCTTCTGGGCATCCTTGATCGGTAAGAAAGAAGGCTTCACTCTCTATATCGTCACTAACATAAATCTAGAGCCGCCTCACGAGATCTTCGTTCTCATCTAGTACATTTTAATAGCAAAGCTACGGTTACTGGCATCAACTCTAAAGTCATTTCTTCTGTTGATAACGCACTCTGGCAGTCTCTAGATGGAGAGGAGGGATTATTGGAGTTGATCATGCTAAAAGTCTCCTATCACCCAGATGGTCAGTTTTTATAAATCCGTTCGTTCCTAGATCTAAGATGTCGATTACTAACTGTACTAGACTTTTCGATGCCGACCTTGAATTCCATTTTCCCTTTTCTAGAAACCGTCTGCCCAAACTCTGACCTCTGCTGGCATATTCGTCGAGGCAGACTTTTACGTCAATATGAGTCAATTTGGGCAGTCTTTTGTGATGATAAAGCCAACTCACAATCAATCACTTTTGATTGTGAGCCCCAATTTGGAAAAATCGAGAAAATGAAGGACTCGCGCGTTATACTTTGCTTAGTACCACATTCGTGGGATGTTACATCATTGAAGACGAAATTTGATTTTGCCGGACTACACAAGCTACGGACATTTTGCTCAAATTTTATTTTAGCAAAAAAACCCGGAGCAATTCTAAGTCGAGCCGAATTTTGGAAAGAAGCGGAGTCTAGAGGAACTGGGGAGTTGGAGTGATGAATGATAACGATCTTACGCTTTTGTCACGTCACATCGTTCAGACAAGAAATCTCAGATCATTACCCACTAAATGCGATTTGACTTAAAACGCTGTTTCGACAGTAAGAGACGCCCATGTGAACTCTAAGCAGGATTCCAGATTGATTTATAGCAATTGATAAGACTTATTAGCACTATATATCAATCATAAAGGAAGCAGAGGGCAATACGATCATCATTTCGAAAATTACCGAAAATTACGTTGCTAAAAATTAGAAATATATATATCGCAATAACTATATTATGGATAATTTCAAACCTCTTTAGAGAGGCTAGGTACCACCTGAAAAACATCATGCTAGTAGGTAAACCCTATATAGACCACCGTTGTCAAGATATCAAGTTGTAATTTATCGCATTTACTATGTGTTTTGGACTGCGCCGCTCGTATGTGAAATACGTTAACTAGTAAATAACGTATTCGGTAAGCGAGCTGGCCATGTAAGCCAGCTGGCCACCTCACCCAAAATTGTCCGTTAATTAGCACTTCATTAATTCAACCACCCACCATGCCACCAATTCGCTCTCAAAGCTCTCGAAATTCAATAGAGCAAGAGGGTAGGATATTATTAGCTATTCAGGCTTTTCAAAAGCAAGAAATCTCATCAATTCGTGAAGTGGCTCGCCTATTTAACGTACCCCGTTCCACCCTTACTACGCGCCTCAATGGTGTCAGAAATCGCGCGAATTCTCGCGTAAATTCGCAGAAATTGACACAAACCGAGGAGGAAACTCTTCAAAAATGGATTCTTTCTATGGACTCTCGTGGATCTGCCCCCCGGCCTTCTACTGTACGAGAAATGGCGAATCTTTTACTTCAACAACGCGGAACCACCCCGGTTATTTCGGTCGGCGAAAAATGGGTTTATAACTTTGTGAAACGACACCCTCTCCTCTCCTCCCGATTCTCGAGACGCTATAATTACGAACGTGCGAAGTGCGAAGACCCGAAGATCATTCAAGAGTGGTTTACACTTGTTCAAAATACCATCCTTCAATTTGGAATCGACCCCGATGACGTTTATAACTTTGATGAGACTGGTTTCGCAATGGGGCTAATCGCTACTGCGAAGGTGATAACAAGGAGCGAATTCTACGGTCGACGCTCGCTTTTACAACCTGGAAATCGCGAATGGGTGACTGCTATTGAGTGTACAAATTCGTCGGGTTGGGCCCTCCCTCCGTGTATCATTTTTAAAGGCAAAGTCTTTATTGAATCATGGTTTGATGGCCTTCCGGATGACTGGCGATTTGAAGTTAGTCCGAACGGTTGGACCTCTGATGAAATTGGACTTCGTTGGCTTGAAAAGCTCTTTATTCCTAGCACTTCTTCGCGTACGAAGGGGAGGTATCGTCTCCTAATACTCGACGGACATGGAAGCCATTTGACCCCTAAATTCGATGAAATTTGCGAGCAAAATAAGGTTATACCAATTTGTATGCCTCCGCACTCCTCTCATCTTTTACAACCCCTGGATATCGGTTGTTTTGCTGTGTTAAAGCGATCATATGGTCGGCTGGTTGAAATGAAAATGCGGAACGGGATCAACCATATCGATAAACTTGACTTCCTCGATGCATACCCCCTCGCACGAATTGAAGCTTTTAAATCGGAGACTATTAAAAATAGCTTCGGAGCAGCTGGTTTAGTACCTTTTGCACCTGATCGAGTGATCTCGAAGCTGAATATTTATCTTCGAACCCCAACCCCCCTCCAAGCCGGGGTAGCGAATCAAGCCGGAATTTCACACCAAAAACACCAGCTACAGAGAAAGAACTACGTCGACAGGCTTCCTCAATCAAAGCTTTACTTCGTACAAGATCTCGAAGTCCTCCAAGCCCGTCAGATCGTGCATTAGACCAACTTGTGAAAGGCTTCCGTCTCACAATGCAAGGTGCTATACTACTCGCTAAAGAAAATAAGGAATTACGCGCTGAAAACGAGAAGAAGAAGCAAAAGCGGACCCGATCTTCAAGGCATATAGATCACGAAGGAGATCTTTCAGTTCAGGAGGTTCGTGAGCTACGTTCAGAGCCATTTGAGGCCCAAGTAGCGCGTATCAATACCTATCGTGAGCGGGTTTCGGAGGGTTTACAGCCAGCTACACGGGCCGGGCGAGCGTGTGGAATATGCAGATTACCGGGACATAGAAGAGAAACCTGTCCAGATAGATAAATCAATTTAATTGAATTAATTTAATGGTGTTTTGGTTGAGATAAATCAAGTTGAATTTAATGGGCTGGGTGAGGTGGCCAGCTGGCTTACATGGCCAGCTCGCTTACCGAATACGTTATTCGATGTCTTGATGCCTAATTTAATCTGGTTATTGACCGCTTTTTACACCGCCCTATACAATATACTGTAAATTATTCATCCCAAAATGAAGCTTTTGATCTCCACACAAATTGAGAGATCTCGACATTATTAGACGGTTTACAAGTGTTAAAATTGAGGCTTCTCATCTCTATACAAATGGTAGTATCTCTATATTTTAAGACTTATAAACCACCTAGAATATGGAGATCAAAAGCTTCAATTTTGACACTTACAAACCGTCTAAGAAAGTCGAGATCTCTCAATTTATATAGAGATGAAAAATTGACACTTGTAAACTATATAAGGAAGTTGAGATCTCTCCATTTATATAGAGATTAAGCTTTATTTTTAACTTAACAGTGATAGAAGTCCAAAAAAAGACAAAACATACAACAGTGAGGATTCGCTGGTGGTCACCCACCCAACTACTAACTCACCGGCGTGTGGCTTAAGTACGGCTGAGCGGACGGGAAGCCCTGTTTTCCACACCCTATGGTCGTATGTGCTTGATACACCATTGCAGAGGGTTCTACAATGCAAGCAATTATGAAATAATAAGTGAGGTGTGATATAGATAGGGTCAAAATGAATGCGATCAGCTCTCAGCTGAGCTATAATGTAACATTATTCGATACCTTTCTACCTGAACACTAGGCCTGTTGGCACCAGTCTAGAGGGTTATACCTAAAGGTTGCCTATCTACGTGATCTTCATGCTAATCAACATACTAATAAGTGTTAGTGTTATGCAGTAGGCCACATCAAAGGGGTCCAACTTACCTTCCTCTGCGTCACCTTATATTGAGAATTTTGAAGTGCAGAAAGTATCACTTGGTACCGTAGGCTCTCTCAAACAGTCCCAGCCAAATTAGCTATACCATCACTAAGCCCAAGAAACTTTACCAATGGCTTTACATGATACCAGTGCCAAGAGAGCAAAGAAAACACTGGAATCCCCGTTGTCTCGATACATGGCTGCTAGAGGTACTCGCTATTTAGCATCGCTTGCTTTATTACAATATGCGGTATCATAACCAGGTTGCCAATGCATACCACTAAGATCAAGGTCCATTTAATCAATATGAACTTCCACAATCTTTCTTGTTATCAATGAAATATTTTTTAGTCAGGGGTAGGTCAGTCCCATGGTCTACTACCCTCGAGGCACATAAGCCTAGGATATTTTTCCTTCAACTTACACTAAAATAGTCGCCGCAGACGCTTGTCCTACACTCTAACACCTTCGCAGTGCTTTCTTGACGTATATATACTGTTATAGCATCACATGCTGGGCACCTTGTTTGTAGAGAACCAATCCTTTCTTCTCTAATATAGGGGGTATCCTATGGCTCGCCATTGGATCTTTACACGCTTCCAAGTAACGCTTTTCCTTTAGAATTTTGTTATAGTAAGGGGTGTTCACGCTGCATCTGCGCGTGTATTATAGGTCTATGAATCTATGAACAACTATGTATGTATCCCTGTGGTCCTTTACGCTATTCAATGTTGTTCACGCTATTGAAATAAAATTATACCAAGTGAGACCTAAGAATATATATATTTTTCAGACATGAAAATAAAAAGCGGCCTAATTGGATAGGATTCGCATTGTTATAGATCGTGTTTGCCGTTCAAAATAACTGTTAGATGTTTAGATGAAAAACGATAAATTTGTAAGGGAGTTGCATTGATAGATCGCATTTGCTATCCAACATTGATATTTAAAAAGATAAACAAGCCAAGCGCAAGTGAGCAACTGGCGAGTGGAAAGTTGGCTCCCGAGACTCTGTCACCGCCATCGCCACAAGGTGGCTTGTGTGCTTCTCCTCATCCAACCTCTTTTCCATAACCACCCAACGCTGCCTGCTTCCTATTCACCATATTTTGCTTGAAACCTTCCATTCACATATCCTATTTGAATCCCTCATCCGGTTTTGTTACTCCTTCAACCAATGAACCAATCATCACCGTGAAGAAGACCACACACACACAACCTCACAGACCGAGCCGCCATGGCGCGACGGTACGAGATCGATGAGCTGATATGGCTCCGCGGCTCGCCCCTCGTCGCAAAGCCTCCTGGCCTGCCTCCAATTGAAGAGTGGATGTACGTCGACTCCGATGCTTGCAATTCTTCGGCTGTCCCGCACTGTTCAAGACTAATCGCAACCTCTAGGCCTCAACCTGACCCAACAACCGCACAACGAAAAACCCATGGCACCCGTGATGCTAACAATCCGACTGAAACTGGTACGGGCAGAAGACCTAGCTTTTTTGAAGCCAAACATATCTCTCGGGGGTCTAATTCTGGTATTATTTATCTCCCCCTCCCGTCGATCATCAAGTGTCCTGATCGATCTCCAATGGAGGGACTTGCTAATTTGGATTCCGTCATTTTTAGAGGACATCGTACTCGGCCCCCGAAAACCGCTTTCGCCTCATCTCGTATTGGCGGCAAAGGCTCGTTCGACCTGACGGACCGACCAGCGGCGCAGCCCAATAATTCGGATGAAACGAAGATCGAGCGATTCAATTTCAGAGACAGGTTTCTTAAGGACCGGGATGTCCCGGATAAAGAGTTGGATCGACGGGAGGTCAAGCCAGCACCACTGAGTGCCCGGCGTGGTGAGAGAGAAGACTGGAATGCCGGGCGCCCACGTCGCACATTCGGCGCGGATGAGCAGGAGCGCAAGCCCAGAAGAAACGGCGAGTTCGATAGATGGGAAAACAAAGAAGGACCCCGCGATCCGAATGCTGAACGGGTTCCCCGTGACAAAGATGGCCGATTCCCCACTCGGAAAGAAGGACAGCCCCCACGATCTAAATATGAAGGAAGCTGGTTCCGCGATGAACAGGCTCAAGAGGGCGCGAGTGCGGGCGCGAGTGCAGGCGCTGATGCTGATGACGATAAACCGCCGTTGCGCAACCGAGAATGGCGCCAAAACCAGACCCGACACGGCACCGAGCGTGAGTGGAACCGCGGCGCCAAATTTGAACAAGACCCTGAATGGCTGGATGCCAATGACCGAGATGAACCGCGACGAGCACACACCCAGGAGGACTTTGAGCGCTGGAAAGAACGTATGAAGGCCGGATCTGGATCATCCGCACAAACCCCGGCACATGCTGAGGAGAAGAGAGAAGCACACGTTGAAGAGCAAAAGCCAGAGACCCGCCGTACCGATGGTGAGATCTTCAGCAATTCCGGTGCTCAGTTCATGTCCGACGATTCAATGGAACGATTCTTTGGGCTCCTGGGTGATTCGAAGGCTCAGCCTCAGACCCCAGAAGTCAGTACTCCTATCGCTGCCGACCCAGTCGCCAAAAAGGAACCCTCCCCCTTTCCCGGAAAACCCGGAAAATCATCTCGTTTTGCTGGTCTCTTTAGCCCCATGCCAGAGAGCCCTGCCAGAGAGCCCGAGCCGATGCCTTATTTCAATGCCCCACCACAGCCCCACCCCCAGCATTATCAACAGCCCCCCAGCCGGCGCCTGAGAGTATGCCTTTCCCATCCCACAGTGCGGACCAAGAAGGCTTTCAGCGCATTCTGCAAATGCTTGGTGGACAACGCTCGGAGAATGCTACGCCTCACGAGATGGGTATGCCCCAGCAGCAACGGACGATGTCCATGATGCACGCCGAACAGCAACATGCTGCACTATCTCTGTCATCTCCTTCTAGGGAACACCCTCACCGATCTGATTACATGGGGCCTGGCCCCGAGAATCCCATGGCCCAAGTTGGCCCTAAGGAGTCCCAGTCGCTGGAGAGAGCGCACTTGCTTCGTTTGATGCAGCAAGTCCGAGTCGGTCCACCACCTGCGGGTCATCTATCCCAACAGTCTCCCAACCAGGGTATTGCCCCTCCTCCCGGTCTGATGCCAGAAGGCATGCCACGTCCTCCGCCAGGTCTTTCTGCCCAAAATACGCCTACTTTCCTCGATGACCCGGCAATTGCGAACATGCAGCGACCAGACCCCGAGCACCTCCGCCGACGACCTGCAAATGGTCCGCCTATGGGATTCTTTGACGATATGCCGTTCCCTCAGGGTAATCAAGGGCCGATGACCCCAGGTGGTTCTATTACTTCTGGTGGCTCACGTCCTCAAGGTGCGAACCAGCCTCCCATGCCACTTCAGCGACCCCCGGGTCTCGAGCATCTGCCACCTCCTGGATGGACTGGCCAGCCTGTCCCGCAGCAGGGAAATGTACCAAGCCCTATGGGCCCTCCTCCTGGAATATCTACTCCGGGCCGCGGCATGAACCCTAACTTCCCCCCTGGCATGCTTCCCATGCCCGGCAATGCGCCTCCAATGAATGAGCGCCAAGGCTTCCCTCGTGGCCTGCCTCCAGGCATGATGCCACCTCCGGGTTATATGAATGGCCCTCCCCCAGGCTTCCCTCCCATGCCGCCAAATCCCGAGGCTATGATGGGACTTGGCCCCGGTGCTCAGGGTCCCTTTGGGCCTGGAAACCCTGGCCCACAAGGCCCTCCCCCTTCGTCTAGACACCTCCTGGAGATGTTCGGCCAATCCAACGGCGGTGACGTCCGTGGTGGCATGGTCGGTCCCGGCCAGTTCAGATAAACGGAAGATATTGGAAAAGGATTTCTATCGCCTCGCTTACATTTACGCACCATTTACCACTGCCCAATGACCATTTATGATTATTTACGCTAGCTTGGTGAAGCCGATGTACAGGAGCTCGTGGTCTTCGTTTTTCATTTTCCTTCAACCCCAGATCGCACGCAATGTCGCAACTCCTCTTGAGAGAACAAAATACCCATTTTCTTGTTTCTTTTTTTTATTTCCAGAAATGTATTTGCCCATGTCCTTTCGGCGAAATGATCCCCGTGTTCAATAACTGCCACTTACTCCTCCGCGTTTGAGCCTTTGCTGCGTTGGCTTTGGCTTCCCTGGTGTGATTTTGCTGCATCTATTACCGGGCCTTTTCCTTTCCTCTCTTCATATTTTTCCTGGTGTTCTTGAAATCTCTCAAGGGGCGATGCTTTCGTGTTGTGTGTTCTGGTGCTGGATCTGATGAGTATAGTCGTGATGACTATAACTTGGGGTTGACAATATGTGTCGATAAGGTGGTGGATGGATGGTCTTTAACTATGCCTTTATTGGGTCTCTGGTCTTCGCTGGTTGCCAGTACATTCATGCTTTAGTTCCATAGATAGCTAACCAACCTCAATCTATCCACCACTTGTTCAGGACTGGGATCCTTGTAAATGTTGCTTGTTAAAATATATGAAGGGCAAGTATGTAATGTGTCTCGGCCCGATCTCAAGTGAAGTTTTTGACATGCTACCGCATGAGCCAAACAAGGGACTCAGCCATACCTCACTTCATACATACTACGTTTCCTCGATTAATTCATATAGGATAGTGATCACAGTGTCTTCTATGTCTAATTACGTATACTACCATCCTATAATATCTTCAGGTCTAGCTCTCACCCTCCTTGTGTTCTTTAGAATATTTGTTGATTGTGTTTGTATCTGATGTGTTTGCGGGTCTTCCTAGACTTGTGCGAATGTCACATAGTAGAAATCTCCGGGTGACCACTACGCACATGTTTACAGATATGTATTTATTCCTCCCATTAAAGAGTTAATTTTTTCAAAAAAATCTTTAATGGGAGGAATTCCAATATGGTCTCGGCAACCAGCATAATACTTTATGAGGATCCCTGGTAAACGTGGCTTCACGTGACCATCCTTGCCCCAATCGATCTATAAAGGATTACCGGCTGGAGAACACATATTCAAACCCAGCACATTTAGATACAGTTTTCATTAGAAAATAGATGAGTCACTGTTTAATGGTCAAATGTCATATTATATTGGAGTCTAAATAGTAAAGTTGACTGAAATGCTAACATGAATCCCGGCGCCTCGGTTTGGACCGACGACTAATCGCGAGATTCATAAACGACTAAGCGCAGCAAACCTCTAGAGCGATTTACAAACAGTGTAATTCCATCTATTGTTCAATCCTATTTCTTCCTTGTCGTCACCCGACAGAGCGCCGACGATACCTATACAGGGTTAGGCCATCGAGTATCGAGGACAGGTAAAAGTACAGCATCAAGCTGCCTCATACCGCAATTTAAACAGCCAAGTGTGTTCCTCGTGTTGACTTCAGAATTTGAGCTATTGTTTGGTCCTATGCTAACATCCTCGAGACACAGCCAAGGTACTTGATCCAACCGGCCACGCTCAATCCTACTCAATCCTTCAAATCAAAGACATTGCTACATATCATTCTTCAAGGTATGGTCTCCCTTCAAAATTTGCAAGTCAGCCAAACTGGTTGGCTGGAGATATCTGCGATAGAAAGACTTGCACTTCTTGTCGAAGGGAATTGCATTGGATGCTAATCGAATGGTCGAGTAGACTTTCAATATGGATCGTGTGGAAGTGGAGGTGATTCTTGATATGGACGACGATGGGGTAAGTGAATCTCTCGGCGCTTCCCCCGTTTGCGCGCGCGTTATAAATCTGTTTCCCACCAAGCTAATCCTGGACGCTCTCCGCGTTCACCACCTAGCTCAGCTACATCCGAACCAATCCCGCAATTCCCTTCGTGCTACCCTCCGTGGAAGACAACTTTGAAGACGATTCTTCCGTCTCCTATCCTACTGGATCAAAGCGCAAGCGTGACACTGTGACAACACCCGCGCAGAAACGTCCAGCTACTGAGCCCGCCGCACCTACCGAGACCGCCGCAGCTCTTGAGGCCGCCGCACCTTTCCTCCCTTCGTACCAAGGTCCTGCTCACCGCAACTGGTCACGCAACCGTACCCCTATCATTGAAGAGTCTCTCCTGACTCGTGGTAAGTCTCTCTTTCTTATACCACCTTGTGTTTATTCCCAAATGCTTGGACGAAAAACTCATTATTCCGAATGTAGTAAGCACCGAAGAGCCCGAAGACCTTGACGCACTTGCTATTGCGCGCCCTTTTGGCTGGGCTCGTGATATTCACGGAATGGCTCCCCTGGAGCCCCTGGAGCTTCCCAATAACTCAAACGGAACCAACAACTCCCGCGTTTGGGAGTCACACCGTCCATCTAACTTGAACTTCACGATTTACGAAGACCCACCGGACCAGGAGACACCAAACCCCAGCCCTCGGCAGGAAGGCTTCCACCCTCATGAAGAGGATAAAGAAAATATCTTTGTTTCTCGCTCTGACTTTGATAGCTCTGGAGAAGAAGAAGAAGAGACTCACCCCGATCTCGCTTGGAATGAAGCTTCCATCGGACCTCGCGATGCTTTCGGTCTGCCACTCAATCGTGAAATGTCTGAGTTCGTCCAGCCTCGTGACACCCCATTCCCCGAGCGCCCTATGCGCCATGGTCGCGAGGTTTTGCGAACCATCTGGGTTGATGAGACACAAGTCCCCGAGGAAGATGAGCGTTGGCTGCATGATGGTAGTCTGACCGATACCCAGATTCGAGAGATTGAGGATATTGAAGCAAGTTATCAGCGAGGACAACTCAGCAGGGCCCGCTCTAACCGCCATCAGGCTTTGCGTGGTGATGCTCCCGTCCAGGCTCCTACCAACTTCCACACTGATGTTCGTCGCGTCCTTCATTTCCAGCGACACGAGGGTCGGTCTACTACTCCCGAGGGTAGCCCTGTCCGTCCCGAGGATCGCCTGATTACTCCCGAGGAAGACGAGAACGAGCTTCAGCAGGAGGATCAGGACCAGCAAGACCAGGACCAGTAATCTGGGAACATACGGCTTTTTGCTCTGGAATTGTTCGCGATCTGACACTGTACATCACACGATCTTCACTTTATCTTGTGATAAGCTTCCTTCTGTTTGACGCAATCTGCAATTTTCAGATCTGTGCTCTTTTTCGAATATGCTTTCACGCTCTCACGGCATGTATGATTAGCTTATTGATAGCCGATGAATCTTATTCTTGTCCAAGTCAAAAATTCATTGGTAAACATTTTAGATCTAAGCATAGGCATATTGATACCATTGTCTAGGTATGTACTAAGCAAAAAGAAAAGACCACACAAACCTATAGGGCTTGGAAGACGTGCCATTTTGGGGGCATAAGCATACTTAGGCGTATCATTCTTCGAGATGCACGCAATGCCTGTCTTTCTAAGTGTCTTTCTAAATATCTTTCTAAATATACTTTTAACGTCTTTTGAGATGTCTTTTCAATGTCTTTTCAATGTCTTTTCAATGTGTTTTATGATGACAATCAAAAGATAACTCAAAAGACACCCCGGGAGAGCAAGATGTACACAGCCAGGCCATTATGTGTCTTGTACAATTTGATTAGGCCTAATATGATATTGGGCATGATACATGTTGACCAGCGAAAAAGTGGGCGTCGATTCTGCTATGTAAATACAACTATGTGTCCTGTAAAATATTTCCTCCACTAAGAATAAATGCCCCTTCCAGACATAAGCAGCAGATCTCAAATCCTGCGACGCACAATGCCATGGTCCATATTCCTTTTTTGGTGGTTTTTTTGTTTTTCAACTTTTTTTTGCTGTTTCTCTCTCCGTTATCTTGCTCATGCTTCTTCTGAAGATTCCACCTAATTCTGTTTCTTAGGAGGCGCAGATCGAGTAACCTTTCCTTTGGCACTGGCTTTAGGCGCGGAGTTCGACGCGTTTTTGGATTGCAAATGGACGGCGAATCCCTTCTTTGGATCCTCAGTGACTTCACCAAACATCTCCAGCAGCTCTTTGAGTGTATTCCGGTCCATGAGAACATTCTGACTCATAACTTCGCCGATCTCCTTAGCTTTCCGCTTCTGGGTCTTATCCATCCAATCATCAATAGAGTCTTTGACCATGAGCATGATACATTCGACATCTCGTTGTTGGCCAAGACGCCAGAGACGAAAGAATGCCTGTCATTGCATTGTATAATTAGTACCCTAGGGCCTTGAGGTTTTAGTTCACGCGCGTCCACATACCTGGTCTTGGACAGCCTCATTCCACCATAGATCCACCAAGATACACTTGTTGGCCACAGAGAAATCAAGACCTAGACCCCCAGTTTTGATGGAAGCAATCATGATCTTGGTCTCATCGTCATCCCGGAAGTTGCTCAGATTGATTTCTCGTGATCTATTAGCCATTCGGCCCGTCATCTGGTGAAGTCATGTTAGGTATGTGCTCTGTCCATTCCATTGTCTTGTAGAACTTACTTGGGAGCATTTCCACCCATTTTCTTCACAAAGGTACCGTAAAAGCCTATTGCTATTGATGTACTGTGTGAAAATCACGATTTTGGCTGTGCTGTCTTTCTCGAGCCACTCTTTGACTTGAACTGTAATCGCATCAAATTTGGCGCCTGGCATCGATCTCCCAAATTTCGCTATCCAATCTTGTCCTTGGTCGACCTCTTCTTTCTCGCAGGGAACATCATCCTCATCGGGGGTTTTGTCTCGCACTTCGTCTTGGCTCCCACGTTCGCTTTCGTTGTCGAATGCACTTAGGGTCTCATCGGCCAACAACCATTCTGAGAAAGTGGAACCGGGATATTTATCCTTTCGGCGCTTTTTGGTTCGGCCTTCATTTGCCGTTCTTGTTGTCTCTGACGTGGCTGGTCGCTTTTGCTGGCCTGCCAGTTCAGAAAACTCAGCATCCTCCAGTGGAGGTGTATCGAAGTCATCGTAGATACCGTATAATGCAGCCTTTTTAATGGCAATTTTGCAAGTACGGCACTGTCGACTGACACCATCCGTATTTCCTTCTTCATCATCGAGTGCGTCGAAGCATTCTTCGCAATAAAGATGTTGACAGTCCGTGATAATCGCCCTTGTTGGAAGCCCCTCGCAGCCAGGACAGAACCAGGTGCGATGATCACTCTCATAGAAGTCTTTTTCCTTCCAGAGAGCTTCTATTTTGGCCTTGAACTTGGAAACAAGCTTCGCGCAATTTCCAGGTGGCCGTGGTCGAAGGTTTTCGCTTTCTGTCCGAGACCGCAGAGGAGCCATAGGCATATTGGTTTGGTATCTCCCTGAAAGACAGCACTTCGCAATCCTGCTTGATGGAGATGGGCCTGTACTTGTTTCATCTTTCACCCAGGTCTTTAGCTGCGCATCCAGTGTGTTGTTGAAATTACACACTCGCTTGAGGTAATCTTCTCCGGCAAGTGGATGGCTGGTGAACATTTGCAACTTTAGGATCATAGTCAAAATGCATTTGCTCTGGGATTTCTTTCGAGAAGCTATAGTTTTTTTAGCAGCGAATTCAGTCAATCACAACCTTTGTTGAGGGGGATTCCAAGCTCACCATTGACTCTCTCAATGAACCTCTCCGTAATCGCATTGTAGATCTGCCTTTCGACTGGGTAGAAATCGACTTTGACCTCTTTTAGACCGAATCTTTTGAGCTCAATAAGGGGTCTTCCCATATGACGGCTTTCGTGGGTTTTGCGATGGATTACAGCGCGAAGCATGTTAATCAAGCGGTCCTTCGCATCATTCGACCCCTAGATTGGCAAAAGATCGTTAAAAGTGCATTTTCTTTTTCGAACTAGAACAAAACTTACGTCGCAAAAGTTGTGCATGAACACGTGGTAAGGATGGCTGTTGGGCACTTCAATGAACGCGAATAGAGAATAGAGCTCATCAACGGAGCTATGTTTAGTGTTAATCTCTTGTCCTATTTATTTAAACAAGGCTTGTACTCACTTGTGCAAAGGAGTTCCAGTTAAAGCCCATTTGAAGTTCCCACTTAGAGCACGAACCGCAATCGACGTTCTGGTGGTCCTGTTCCTGATAATGTGTGCCTCTGTAAACTGTTAGTTGGAATCTCATTAGTTTTGCACTTCTAAACACGACTTACCATCGAGAATGATCCTGTGCCAGTTTATTTGATGGAAGACACCTATTTTTCCATATTCCTGGTTCCACCACTCTTTGATAGAGTCATCAGTCCTGAATCCAGGGGATGGCTTTAGATCGGGATACGAGGAAGATATCTCCTGGTATGTTGTCAATCTAGAACTCATTAGTAAGATTGTAGAGTGTCTCTGGACGCAAGCAGTGCTTACACAATGCCATGCTGTTTGAGATGGTGGGCGAGGTCATCAGTTTCCACGCGTGCACCAGAGCAATGTGCAATGACGCTCCCGGCAGCCCCACGATTACAATGTTGTCGAATTTGCGACATCCAGGTCTGTATCAGATTTCTCGGGGCGATAATTAGAGTGGGGCCTTCTGGCTGAGATGGAATCTTTCGGTTCACGATGCATGCTAAGAATGTTTAACTCTCTGTTGACGCGGCCTCTTTCATTTCTCTTACCGAGTGCTGACAGAGTCTTACCGAAGCCCATCACATCACAGAGTAAGCCGCCATTGGGCTTGCTCAGAGAGGTTTCACGTTTGCACTATATTGATCAGTAAATTTGAGACTCGAAAGAAGTAACTCAAGCTCACCATCCAGGAAGCAGCCAATATCTGTTCTGAATGTCAGTTCTGCATTTGATAGTGAATGTCGAAGTTGACACAAACCTGGTTCACCATAAGGCTGGTTTGCAGCCCTCTGACCTTCCATTTCCCTTGCCCGTCTGACCTTGCTGATGGGTTAAAAGTTCGCGTCGCTTCATCCAGCAGGGATATGTCTGCACGTGCTCCAGCCTTTTCTGCAACTGGAATACTGGCGAGCATCTCTTTGAAGGCTTTTTGCTTGTTTTTCTCCGTAGAGACAAACCCTGGGGGTAACGGATCTTTTCCTTTTTTGCAACTATCATCGTTGCTGAAGATGCTTCGGACTTCCTCGGTTGACAATACCGTAGGCGGACGTCGGTATTGTTTCTCCTTTCCTTTTGTACCAGAGTTTTGCTCTGGCTCAGGCTCAGTTTCGCTGGCCTTGCCATGCTTTCGAGCCCCTTCCTTGGATAACAACTGAGCAAGGCCAAGTTCTTTGGCCTTTTGCATTTTCGATTTCGATAATCGGGTACCCGGTGGTCTTACTGTAATAGGTTTTTTGAGTTCTGCTTTGGTTTGCTCTTGGGGTTGCAGCTCTTTCGGTTGAGGCTGTTCTTCCACGCCAGAAGAAGGGATATTCTCGCTTTCTGTCTCTTCCAATTCTGCTTGGACATTCAGGTCACAGAGCTTGTCAAGCTTGACCTTTCTCCTTCGTTCAAGCTCTTCCTGTCTCCGCTTTTCGAACTCAACCTGCTGTTCCATGGAAGGGGATTGCAGGCTTCGAAACTGTTTCTGGTATCCATTGAATCTAGGTCCATTAGTTCACCATTTTCATGAGAGTTTCTTGGCACTTACTCAGAAATATCATCTTCGCCTGGCTCAAGGAACTCGCTGGCGTTGGGGGTCGAGGGTGAAGAATTATCGTCTTGAACGAACAAAGTCTCAACCGGGGGTTCAACTGTTTGAGCTGCCTTTTCTGCGGCCTTCTGGTACTGGTGGACAGCCATCAATAATTCCATACGTGGCCTTGGGCATTTTCGGATAGATGAATTGTCTTCATCTGTGAGGTCAATGACGTGACGGGGCTGAACTCGCTGATCATCGTTGAACTCCTGTGGTTCCATTTTTATACCAGGTTCCTGTCTGGTATTGGGTTCTTGTTTTATGGGAACTAGCCTGAACTTGTCCCAGGTCTTGATCACCTGCGCATTCTCATCGGGAAACTCTTTCTTGATCCGCGGACGAGTCAGTTCGACAGAAGTAGATTGATCATTACTCGGGCTCTGCGCTGCTGGGTAAACTGTGTCTTGCGGCACGTATTGAGTCCCCTCGGTAGGCCTGAAAGTGAGGTGGCCATTACTCAGTTTGGGCTGGGAATGAGCGACTTCGGGGACCCTGATTTTGTGCATTTCTCCAGAGTGTTGCATTGTGCTGGTGTCAAGAAAAGATATGACGAGGTTAATTGAAGAACAAAAAAGTTGTAAGCTGTTCGTAGAGGATAGTGTAGTAATGGGGCTGCGAAGGAGGAGGGACGAAGGATGAAGTATGAATGCAGTGACTGCCTTTTTGTAACTGCCAGCTTAGGGGACAAGGCTAAGTCAAGACGAGGCGAACTGAAGAACGAAGAAGGTATAAGCTGTGTTGTAGAGGACAGTGTAGTAATAGGGATTGTGAAGGAGGAGAGATAAAAGATGTATGGTGTAAGACAAATGAAAGCCTCTTATCGCCACCAATCCTAGGGTTTCACAAAAACCCTAGGGAGAAGAAGCACAATAGAGGCGCACTAGCTCGTGTTTAGCTACCGGGGCTTTAGCTAGTTTCGTAGCAACGGGGCATAGGGATGTGAAGGAGGTAAGATGGGGGATATATGGAGTAAAACAAAAGGCTTTATAACCCTAATCCTAGGGTTGAGAAGCTAGGGAGAAGAGGCAAAATAGAGGAATTCTAGCTCGTGTTTGATAGTAATAGAACGGAGTTTTCGGTTCATTTTTAGGAATATAAAAGAGGAGATATCGTAGGTGTATGGTGTGATAGAGGAGAGAATATATGGCCAATAGGGATAGGCATATTAAGAAAGATGTCGAGAAAGACACTCGAACAGATACTCGAACAGATACTAACAGACACTCGAACATACACTGGGAAAGATACTCCAAAATGATATCCAACAAGACATTAGAAAAACTCGAAAAGACACTCGAAAAGTTGAAAAAGACATATCAAATATGATGAGAAAGATACCGAAAAAGACGTCGAATAGTTAAAAATAAAAAACGTTATATTTCAAGTCAATAGGTCAATATCTATATCGACAATGTCCTTCAAATATCCCAAAAGCTACTCGACTGAAATAAGAGACATTCATTTCCTGTTACCATTGACCTTGATACCAAATCCCAACTTCGCCTATATTTTGCTCTTTATTCTTCATCTTTACTTCTTTCTTATAGCCTTCCTACTCCTTGTTCTCCTTATATTCCATCGCCAAATCCCCAGTCTCTATTCCTTTAGTGTCCTTCTACTCTGCGATTTATCTTCTTCCTTTGCTCAATCTGTGCCTCTTCTTCACTTCATTAACACCCTTCATATATTCTCCTTTCTCCAACGTGCTCTTCAACCACTCATTCCTACTCATTTCCTTGCCTTCATTCTAAATATCTTCTTCACAACCTACAGGGTTATTCTCGTGCTCTGTGCTACCTTTGAACTGTTACTTTGTCTTTGAGAAGACTCACCGAGTCCTTTTCCTCATCCCCCATTTCGAGTTTGCACATACCCCAAAGTATTTTACTTTGTTCACTCAACTCTTCTCACTCAGCTCGGTTCACTCAACTCTGTTCCACTCCCCATTACAGTTCTACACAAAAGGATCCAAGCAAAAGAGAAAAAGACAAACAGACTGTGTCTGTTCTTGGGCCTTGTATTCGTCTTACTGCTCGATACCCCAAATCCCCCCGGATCCATCTGTGATTTGAACATGCAAAATCAAGTCAAGATGGATGAACCGATTGAAAGCATCACAATTTCAAACGAGGAGATCACAAACCAGAATCCAATTCCCATCAATGACGTGCATATCAAAATCGAGCCAGATCCGGTGAACAGTCTGACCAAGAAGACAAACCTGGAGGTCTCTATCCCAACTTGCAAGCCAAATCAAGAACTGCGCGCGGCTTACCTTCTCTCGAGAAAAGTCCAGAGCCAAAGCCTTATACCAGATGATTTGTCCAAGGAGTCCGATGAGAAATCTCTGGATGAAACAGACTCGCAAAACACCACCGATGATGAGCAACCATTTGAGGACGATGAGCAGCCTGCTGCTGATGCTGATTATCGGTTTTATAGCGACGAACATTATTCTTCTGCAGACGAGGAGTCGCCAGACTCTTCTTCTGGCAGTGATAGTGACTCCGATCCCATGGATTCTTCTCCGAAGCCAACCAAGACGCGCTCAGGCAAACCGAGCAAGGCAAAAAAGCAAAAGACAAATGTCTCAGCAGCCTTGAATGAGACGGTCAAAGGCTTGATGAAAAGCAATATACTGAGCTCTGCAGATGCGAATGGAAATGGGAGTGATATGCAGATTGTCCCTGTGTCTGAGAAAAGGAACAAGAAAAAAGCGATCGCGGAGGAGATTGCCAAGCTTCCAGTTGGCGACCAAGCTCAGGCTAACAAGGACGCGACTGCACTAATTGAGGATTCTGTCAAGCTCAAGGGGTCAATCATCAACATGAACTGGAAGATTCGGGGTGTCAAAACAACTCTGAAGCACCATCAGGTTCGGAATCTATCAAACCCAATTTGTGCTATGTGACTAACAATTAAAAAAGCTTCAAGCCGTTGCGTGGATGGTAAGTTTGGTATTCTAGGTCTTATGGCATGGTATTTAACTGACCTGCATAGCGCGATCGCGAATCCTCAAATGAGGAGCCGAATGGAGGCTTGCTCTGCGACGAGATGGGTCTCGGAAAAACCCTCACAGTTCTTGGTAAGAACGAAAAATACAGTGCCACCTTTCCAGACAGCTAATATCTATCATAAGCAACTATTGCGCACGAAAAGCTCCCAACTCGCTCCAAAGGCCCTACCCTAATAATTGTCCCAAGAAGCTTGGTTGCACAGTGGTATGTCTCACGCCTCGACCCCCCAAGAACAATGGATGCGTTCCCTAACTCGTCTGCTATAGGATCAAGCAAATCAACATGCATTGCGTGAAAAGGATAAGTGGGGGAATTCTCGAGCACTACGCTGGTTCACGAACAGGCCAGCACGATGTTGTGAAAGTGATGCAAAAAAAGGTTATTGTGTAAGACAACATTTGAAGCTGATTACTGTTCCTTTCATGTTTACTGACCTCACTGACCTTATAGTATCACCACATACGAGGAAGTCTGCGGTTCACATCCGAAGTTGAAGATACCATTGGAGATCAAGTCTCCTGAAGAGCGTGAGGCTTGGAGGAAGGAGGAATACGAACGCAGAGCTGGACCTTTCCATAAGATTGAGTGGCACAGGATTGTTATTGATGGTATGTACATGACATTGCTAACACATTCATTGTTCGTGATACTAATTCGGATTTTCAGAAGCTCATTCGATCAAGAATAAAGATTCCGCGACCTCTATTGCTGTCCGGGCCTTAAAGGGCAAATTCAAATGGGCTATGAGTGGGACACCTTTGCACAAGTAAGCACAAGCTACTGGCTTTGAAAGGAGTAGAGTCCTTCATACTGACTATATGTTCCAGCGGTGTGGAAGAGCTTTACCCGTACTTGCATTTCATCTATACATCACAGAGAATGGAATATGAGTCCTTCTCGAGAAAATTCTCCAATGTTAGTCTCATGGAACCTTTATTTCAAATCCAAAGCTAACTTCTCAGGGATTGGACAACATCCTGGATACCGTACTGCACCGCAGTACGTACAGTACCCGGATAGTTGGCAAGCCCATTGTCACGCTACCAGGCATCAGCAACCGAGTCGTGGAGGTCGAGCTTTGCCTAGCTGAAAGGCTTCTTTACGGGGAGATCCAGGACCTTGGCACTGCAATGATCAATGGTAAGTCCAGCAAGACCAATGGTGAAGAAACTAAGCGCTAAGACACCATAAGGTTTGGCAGATACAAAGAAAAAGCAAGCCAAATGCATCTTGGTCGTCATATTGATGCTGAGAATGTTTGTGAGCCACCCGCTCCTCGCCCAGAAGTTCCTCGAGACAGTCCTCAATCGACGTGTGATCCAAGAGCTCCAAGTCATGGCACAAGAAGAAGAACAAGATGTGACCGAGACTCCATCAAAGATCATCATCAACTTGCTTCTCACTGTGGCAGACAAGGTAGCTCCCCGACCAAGGCCTCCAGGAGACTTCAACGAGCTTCATGACATATATCGCAAATACCTCTTGCACATCCGTGAAAACGAGGAAAATCCACAGTATCAAGAATTTTTGCGCAGGAAGTGCCCTCGATGCGAGGAACTCGTACTAGGACACGAGGCATATGTGGTTACATCTTGTCAACACGTTTACTGCCAAGGTTGCTTTGATGGGCTTCCAGACGAAGATGGAAAGACCGAGACCATGGCCCGCGTCTGCAGCTCCTGCAATAAGCCCATCGAGGAAGCCGGATACTCCGAGGATTTGCTGAAGAAATCTCCAAAGAATTCATCAAAGAAAAGAAAACAAGGCACGCCAAAGAAGAAAGGCAAGGAGATCTTCGAAAGAAAACAACGGCCTGGAAATTCTTTCAAAAAAAAAGTTCTATCCAGAGATCTATCAGATGACGAGTGGGACGATCCCAGTGAGAATGAGAGTGATTGGGTTTCGCGTGTTGGCGATCGCATGCCATCAGCGAAAATCACAGCGGTTCGGGAACTTGTCGCAAATTGGGTGAAAGAGGATGAGAACACCAAGATCGTTATCTTCGCTCAGTTCCTGAAGACCATTCAACTTCTTCAGTTCATGTGTGAGAAAGAGGGCTGGAAATATGCACTCGTACGTCAAGAGTGGGAAGCGAAAAAAAACGAGTCACATTACTAACGATGTGAATATAGATCACAGGGAAGGTAGCTCCACCCTCGCGTGACGAACAAGTTGAAAAATTCGGCAAGGAGAAAGACATCAAAGTCATGATTTCTTCCCTGAGGACTGGCGGCGTTGGTCTCAACTTGACCATGGCTAATAAATGCATCCTCGTGGATCCTTGGTGGAATAAAGCAATTCAAGACCAGGTAAGGGAAAGTCAGGATGCAGATCTGATTCAAGCTAACAATAAGTTGCAAGGCATACTGTCGCCTGTACCGCATTGGACAGCCCCGCGCAGTCGAATACGTCCAAATCATTGCCAAAGCATGCGTTGACACGTGGATGATCAGCCTGCAGAAAGACAAAACCGAGAACATCTGTCAGCTGCTGAGTCCGGACTCACTTAAGGAGATACTCGGCTCCGGGGATGTCCGTGAGCAGCCAAATGGTGGATTTTCGATCTTGGCTAGGAAGGGAAGTAAGCACCTCCACAGCTGGACACAGGCTGTTGGATCAGGAATACTTGAAGGGGTGGACTCTTCAGAGGAAGATTAGGAAGTGAGCAGGAAAGAACATCGAAAGCGTGCAGAACGAGGGGTTTGAGCAGCGGCTTGTTTCAGCTGCGAAGCGCATTTTTATTCTTAGCATTTATTCTTACGTTTGTTGTGCTGCCCAGCTGCTTCTCCTTGGGGCAGCATATGCATTCATTTGACTTACATTATCTGCATATAGCTGCTGAGGACAATTACTTAGAGACTGCCGTAATTTTTAGGCCTTGAAAGATATTCAAAAAAAGACCCTCCTTCTAAAAGACATCCCAACAGACATCCCCCGAGGGATATTAAAAAAGACACAGGAGCAAGAGATCAAAGAGGAAAAGTCATCCATATCATTCGCAGCCCTAACCAAAAATGGCAGGTTTAATATAATACATCATGCAATGAATACTCCATATCAAGAATCGTCAAGCACGGTCAAAATTTCCAATTTCATGGCCAAAATCCGCGCAACATAGCATTATCGACATGAGACGTGAACAAGAACCATCGATTGATTACTTTAAAGATTATAGAAAAGAAAAGCGAGAGGCCCGGGAGGTGCATAAGCTCCAGACCAATCTTAGATGGACAAGGATAACAAATGCCCGGGTTAGGGCCGGCCAGTCACGTGGACTGCCCGGCTGGGTATCACAGTAGACCAAAAGAAACCGGGTCGATGATGACATGGCTGTATACAATTCATATAAACAGGGTGCATTCGTCGGCCGGTGAGACATATCGTTGGCTGGATACTCGAACTGAATCGAGATCGAGCATGTATAAAGGCGCTTAGTAGGTGATCTTCTCCTCGTAGATAGGAGGCTCGCCCTTCTCCTCGTTCCATTTGATCTTGCAGTTCTCATCAAGATAGGCGTCCTCATCCGTGATGGGGATGACGCGTACGGTGTGCGCGACTTCCTGGGAACTGACTCCGAGAGGGTCGCGGGGAATCCAGAGAAGGGGGGCTGCGAGTTGACGGCCGGGTGGCAGTAGGCGTCACGCTCGGCCTCGGCGGGGTAAGTGACGATGTCTGCGGCGCCGGGAACCAGCTTGCGCATCTGGTGGTAGTTCTGGTGCAGGTCTGGGCGGAGGAACTTGGTGAACATGTTCAGCTTGGGCGCTGGCGACGAGGTGTCGGTGAGACCCTTCTCGGCAGAGTCGACGCCGCCAAGGCCGTTGTCCACGTTGGCGATACCGCTATCGCGGTGTGCCGAGATGGAGCCGCTGGGGGCAGTCAGGTCGTCAGTCTTGGACTTCTCGTTCAAGGTGCTGAGGTTGTTGGCCTTCTCGGCGGCAAGCAGACCCTCCTCCTCGGCCTCGAGGTTCTTGGGCAAGTAGTTGAGGAGGGGCTCCATGGCGCTGTTCAGCGAGAGGTGGTACAGGATTACAAAGACCAATAAGATGATCATGAGAATCAGGGGACCAAGCGCAATCGTGTCGGCACCGGCGGCAATGGCGAACAGACCAATGAGACAAACCATGGACAGGTAGCAGCCGACAGTGAGATGCTGCAGAGCACGGGTGTAGCATCTACCCTGGGTGTCGATGGTTGCGTTCGACACGTACAACATGTTGTACCGGAAGGCGAAATAGAACAGGTAGAGACCAATGGTACCGAAGCCCATGACAAGCGGCGCAATGCAGGAGTAGACAATTGCTATCACAAGAAGTTAGTATCATAATCACAGAAACCGGTCATGGGTTATGACATACCAACAACGGTCAACAATGTGAAGGCAGGGTAGACAGTGCCCCACCCGAGACCAGCCAGACTCGACCAACGAGTGTACATCTTGCGAGGGGTGCTATCCAGCAACCTGCCGAGGACCTTGCTGAGAATCAGGCCAACAATCTGGAGCAGAGCACCGGCGCTGAAGGACAATCCCTGTAGAATGATGTAGGAGATGTAGAAATTGGACGCAGTAGGAATCTTCTGAGCTAGCAGTGAGGCGGCAGAAGAGGGATTGTCAACGATACTCTTAACGACGGCAGCGGCCGAGGAGGCAACGGTCACCACCAGGAAGACCTGAACGATTTGGAAAGCGAAGAACCAGTTCTGGACGGTCAGTTCGACGGCGGCAAGAGTAGGGTCACCTCCCAACTTGGCCATCAGGCGAAGGATGATCGGGACCAACGCCATGAGGACAGCCATCATGATAGTGGGCAAAAGACCAGTAATGACACCCTTGATCCATGAGGGAACACTGTCGATGAACTTCAGGAAAGGAACAATTTCGGTCAATGAGTCAATATTGGAGATAGCACCAACAACTGCAGTTGGGATGGCCCAGAAGATGATCATAGCACAAACAAAGGCAACGGTGGCAGCGTGGCGACCGAGGCGCTCCCACCACTTGATGCGGAGGTTGGACCAGATAACCTGGGTAGGGTCCAAGCCGATATAGCGAGGGCTCATGTGCAGGGGAAGGTTGTGGGCCACAGACTGGTAGGAAGACTGGGCATCAGCCTGATGGTAGAACTCAACAAAGACGGAGGAGACCAGCTTGGTTTCTCCCGCACGGTGCTTGGCCTGCAATTCCTCGATTTCGGGGGAGAGACGCTCGATTTCGGAACGGGCCCAATTGATGGTGTCGACCTTCTTGCCAACAAGCATCTTGAGACGGTGCGTAGGGCGCTTTTTAGCCTCGACCCAACGAGCAGCGACGGAGCCAGACTCGTCATCAAATTGGCCATCGGCAATGTCAGTCTCGGGGTTCTCAACCGAGCCGTCCTTCTTAAGAGCCTTGTTGCGCGCCTTGTTAGCAAGCACAATGAGCTTGGTCTCCGCACCCTCGAGCTTCATCGCCGCGGCATCACGCTCCTTGACCTTCTCCTCGAGCTCCTTGGTATCGGTTGCGATCCACACATTCTTGACCTTGTCGCGGCCGAACATGGTGCGTAGCTTGTCCTTGTTCAGGAGATCCTGGGTAACGGCGGTGAACAAAACGGTGCGAGACGAGATACGGCTGGCATAGGCGGGAGAGAAAAGGTACGCCTGGCGCAGGTTAATGTAGAACAGGTGCTCGCGGGTGATCATGAAGAAGATGAAGGCGACAAAAATCCAGGCAATGAAACAATGCGCGTAGTAACGAGCGTATTGAGTCTTGGCGATATTCGAAATGCTCAGCATGTTCAGCTGGATCTTTTCACCACCACCTGTGGCATTGACAGGCCACAAGATGGGGAAAGTGAGACAGCAGCCCACAAACAGCATCACGGAACACAGTTTGAGGAAACGAAGCATGAGGTAGGCATCCATCGAGTGATGCTGCAGGACGTAGGTATCGGGTAGCTGGTACATGGCCTTGATCCAGTCCCAGGATCCGGTCGGAGACTCGGGGGTGCGCTGCCAGGGACGGAGGTATCCAATGTAGGTTCGGGGCATATACATTCTGCGATTGCTCTTGCGCAGGATGATGAAAAGCAACACCATCACAACGAAGGAGATGAGGGCGGGGATTAGGACGGTAAGCAAGCCAGACAGGGTCGGGTCGGTATCCTGAATGTTCTACATGTCGTTAGTAAACAATCAGCTAACCAGTGCGATAGGACGTACTTCATCGTCCCTGGCATCCAGCCAGTGAACGGCATCGTTAGCCATATTGGGTGTTCGTGATGGTATATTCAAATGTCCAAAACACGATACAAATTGGGAAGGGTTCGGGGTGGGAAAGGGGATGTTAAGTCTCCCCAGATGTGAGAGAGAGAAAAGATGGAAAAAAAAAAGAGAGCTTAAAGTTTAGTAGATGACCCATGGGACAACAGGGAGGAGAGGGGCTAGGATCTGCGATCTGACTACGTAATTGGACCATCTTTAGATTATGTTTTTCGTGTTATTTGGATAAATTTCCTATTTTGGATTTGAATATTTAAATTTGTTATTTTTTTCTGCAATTGAAACCTAATATTACATTTAGCGCTGGTCAAATCCATGGGTGGCAAAGCGATATCCAAACTTTTCCCATAGTGGATGAGATGCGACCACAGATTTTATCTTTCGGGGACCCCATTGTTCCTTGGTTTAAATCACATGAAATTGATTTTTCCAGCCTTCAACACGGAGATGTCCGCCACACACACACCCCAGCCACATCTTCCAAGGTTTGTATGACGATCATGACGAGTTATCAGGGATGTTCATTAATTCTGTAACTGTGCAAGGGATGCTCTGAGACAAAAACATGAAATATTTCGTGTAGAATCCTCACACATATTCGGGCATTGGAGAGAAAGGTTCAGAGAATTTATTGTTTAGGGAATCCAGGGGTATATTATGTCTCCACAGATGAAAGTCCCAGTCCGGAAAGACACGAGGTTGTGCTTTTTGTTAATGCTTTTTTTTTTCATTGCTTTTCAATTTTTTTTTTACTTTCAGCTTTGTTTGTTATTTCAACATCATTACGGTCTGTGTCATTGATTCCCATGTAAGACGATCAAATGATTTCATACGTGAGATCCAATACCTCCTGTAGATCGGGGATTTGAGGGCGCTAAGGCGAGTGGGCTGCACTATTGAGGATGTGTTCGGTGGGTCACGATTAGCAACCCCCCTTCGCCAGTCAATCCATGGATAAAGGTAAAAGTTAGCGAGCCCTAAAAGTCCCAACTTGAAGCTCAGCTGCGCCGCTGTGCTTTAGTACGCCATAAAATAATATAGGAGAAAATTAATTTCCATGTAAAAGATTCTAGGCTCATGGGCCATCCAGTACTGTAATAATGTACAATATGCACCGTACTCCGTATATGTAGTTACGCGTTAAGGTCAAAGCAATATCACAATCTGATCTCATAAGTTGTGGATAACTGTGACGCGGTACACTATCTGGTTAGCGTGGAGATACCTCGGCGTTACGCACTGGAAACCCGACAAATTTTAATTATTTTTCTTTCTTTATACTTTGATAAGAGTATCAAATTGTAAAATCTGGAACCTGGAACCCCTTCTCCACTGGGAACTCAATGACGCTTAGACTTATCCTGGTACTCGGGTCCAGGACTGCCAAGACATTCCACTGCCTAACATGTATTTCAAGACCGGGAATTAAATCAAAAATGGTCATTGAGTATTATTTGCATGTCGAAGCTCCTCTTCAAATGCTGTGACCCCGCGGATAGGTACCTGAAAAGATAAGAAACTCATGAGAATCTCATTAAACTGGAACTGGAGATCCGGTCGTAGTTGTTTGTGTGCCTTGAGCAACTCCCCAGTGGACCATCCACGTTCAGGATCTTGTAAATCGGAATCATGTCCTTCCTCCAGCAGCAACCACAAAAGGGTTTCGCAGGCGGGATCACGATCTAGATGGTGCTGTTTCGCCGCGGTACATAAAAAGCCAAGGAACCGGTCGGTCTTATCTGGGGACCCCTGGAAATCCCACAGTGCAGCCGTAATATAAATAAGCGCCGCCGTTCGGCTGACCTCTTGGGTATGCGCATCACGAACCACATATACACGCGACTCATACGGCACTTGAGATGGCCGCGGTCCACTAGAAAGCAGGGAAAATAGAGGACTTTCCATCTGGAAAGCCTTGAGTCTGCGGGGTGCTTGAAGGAGGTATTTGGGGGAGCTGTGTTGTCGCATGAGGTCTTCGGCTCCGCGGAGAAATATGAGTAGCCATTGCTGTTCGGCCACACTGATCCCGGGGCCTTCTGGCATCATAATGTATCGGATGTAGTGGATGAATACTTCCACGGGCCTGTTGCTTCCTGTTCGCGGTCGCATGACCTGGACAGCACGGTCAACATATATCTGGGCCAGTTGTTTGTTCCCGAAGCGCCCTTCGTGCAAGGCCATTCCACCCAAGGCCATTGCAAGATCATCCACTCTGACTAGTGCCGAGCCCGAGGTAGCTTCATCTATGAGTGTCGCGGCTTGACCAACATGGCGTTGAATTTCGGTGCTGTCGGACATGTTGTATAGCTGCGCTTTCCACCGTGCGCAATATGACAAAACTACTGCCTTGAATGAAAGAGGGGTTGCCATAGCCGTGCGGAAAATCTGATTTTTCACGTGAAGGTTTTGTCCGGACCAGTACGTCAGCTTGTTCCTCCAATAGTCAGCCAGTTCAACATCACTGTTGTCGTATTGGATTGGGAGACTGGCAAACGGATCCCTTCGCGACGCATCGAGTATCGTGATTGGGGAGCCAATGTATGGTAGCGCGGAAGTATGAGGTTCTGACTTCATATTTGAGAATCTGATTTGAAGCTATACCACACCATAGCGTTAGCATATAAATCCATCCTTCACTAAGCCTACACCTAGATAGTCTAGCCTTGGCTGTGACCTAGATACTTGACTAGAGAAAAGTGATTCCCATACCGAAGTGTCCCCACTGGGCAAGTTCTGTGTAGCTGTCTGGGGCGACTCCAGTCGAGTCTCTTCAACAGTTCCCTCTTTCTTCGGTAGATATGAGCTATGAGCTGGGATTTGCTCTGTCGAGAGGGTGCCCGACATCTTGCGCTGTTTCCTTTTCTCCTGTACATGGTGGCGCATAACATGAGCGCGCTTTTCTTTGGACGATGAGTTCTGATCAACAAAGTAGAAGTGTTGATTCTTGGAGGATTTGTTCTTCGATTCGGCGGCGCGTCGTCGCCTTCCTGGTTTGGCGGGTTTAGGGCCATGATCTGAGGCAGGTGGTGCTGTTTGAGAAGCTTTAGTTGATTTGTGCATTCACGTTGAGAGTCCTGGAGATTGACTCGTAAAAGCACCAAGGCACTAGGGGGCATACCCGATGCATCCGTGTCAGACGGGCCTGACGGCGGGACGGCGCTTGGCCTAGTCAGTATCGATACTAACCGTTCTTCGTTCGCAGACATGTCGAGCGAAAACATAGATTTCCTTTGTCGACACAATGAAGCAGTCAAAACTGCATAACCAACCGATGGTCACCAAGATTCCTCCAGCCAAGGACTCGGGATTTGAAAGAAACCATCGCAAGTCAAACAAATCCTATGTCACAGTGTCAGAGAGTCATGGAGAATATGGAAAGGGCAAAGCACGCTAGGGAATTAACTTACGAAGCAATACAATGCGAGGGGGATATATTTCCCGAGGGAATAGGATAGTTTCAGATGCTCAAGTGCGGGCCCCGGGGAGGGAAGAAGCTCTTATATAAGCGCCAAGTGTCAACCATTTACCCAATTGATAAAACGGTCCCGGGGCAATTAATTAATTTGACTATAAGCATACATATGTCCGAAGCATAAACTAGTACTTTATTGACCTGTTCTTGTAAGTTTTCATAACGTCACAAGCATTGCTATAGGATCTCACAACTGCTACAAACAAAACGTAATATATTTCAAATTAACTTGAACAATTAATATCTTGTTTATGAAAGTACAGAGTACGGAGTACTCATACTTGAAATAATCTTAGATTTAGGGAAATACGGAGAACATACGGAGTACTCCATTTCAAATATATATTACGTTGTACACCGAAGTAGTACCCGGGAGGTGGTATATCAGCTCAAGACCCCTTTTCACTTCGCCTGTAAGTGACAAATAAGGATATAAGACCGTGGGCGCCTCGACCAGAAGCCCACTTAAAATCTACAGCCCTCATATTAGGATTGGCAAATAATTCAAGCCAAATGACGCCTGACTAGCCAAACCTGCAGTTCTCAAGTATATGTTACCCTGTTCGCTCATTGATAGGCATATATGTAAGATGAACTTGTTTCGAAATTTAAGAACTAACAGCCAAGCAATGCCCTCGGGAAACCCGAGGGCTGACATTTTGTGTGCCTCGAAGGAACGCTAGTGGGGGCGCTAAACAGAACACATAATGTTATTTGCAGCGAAGATGATGAAGAACCGACTGCCTATATAGGTTAGCGTGGATAATTACATAAGAAACCACTTAACGCGTCGGTACAGGATCAACTATTCTTCCGAACACGCGTTCGCGTCGCGCCTTAGTTGCCCAAGGAGACCCGCGAAGGAGACCCACGAAAAACTAAGATAGCAAATTGAGTCTACGATATCATCTCTCCACATTTTCTTTTTTCCCCTCAAGACGTGAGAGCTTAATACCGTTTTTTTTTCACACTGGCCATTTTTAGGCCATTAGCTCTTTGCCATGTCTTCCCTTTTCGACGCCGTGATCCAGTCCGAGCTGGGCTCTGGGCCCTCTCGTGAGAACCTCCGATCCGACAATCTACCCAGCTCCCGACGCTCGGAGAGCAATGGCCCTATGAGTGATATGAATGCCTTCCCAGATGATCAAGTCGTTGGAGGGGGAAGTTCGACAGTCAGCCGTATGCGGAATCCATATGCCGCTGGGCCCCCGCCGGTGGTCGATGAGGCGGCAGAGAAAGTCCAGCAGGCATTCGAAGAGCTGCTCGAGTCATACATCGACGAACCCTCGTCTTCTGCGCCACCATCATCGGGAGAAGTTCTTAGTGACAAGTATTATATCGCTCAGATCAAGGGAATGAAGAAATTCGAGCTGTCAACTCTCTACGTTGATTTCACACATATCCTTAATCCCGTCTTGGCAGATGCCATTGCCGGCCAATACTATCGATTCCAACCATTCCTCACTAAGGGACTGCACAATCTCATCGCGAAGTACGAACCAGAATACTTCGTTTCCCACCGCATGACCGCCAGCGCCTCTTCGCGGGCCAGTACCTCAGTCGCCTCTGCATATGCGGGCGTTTCAGACAACCCCGACCTCGAGCGTCAGATTCGTGAGAAGACTCGCCACCAGCAAACTGACAAATTGTTTGCTCTTGCATTTTACAATCTGCCTTTGGTTTCTAGGCTGCGACAACTTCGGACGAATCAGATCGGAAAATTGCTTTCCGTCTCTGGAACTGTCACAAGAACTTCAGAGGTCAGACCGGAATTGTCGCTGGGAACTTTTATCTGTGAAGGTTGCAAGACTGTCGTCCCGAATGTTGAGCAGACTTTCAAATATACGGAGCCAACGGAGTGCCCTAATAATACCTGCGGCAACCGCGTGGGATGGCGCCTAGATATTGGAAAGAGTACATTTGTCGATTGGCAAAAGATCAAGCTCCAGGAATCGTCGCACGAAATCCCGACTGGTAGTATGCCACGCACAATGGATGTCATCCTGCGTGGTGAGATGGTTGATCGCGCCAAGGCCGGTGAACGTTGCGTCTTCACGGGCACTTTGATTGTCGTTCCTGATGTCAGTCAATTGGGTCTTCCCGGTGTGCGACCTGAGGCCGTCCGCGATAACAATTCCTTCCGGGGTAACGAGGTCGGTGGTAGCGGAGTCTCCGGATTGAAGTCTCTGGGCGTGCGCGATCTGACTTACCGGTTGGCCTTCCTTTCTTGCATGGTTACCCCAGACACCACGACTCCTGGCCAGAAGCCAGAGCAGCAGCTGAGCGGCCAGTCAAATAATATCCTGGCTTCCTTGAACCAGAACCAGGATGATGATCTTGGGGATGACTCAGCCCAAGAAGCTTTCCTGCAAAGTCTTACACCGGCTGAAGTCCAAGATCTCAAGCGACTGGTGCACTCCGACTATATTTACTCCCGACTTGTGGACTCGATTGCCCCCATGATCTGGGGTCATCGTCAAATCAAGAAAGGTCTGCTTTTGCAGTTGATTGGTGGTGTTGGCAAGTCGACATCGATCGAGAGCCTGAAACTTCGTGGTGATATCAACGTCTGTATTGTTGGCGACCCGTCGACCAGTAAGAGTCAATTCTTGAAGTAAGTTTTGCCAACTTCCCACACATAGACCTTGATTACTAATAGGGTCCCTCAGATATGTCTGCTCCTTGCACCCTCGTGCAGTATACACCAGTGGTAAAGCCTCTTCGGCAGCTGGTTTGACCGCCTCAGTGGTCAAGGATCCAGAGACAGGCGAGTTCACCATTGAAGCCGGTGCACTAATGCTTGCGGTATGTTCCAAATGTGGCTCCACTTGAGTGTGGATTCTCGCTGACATTGTCATTATAGAACGGCGGTGGTATTTGTGCCATCGACGAGTTCGACAAAATGGATATCGCCGATCAGGTCGCTATTCACGAAGCTATGGAACAGCAGACAATCTCTATTGCCAAGGCTGGTATCCATACTACCCTCAATGCCCGCGCGTCCATCCTCGCTGCCGCCAATCCCGTTAACGGTCGCTACGACCCGAAGCAAACCCTTCGGAACAACTTGAACTTCAGCGCTCCTATTATGAGTCGTTTCGATGTGTTCTTTGTTATTCGCGATGATCCAAAGGAGTCTGTTGACCGTAGTTTGGCCGAGCACATTGTCAACGTGCACATGAACCGCGACGAGGCCGTTGAGCCCGAGTTGAGCACAGAACAACTGCAGCGCTACATCCGGTTCGCTCGCACATTCCGGCCCGTCTTCACTGAGGAGGCGAAGACACTGCTGGTCGAGAAATACAAGGAGCTCCGCTCCAACGACGCCCAAGGAGGTATTGGTCGCTCTTCATACCGTATCACCGTTCGTCAGCTCGAGTCTTTGATTCGTTTGTCTGAAGCTGTTGCCAAGGCCAACTGTGTTGAGGAAGTCACTCCCAAGTTCGTCATCGAAGCATACGATCTTCTCCGCCAGAGTATCGTGACTGTTGAGAAGGATGATGTTGAGATTGAAGATGATGATATGCCTACTCACAACAACCACGCCGACGACGATCAGGAAATGGCCGATGGTGATAACGAAGGTGACAGCCCTATGCGCGACGTCGCAGAGCCTGCTCAAGCTCCTGCCCAGCCGGAACGCCAGAAGACCAAGATCACTTATGACAAGTACGCCAAGATCCTGAACCAGATCGTCAGGCGGGTAAACGAGGACGAGGTGAACTCGGGCGAAGGTGTCGAACAAGAAGATCTTGTACTCTGGTACTTGGAGCAAATCGAGGGTGAACTCAACACCGCAGACGATTACGAGCGTGAGCGCGAATTGGCAGGCAAGGTCTTGAAACGCATGGTCAAGGTTAGTCGCTCTTTTTTTGCTATGGCAATATCTGTATATTTCTACCACATGTCACTAACAATCTTATTTTATAGGACAAAATCCTGCTGCGTATCTCCGGATCTGGCCTCACAGATGGAGCTGACGACAGCCAGCAAAATGACGGAAAGGTCCTTTTCGTCATGCATCCCGATTGTGCCTTCGATGAGATGTGAGACAAAATTGTGCTTCTTATCTCTTGATTATGTTGTTTTTCTTATTTTGTACTGTCTGTCTTCCAGGGCTGGGCTATGTTGAGCATTTTCAATGGGTTAAATACAAGGAGCAAGGGGTTATGAGTGATGATATCCGTTTAGTTCTTATGTTGGGTAGGACATGAATGATGCTGGATTCAAAGTCCAAATTACATTCCAATGAAAATAAATAATTTTCCCAATGCCTGTTCTTGTCTGTTCTTTTCCCATTCTCGGTAGGGATCGTGACCGTTCCACCTGTCTGGCTCCATCTGTTCTGATATTGGCATCTAGAACCTGTCGAAGTATGGTTTTTTGGAACTGAAGAATATCAGAGGCTCGGAAAAGGCCGTTTGGAGAAATAATTGGAGTAAGCAAGCTAATCCAGATAGCCAGAAAGATGACGTGTAGCGAGAAAGTCGGTCTCCCGGAGGCACGGCATGGTCACCTTCTATACTTCCGCAGTCTCGTTCCTGGCCTTCATTTACATAGCCAGGTTGCTAGGTACTTCTCTGGTTGCCCCAATCGCGATATACGGCTTGGATAATAGAACTCGCGGAGCCCAGGGAGATGAAAAACGCACCCCAGATGTCCTGGGATTAAAGCAGCTCTGGTACTCCCTGGGACCTTCGAAGATGCTTATAATTTGAAGTTGATGAACTGTGCTAAGCCTTTGGGGACTAGCCTAGGATCAGGGAACATTGCAAGCATGTCTCAAAGCACACGCATTTTCATCGGGCCCACTATCAAGCCACATATTTTTGAGGCTATCTATTTTTATCCTTCTGACTATAGTTCTAACATACGAAAGACATATTGAATACAGTCTCCTTACTATAGATAAATGTTTGTGCAGAAGTTACCGTCAACAGACATTTTTATGGTAGTATCCTCATGTTTATCGCGAGGTGGAAATACTTGCTTTCCTCACTGGGTTCGAGGACCTACGTTTCCATTCTGTATTTGATTTAACCCCATATAAGAATTAAATAAAATAAACAGCAAGAATAACATAACATAGCGCATTACAATCAACTCATTCCCTTCTCACGGGTTATCAACAGTTTAATCAACATATCAACAGGGATCACAGAGGACGGGCTAGATCACCAAAGGTAGATCAGGTGAGAATCAATGTTCTCGCATGAGGGGATGACAATATCCCCATCTCGTATAGATGCGACCCAACCAGAGAGGTCAAAATAATATGCCATGTTTACCGTGTTTGCTATTGTACAAGGTGTCAATCTCCATCAGCACTGTGGCGGAAACCGCCTTGTTGTATTTCCGCGCCCATGTCTCAATATGCTGCGCTTGGATCAACACATTTACAAAGATAAGCCACGGCATCTGCGGTGTCGTATGGACGTTTGTTTGGTTTCGTCAGCCGGTCCGTCTTGCCGCACAATGCGTATTCCCAGGGGACACCATAGACTGTGAGTCCGGACTTGCCGAAGAGGATTGCATTCTGGTGATGCGATGCTCCGATGAGGTCTTGCTCCATAGCACGGCCCAAAAACAGCGACATAGAGTTGTTGAACCAGTTTGCGCGGAATTGGGATTCGGAATGCCGTTGAGCATACTTTGATGCATCTTTCAACTGACGACTTTGCTCGTTTGAACCAAAAAAGTCGACGTCGCCAGTACTGTGTCGAGAACGAAGGTAGATGGTGTTGACTGCGCCTCCGGCCACATATATGGTCAAATTGACACCTTGTCCGTAGAGATAGTCTGCCATGTATTGGAAAGCAAGAAGGAGCTGGTCACGACTCACGATTGCTCTCGAACGATCGAGGTATGGCCGGCCGGCCGGTGCCATCCCTCTGGAGAGTCGGAATCATCTGTAGCCCATCCGATGGGCCTGAAATATTCACAGGTCGCCCTTTACCTCCGCCGGGGCGACGCTGGCGATCTCGAGATTCCTGGGAAGTGTTATTTCACATCTTGGCTGAATAATTCTATAATGCGTCACCTGACAGTAAAGGATACCTGGCCATTGCAGTTCCGGAGCAATCATTGTTGGTACTCCCTAGGATATTTATATCTATCAGATGAAAATTTTTCTATGATTTGTACTAAGTCTCTAGAGACTAGGTTGGTACCTAGGAGAAGCACGCTGCATATATCAAAACACACCTAGTCTCAGTACGCGCCTGCTATCTAATTACACGTCAGGACTCTAAAAATATGGAGCATTTATACAATCGATAATGATAGAAATCCATGGCGAGCCTTGTTACACGCTCTAGCCATGTTGGTGGTCGTGATAGGTTGTATGGGAAGGAGAGTAGATGGTTGTTCATTTGGGGGATCAACCTACATCCTTCCAAGTGTTGAACGTCGGATGGGACCAAAGGGAATAATGATTCTGATTCTCAGAAGTCACAATACGTTACAAGGAAACCTTATCAACAAAACAGCTTTGGTAGTTCAGTGGTAGAATACTACTCTTCCATCACTTTTCGGAGTCTTGATAAGTAGTGGCCGGGGTTCGATTCCCCGTCAATGCATTAATTTTTATATTTTTGAACAATTCTCTTTAATAGAGTGAATGCTAACTAACTAACTAGTTAGTTAGTTAGTTGCCTGTTGAACTAGTTAAAGAGATTTTGTAATCCCGTCGAACCTGAAGACTACTACCGAAGGTCTGAACAACATATCAAGACTAGGAAGTTACTATTATCACTCTATTCTTCACACTAACTTTTTTGACCATGATCGGTCCTGATAATATATATGTTTAGATAAAAACAAATCACACTTTACCGTCTAGAGTTTCTATGAGCTCATAGAAGAATATGGGATTTGACTATCAAGCTTCAATATCCCAACCCTGCAAAGAAGCACAGTATAGTGAGGATGCTCACCTTTCTTAGCTACAATATATATTCTTTTATACTTGACTCCACGTAGATGACTTCTTAGGTCTATTGCAAACACCAGATTGAAATCAAGAATCTGACGCTCTATTACTGAGGTATCCATGAGTTCATTGTACAGAGTCTATCGAAGTCCTATAGAATACCAATGATATTCCGTACTCACAAAAGTACAGCCTGTGCATGTGACGTGTACTTTTGTCGAGACAAGCTCATCAATACGTCTCTCAGGTACTCGTATTTAATCCCTAAACACCTTCCACTCCCAGTACGGAGTAAGCTTCTTTTGGATTTTGCCTTAAAATCATTCGCACAAAGTTTATGCTGTGTACACGACGTGCAGAGTGAGAAATTTGATTATGCCACAATTTGACATCACACCACCAATCTCTTGAAATAATTGAAATGAATCTTCCCTGCTAGCACCAATTCTGCGGCCCTCTTGCCTAGAAGGCAGGAGTCTAAGGATATGCGCCTCGTTCACGTACCTGTTGCAAATTCAGGACTAAGTAATATTAGAAGGGCCACTGCCGTCGTCATGGAAGACATCCTTGTTCTCCGGGACTAATTAGCGCCCTCCGGTAAGATACCGCAGTGGCTTGACTTGGCTTGCCTATCCATTGACACCTGTCAATTCTGGCTAGTGGGTGGAGTCAATACCAATTTAAAATACAAATTGTAGTTTGTAATTGTTGTTTTAGATTATACTCCATTACATCTATTAAGGGGTAACTACACATTTTGCTATATGTACGGAGATATATGTATGCTGTATATTATATTTCTCAACCTAAAAAAAAAAAAAACAAACACAATCTATACTAACATATGGAATAGAAAACCTCAAATTCGTTCTCCGCTTTACCCCCCGTACTTTTGTACCGAAACAACTGGAATAATTATCCGCACCCGAAAGGGGAAGGTAAAGAAGTCCAAGGGGGCTTAGTATGGAATACGGAGTACAGTATTAATGTAATATAAGAATTAAGAGTGTCCGCTTTGATATCAAGCATCTTCCCTAATATATCTTCTGTTTCTACTGTATTGAATTTTCACATAGATCTCCCAATATAGCTTGTTCAAGGTGAGACGCCAACCCTCTCCTAAGTGGGGGTTAGTGATGGACGCTCTCGACGTCCATGGAATGAGAGGGAATATAATACGGAGTACAGATAGACTGTATAATAATCAAAGCCTGTATTCAAGTACTTTTGTATGCATATTCGAGAAGCAAGAACCCTGCACCTGCATCCTACCAGGTGGAAGCCACTCTATATATTATTATTCCACCTGCCACATCCATGATCGACCGACGGATGATGTGTCTAGACCGTGTATGGGAATATCATGTCCACACACACTCTCTCCATACTATGTTGTACTAAAATACGCCTCCCACCTAGCTTCCGGTGCCACATACTATGCCTTGGTTGAACTCCCTTTGACAAATACATATAGAAAGATGCATACATTGTTTTTCTGTACTAAGGACAAAGTAGTTACTCCTACAGAGTCGTATGATGTACGGAGTATGAAGTACTCCGTAGCATGTGCCATGCATGCATACATGCACACTGCGCACACGGAGATACTATGTAGCAGGACACGTACCGCCGCACTTTGAATACGAAAGGAAATTGCCGCCTCAACGGTCCGCGTGGATGCCGCCCGTGAGCAAAGAGGATCATCTGAGCCGGGAATTCACTTACACGTGGGATCCTCCGCTGTTATGGACTATACTATAGTAAAAAGCACATACTCCGAACTCCGTGCTCCGTACAAAGAGTGGAAGTTTCCCTGGTCCTCCCCCCCCACTTGTAATTGTCTCGCTAAGACTATACCAGACTGTTTACTGAAGTGGGAAGGTTGGGTATCAATGGGCCCCAGACCCCACAACGGAGCAGCCCCATTGATCCTTGAGGTTGCTTGGCGAATCAACCAAAATACATGCATCCCGTTGCCTTGCCGTGCCGTGACAGGGAACGGCAACGGCCATGCATTGGGACATTGCCAAGCTGCGTATGTCTGGGATTACTACAGGGAAGTCAAGACCAATGAGAACCAAAATTTATTTGTACATTTCTGATTAGTGGGAGGGCTTGGCTCAATCGGTCATGGGAGGTTGGGGCCGTTACGCCTTCGACGTAGTAAAATTCTTTGTTGTAGGAAGACCCCGTATGCAAGGCTGACAATGAAGCCGAAAAATCCATGAAAAGTCAAATTTCTGCCGTAAATATTTACTGAATGGGTGTAATGAACGCAAAATGGGCAAGGACATAAATAACAATAAAAACGCCGATTTCAACGCCGTGCTCCCCTGGAAATGAGTCATGAGCTGATGCAAGAGACAGACAGGAGATAAATATCCCAAACAAATAACGGCATGGAAAATGTGATCAAAGACAGTAGGAAGTAAAATATCACAAATAAGGGAATGAATGGTGTAACTGGTATGTGCGCCCCCTTAACTGCAAATCAAATCGCAATCAAAGATGCCGAAAGACATGAAAAAAAGGCCAATCAAAGAGAAAAAAATGAGGTTCTCAACAATTCAAAGGTATCAACTGGCTGTAATCGTTTTGCAAGAGTTTCAACACACGCTAAATCGCTAATAGGAGGTCAAGTGTTGGCTGTGCCAGTGTTCACACTCGGATCCGAGAGGATCGGAATGCAGATAGGTCAATCGACTCAGCCGAGATAGATGAGTTATCATCGACCTCAATGGTACCTGCCATGGTCATTGAGGGCTTATTCGCAGCAATGGCAGCAACCCTGGCGAGTCGCGCTGCAGAGGGGGTAGGGGCGGGTTTGGGAGGTCCTTCTTCCGCGGTCCCTTCTTGTTGTTTTTGTTCGTGTTCTTCTTGCTGTTTCTTTTCTGCCATGATACGGTCGACCTCGTTGATAGCCGCCTCGAGTAGCATCCTGAACTTCTCTTCCACGCCGTCCAGTTCCGTTCCACAGTCACCAGATCGAAGGACTTGGTAAGCTGCCGTCTCGCAAAGCGAATGGGCAAGTTCCAGTTGCTTGTCGGCAAAGTCAAAAGGAGAGTCTTTCCGTGCGCTGGTTCCAGAGATACCGACAAGTCCAGATGTAGTCCGGGTGCTGCGAACACACGAAAGTGGCCCTGTCTGTCCCAGTGAACTTGGCATATTCATGCCTTTGCTCAACAAGCCTGCGCGCAGCCCGGTGCGGGGCATCAATGCCATCTGGCCTCGTCTGATGTTGTTCCTGGCAATCCCAATATCCCGTACAATTGCTTCGAGGGTCTGCTGTGTATGACCATCATATTCGATGATGACATTGTGCCGCGTGCTTACCAAGGCGTGTTCTTCATTGGACTCGACTGATGGGGCCTCATCGGTAGTGCGCTTGCGATCTGAACGTTGACCTTGCTCGGGCGCATCCTGTGTCTCCGCGGGTTCTGGGCTGGGACCCTTTCTTTGTGCGATCGGAACGAGATCATCGATATGAATGGAGCAAACGGAGCTGTTTTTCCGTCGGCGAGGCTTGAAGTTGGTGTGGCGTCTGTATGCTTCCGAGTATTCATTGTGTTTCTTATGAGTGTGTGTGGCAAGCTCTGAAACGCGAGTGATCCATGCAGGAATATTGTCTTTCATGTGGGTGAAGGCCCCTAGAGCATCCATTGATGCCATGGCCCAAAAACCAATATTTGTTGAATCCCCCCCCCAAAGTCCGCACTTGCACAGGTTGAAATCAAATCAAAGTATTATATGCGAGTATTTGCGTTCGTTTCGTCGTAAATCGTGAGTTTGACCAGAATCGTAAGAGGAGGAAGAGGAGGAGGAAGAGAAGGACTTTATTAAAACCCCTCAAGCGTTGAATAGGATCAGCAATGCAAGTGACGGTGAAGCAGAGGGGGAAAGAAAAGAACCTTGGAGAGAAATTGAAGATGTGGTATTGGTATGGTAAATACTTTGTTTGGTGGGCCGTTACCAACATTTTAAAATTATATGGGGCTAGTCAGTTTGATACGGAAACCCCTGTATTTTCAATTTAGAATCCCGTATGCCGTACATTTAAAATTATATGTGATTAGACCGCTTATAGAAGCAGGATGGCTGCATATATCAGTTACCTATATTACTATAGCTCTTATGTTGACCATTATAATATAAGTGCTCTGAATAGTAGTTGATGTGATAGAATATCCCAACTCTCCGAGCCCATTCCTCGGAAATTCAAGTCTCCCGGCAACGGAAATATGGAGATTCCTAAAGATTAAATTATACAACATAGAAATAGAAAAGAGAACCCTGTACTCCGTACTCCGTACTCCGTAGATATCAACGGGTACCTTTCCCAAGTGAGGTTTGACACGTAACGGCTCGGGGACCACCCGGGGATTCGGGGATCATAAATAAATACGAGTGAAAGTCAAATACCAAAAAAATGGGGGAAAACCCTTGGGACTATTGGGAGCCGGTCGATCCCGCGGAACTCCCGGGAGAGTCCGTGGTTGGGCCCCGGAGGTCCCACCGCCCTGATAAACAATTGTGGTTGGTTAATCGGTGTAAATCGAAGAGTCCATTAGGTATTGGTGGTATTGTAAACTTCCTCTAATGCGCTATATGTTGTACTACGTACTTCCAAGGTTCCCTGTCATATCAGGTACTCTTAAACATTTCCAACTTGAAGTGTCTAGGTCTTACGGAGTAGGCTCACACTTGATATACATAAATCTTAGGGCACTAGTGTCCATTGGAGCAAATTATGGTAACCTACAACATACACGTCGAATTTACAGGGTTTGATTTTACAGGGGACGATTACAGGGGACAATTCAACTTCGAAAATGCATTGGGGTGTCAAGGGACACCGAAAACAAAAATCCATGGGTGTCGACCAGGCTCACGTGGCAAGCCACGTGAAATATCAAAGCCTGGTCGAACACCTCAAAGAATTTCCTTGGATGAAAACCAGTAACATCCCCCACAAGACCATCTCAACGGATCGGAAATATCCACCCCCCAAAACATGACCAAGTCAGAAATCAAGGCCTTGGAAAGGTATGAATGAACGTTAACGATACTTAACGACCGGTGGCAGCCCAAGTCTGAATCCAGCCGTCGACAGTACGCAGGATATTCTGGGCAGAGGCCATGGTAGCGCGGTGAGCCTCATTGAGGGTCTGAATGTTCCCCTGAAGTACCTCCAGGTTGGTCTCAAGCTCACGGGCCCAGACAAGGTTGACGGACATGGTGGCAGCGGCTTGGAGAGAATCGGCGGGGAAGTCAGGGATCTCGTTCTGGGACGTGGCGGGCTTGGTACGGCGACTACGCTTGGTGGATTTCTTGACCGGCTTCTGCTCTGTCTCGGAGGGCACGGAAGAAAGCTCGTCGCCGGAGTCGGCGGGAGCGAGAGGGCTCATCTCCTACATCCTTATATTAGCTTGGTGAAGCCAAAGAGAAGTCAGAGGTCTATGTCACATACCTTGTGCTTGGCCTCAGCGGCCTCAGCAGCCTCAGTGGCCCGGCGGCGTCCACGGGTGGCAGCACCGGGGGCGACAGGGACGGCAGGAGAAGGAGTGGGAGCAGGGGTGGGAGCAGGAGTTGGAGCAGGAGTTGGAACAGCGGGATCGGAGGGGGAGACATGCTGACTGGGACGACTTCAGCCTCAGCGACTGTCGCAGGTTGGTTACGGTGGATGCACCGCTTCTTCTTGGCCTTACATTCAGCGCAGGCAGGGTTATCGTTAGGCATTTCGGTGTCAGACACTGTTTGAAAACGTGCCGGTTGTCAGTATTATGTTGGGATAAGGTGGGTGAAAAGATGAGGTTTCAAGGTAATCACTTTTGCTAATGAGATGGGATAAAAAGAGAAGTGAAAGCTATTTGTCGTGGGTGTGACGCGGATTAAGCGCAGCGGGCGAGTTGCGACGAGTTGGCAGAAGTGAAGGTTCTTTCAGGCATGCGACAATCATAAAGCAAAATGACAAACCAACAACCCAAGCAAATTTGGAAAGCCCAGGTCACTCGACGCATCTTTGAATCATGACCCTACGGAAACTACCCAACACTTGACTTGCAACATTTTAAAAGATGTTCCATTAAAGCCTATAGATATAGAGCCTTCTCAAGATGAAAACATCTAACATAGACAGGTTCATATCATGCAAATATCAAAATAAGGTAGCGGTGACACATTATTTGGATATGAGTTGACCCAAATGCGCACAGAACAAGTGCCTTTGCAGTGGTAGAATCACGGCCACACCTCCATTTCATCCCACTGAGAACCATCATTTCCGTTACTCAATGTCCAGTTCCATCGTTTGCCGTCCTCTTGATCAGTAAGATCTAAACGCTCAACCTGCTCGGGCCGAATGACAACAACTCGGAAATTTGCCCTTGCAACAGGATCATGGAGGTCCAAAACCTTTTGACCCAGCTTGAGATCCAATTGACTGGGAGTTGAGGATCTAGGTTGTCCAGGGGGAGGGTTTCGGAATGAACCTAGAGTCCCAGTCAGTATGCGCTGCCGATTATAGGCAACCTAGATTTTTGATCTGGTTATAAGAGCAACGTAGAATAAAACAATTGCACCCAGTAATCAATATAGAGACAACGTACCTCTTGCGACAGGGGAGTGGTTCGCAAAGTACTTAGTGACAGCCTTTTGCCATGTCCACTTCGCAATATCGCTATCAGTATCCCCTTTCACCCTCAGTGCCTTTCTGATCTCGGTTCGGGATGTCTTCTCTTCCTGTGCATCTTCTCCACTTGGGTCGCCAATTGCATATGCCGTTCCCTTGATGCGCCACTGAGTCATGAGACCCTTCAACCAGAACACAGCTTCAATCGCATGACCCGAGGACTCTAGTTGAGGAAGTTTCTCCATTCGAGCATCTGTGGTAAATGACAGCATGTCACTTTCGAATACGGGTGGATTACCACCACCTTCCACCTGCTCATCCATAGCTTCCTGGCCCTTAGAATGGAGCTCAAGTTCTGGGAAGAAACCACGACAGCCGCAAGTCCGCAGGCGAGGTACAGGACGTTGTTGAGCATCGTAGCCAATAGTTGCAATTGTGAATTCATACCCAGGGGTCTGTTTGAGTTGAGAGTCAAGGAGATCGCGCCATGGGGCACGCTGTGGGTTCTTTGACGGTGTGCTCATAGTGCCAGCCTTTGTTGAGAGACTCAAAGAGCTGGGAGATCTTCCACTGTCTATTTTAATTGCACTGAGGCGCCGGAGGGCCACCTGCAGAGAGCTTTGATGGCCGACAGCAGCGGAAGCTGGAACCATATGTTAGTATGAAGCTCGTGGCCTCACTCGCATATACTGATCGGATTGGTGGGGGTACAACTAATTTTTAATATGGCATTCAGCCTACAAGAAAATTTAAGTAGATGTTGAGTTGTATGAAGGGAGCAGACTTAGAGATAAGCGTAAAAAGAAGAGTGACATGAACCACGGTTGATGTTGATGACATCACGTTCCGATGGTCCGTGCGTTATCTGTGCAGACTGGCCAATCGCCAACCAAAAAAAAACTAGACAATGGAATGCATTTGATGGTTGCAATGCATCAAGTTCAAAGGGCATGCATCTGGAAACAATTGGCAAACGGAAGCCAATTTAAAGTGACATTGGCTGTCAACCGGCGAGTCTTTTCACCTCACATCCACTTAATAAACAGATCGGTCAGGCAACATTCGACAGCACAAAATGTCCCTTGCGAGATTCCAGCAGGCCAACTAGAATCTAAAACGCATCCACTAGGATGGGAACGAATTCAGGCTCAAGTTGAGCCTTATTTCGGTAACAGTTGGAGCTTTGCCAGTGAGAAAGAGAAAAAGGGGTTCCTTGGTCTAGGGTTCTCCCGTGCCTTTAGTCATTTCTTCCCATTGACGCTAGATGATCGCGTCGATATGACATGCAAGATGCTTTACTTGTCTTTACTCATTGATGGTGGGTTCTTAGGCCGGAAGTTTGGTTTGGACATCGATTGACTTTCAAGACAGATCAACTTGAAAAAATGAGTTTTACACAAATGCTGTCGTATCGGGACCAGGTCATGAAAATTGCTCTTGGAACAGCAAATCCCGATCGACGCATCTGTCTTGAGTGGATGCTCCACGATACTGTCATGGCCATGCGAAGTATGGACGAGCTTCTAGCAAGTGATATTGCCCAGGGATTTTGTCAACTTCTGCAGGCCCAGACATCCCAGGAGAGGTCCACAATAAAAACTCTCGGAGCTTACCTCAGATTTAGGGAGATAGATGTGGGCAGACCGTATGTATTGTCGTGGCTGTTCAGTTTCGGATATTGTTTGGTACTGACGGCCATTTAGACTGTACACAGCTCTTATTAGATTCGGTGCCAAGCTCCATCTCACTACCACTGAACTTAAAGAGACCACGGCTTTGGAAAGCACCGCATTTCGGCATGTCAGTGCTATGAATGATATCTATAGCTGGGAGCGAGAATGGAAAGTGTACCAGGCGAACCCAACCGATGGTGCTCAGCCATTCTCCACCATTTACATTTTTGCCAACGAGACGGGACTACCATATACAGCCTGCAAGCGATTGATGTATAGCTACTGTCGGGAATTGGAGCTCGCTTTCAAGCAATCCAGCGATGAAATTCGCACGGGAAGCCCGAGACATGAATTGGAAATGTACATCAAAGGTCTAGAATATTTTATGTCCGGCATTGAGCTATGGAGTCAGTGGACTCCACGATATCGACACTGAGGCCTCATGTTTTTCGGATCTATCTTGACGCGCTTCTGTTGATAACCCGAACCTTCGCGGCTATCTATAGGAATATTTGTTTGAATAAGAAGTTGACGCCGTATATCTCTAACTATGTACTAAGAAGGATATCCAAAAAGCATCCAGAAAATTATCGAATTACATGTAGTGGTTAATATGTTTTTCATGAGAACTGGTAGCAGAAGTTTGCGCTAGGTTTGGCTTCTTACTTTACTTGATATCAGACATTCCAAAAGCACATCGCACTTTTTAGGTAGATCATACAGGCAAGCGGAGATATATAATGGAATTGTTTGAATATAAACACATCTCAGCAAGATATGAATCGGAGCCCCCGATGACACCGTCGTTGACAGCATTGGCGAAGAGATGACTACGGTTATCGGCGCCTACAATATGGTTATGGAAGCGCCGATAACCTCGCAACTAGTAGTGCCGCTAATACCGCTTCTTGGGAACACGTCAACACCACTATTAGAAAGACTGTTTCCCGTGCGAATCTAGGCCGGATTCTTCGAGAAAGCGACTGACCCTGCCAAGCGGGCAGGTCAGCAAGGGGAGGCAAGTGGCTGACGAGTTCAGAGTGTCACTATCCAAATTACCACCCAGCTCACAGAGATCACCAGCGCTTTCGCGAAGATGGAGAGCCGGCTGGAGGTTCCTCGTGACGTTTCGGTCTTTTCGCCTGTTTTCCTCTCGGTTTGCTTTTTCCCCCTTCCTTTTTTACCTAGGGTTTCTGGCAATAGCTAGTTTGAATCCACTTCTCGCTTAAATGCAATGTCGATGTTTTACAGAATCTTGTATCTGACATCTCGAATATTCAGCAATACATTCTTTCGCGACAAGATACCCCAAGGAATTCAGAAATTCAAAAGGCACGCTTTTCAAATTTAGATGATTTTCTATAAAGTCCCCGAGACCAATTTGCAAACCGACAGTATACAAGTCCGTGCTCCGGATGTCTCTTTTTTGGAGCGTAGCCTCACAATAGCCCCTACACGGACTTCGCAGCCTAGCTGTATATCAAGAGAGACACGCCTAAATGTGATAGCCTGACCGAAGCATCATTGGCAGTTTAGCCCTTAATGACAACTACAAGAGAGGAAGTATACTAGAAAGAGGAATGACAAAGTGCAAGATCTCTGAAGTCAGAGCTATGGAATACAGAGGAATCATATATGACATTCTAGATGCAACAGGTAAATCTAGGGGGAAATGATATCATAAGAGGTCAGCAGTGACTCGGGTATCAATTCGCATATCCAGGCCAGTTGACAATGTGATACAATGTGATATTGGTGATAGTAGACGTTGGACCGGTATCGTGCATACATGACGGGATCCTACATCTCAACAGTTAGTTAACCCCATTCATACTAACGTATTTCACATGCGAGTGGTCCACACAAGCGAGTTGTCCACGCCAAAACACATAGTAAAAGCGATATAGTTGTCACTTGTATTTCAACAACCAACGTTTTTATTTAATTTCATGACTGGCCGATAGCAATCGATAAGTAATTTTAGTGTTATATGTCAACTTCAAATAAATCAAACATCTATATTGTTGTCGTATTGAAAATTACAGTGCTAAACTCTGGATATATATATATCTCAATCACTGATGTTTTAAATCACCTAAAATTCTAACAAGTGGCTATATATCATTTAAAATGTACTAGGTCATAAGAAACAGTTTATATAGACAATCATTGCTGCACTGACATGCTGTAATCTATCGCTTTTACTATGTGTTTTGGCGTGGACCACTCGCTTGTGTGGACCACTCGCATGTGAAATACGTTAGTTAGTTAGTGGCGGCATAACTATTCAGGCACATTCAGGCACATTCAGGCAGCAACCCTAAAAATAATTCAATTTGGTGCCCATATGCACCTTCGCAGGGGGTGTGCCTACGCGCCCGGGGTGTGCTCTGCCTTTTAAAAACACTACTCTCTTTGCTATTCTGGTGTTTCAAACATTACACTTTTTAAGATGAGATCAAATGAACGTACTGAACGAGTGGGAGTGTTGCACACAGTATCACTTCTCCCTTTTACATCTTCGCAGGGCCATACGGACAACAAGCGGGTACAGACCCCACTTGAGCACGAGCTCGAAAATGACACGATAGCCCACCGACAGAAACATCAAAATGTATCAATTTGGATGTTATTTTCAAAAGTGTTCATCTGGGAGATCTTGGCCATGATTTTGTCCACCGTGCTCTTACTCGCGATCGTTATGGTCCTCGATAATTACAATCACCGTCCTCAACCGACTTGGAAATATGTGTCACTGAACTCCGTAATCTCCTGGCTAGGGACCATCGCTAAAGCTTGTGTCTTGTTCTCTATAAGTGAGGCACTGGGACAGCTGAAATGGGTCTGGTTCACCCAAAAGAGGCGACCGATGTCCGACCTTCGCACCTTCGATTCAGCCAGCCGAGGAATATATGGTAGTGCAGAGTTGATTTGGAATTTACGGGCGAGGTAGGCTGCCATCCAACCTCGTATTATGAAGAGAAGCTCACCAACCAGACACTTTGCTGTTCTGGGCTGCTTAGCGGTTATATTAGCACTCGGATTTGATCCTTTCACCCAGAACTTGATTGAATATTATCCCAAACTTGTTGCCGATAGCACACAAACTGCAATTGTATCGATTAGCTCTACATACGACGCCCTGGGACCACCGAGAGATGCCTGTAGGTGATGGCCCGCAAACCTTTGAGTCAAACCAGTGTCTCTGACAAAGCTCACGGCAGCGAACTATATTGAACCAGGAATGAAAGCCAACATCTATAATGCGGTATTCAATAGCGACTCCTCAAAGCCGTGGTCCATCCCGCGGTTTAGCTGTACCTCGGGAAACTGCACCTGGGATCCGGCCGCGACAATGGCAATGGGCGCAAGCTGCGCGAATATAACAGAAAAGTTGGACTCCCGGTGCAGTATCATTACAGACGATTCGACCGGATCTGGATACAAGGGATTCAACAACTGCTCTAGTCATCTTCCCGGCGGTGATAGGTCAATGGGTGGGACTCTCGCCGTGAATTACATTTTAAACTCGTCCATTGGGACATTGATTACTATAGGATCAATTGGGCGCTTTGTTTACAAGGACACCATCATAAATCCTGTTCAGATCATTGCCAATGACCCTGATGATAGAACGAAATGGCAGGCATTCGAGTGCGCTCTTCGCCCCATTGTACGCAGCTTCCGTGCAAAAGTGATCGAAGGCGAATATCAAGAAGAAACCCTGGGCATTTGGCAAGATGCAAAGTTTTCAAGTGAGAGTATGCTACGCGGTCACTACAGGTTACAACCTCCCTGGGGGCCAGATATGGGCATGGAGCACAACAAAACCTTCATTATATCTCAAGAGGCAATAGACACGATTCAAGGGTTCTTTCCCCCTCTCTTCACGGGTCGCATGGAGAACAATGGGTTTGGACAGGTTATTAAGCCCAACACAAATACCATCCACGCCAGTGGGGATGTGATACAGGCCATCTCATCCCAGGCCTCGAACATTACCGGCTGCACCGTCCAGTCTGCCGAGAAACTCCGCTGTGCCGTGGAGAATGTGGCTGCAGCAATGTCCAAATCATTCCGAGACACTGCGTTATCCACGCAGGAAAATTCAAATATCACTGGCAAGGCGATGACCAGCAAGACATATGTCTCTATACATTGGCAGTGGATCGCTCTTCCGATTTTAGTGTGGTTCTTAGGACTTTTGACTTTGGTGGGCGTGATATGGAAGACTCGGAAAATCAGTGCTCCGACATGGAAAAATGATGTGATGCCCCTGTTATCCATATGTGAAAATGGTCATGAAAATGGCTATGAGAATGCCAAAACCGAGGAGAAGGTATCAGGTAAGCAGAAAGTGAGATTATTTGAAAGCGCAGGCAAAATGCGGCTCGGGAATTAGCATACGTTGAGAGACGGGAATGATATAAGTTTACAAGCTTAGAATGATTAGTTTTAGTAACTTCATTTTTATCATAGTTTCCATATATATCGTTCAACGAAGCAAAAAAAGCAGAAATAAATAGACGAGAAGAAAAGATTGGTCACCAGATAGAGAGAACAGTAATGGTTTAGTCTAACATATACAGGTGCAGAGAAGATGAATATAGGAAGAGATGAGTACTCAGCGGTATAGGCGCCAACTGCCAAAACCCCATTTCTAGTAAAAATTTGATGCCTTAATGTTTAATTTAATCTACTTATTGACCGCTCCTTGCAACCGCCATATACAATGTAATGTAAATTATTCGCTCACTTTGTATGTAGATGAAATGGTTCATTTTTGAGAGTTGTAAATGCCAGCAAAATCAGGCTACTTTGATTATTAAGGGAAGTGTTATAGTAATTCAGGTATATTAATTCTTCTGCTGGTCTCCGGAAATAGGGGTCTGGCAGCTGGCGCCTATACCGCTGGGTAAAGAAACTAAAAAAAGAAAACGGGACGGAGTCCGGCCCTCGGCATGCCGAATCTGAAACATAAGATCGGCATGCCATTATTAATTGATCCTGACTAAAAATGAGTAAGAACCTTTGGAAGTAGTGCCAGATTCTGCAGAACTTAGAACTAAATGAAAGGGTTTCATTTCGGCTCATCTAATCCTGCTTTGGCCTATCCTATCTCGGGATGAAGGAAATAGCTAGTAGGGAGTGGGTTCTTCTTTTCTTCTTTTTTCCTGGGTAGATGGCACGTCGATATTAGTCTGATCTGACAAAGCCATCCGACATATCCCTAAATCGAAAGTGGGTCACGATGCTTGCAAATCACATTATGAGCCCGAAGTATAAATCGTCCATGTAGACTCAAAGATTGTCGGGAAAATTAAAAGGATCTATTATATCTCCCGGGCTACTTTCGTTCATTGAAGCTTCTCTTAGCCCCAGAATTATATCAATCATGCGTCTCGCCGGCCTTGCACTGCTTCCACTAGCAGCTGCAGTTCCTCATGCCTCACACAACTCACATTCGACTTACGACTACATTATCGTCGGAGGTGGCACCAGTGGCCTCGTTGTTGCAAACCGATTGTCCGAGCAAAAGAACACCACCGTCCTCGTGATCGAAGCCGGTGGCTCCGTATATAACAACCCGAATGTGACCGACACTCTCGGATACGGCAAAGCATTCGATACAGACATTGACTGGGCGTACAAAACGACAGACCAAGAATATGCCGGCGGAACGCCACAGACGGTGCGTGCTGGAAAGGCACTTGGAGGAACGTCGACCATCAACGGCATGGTGTACCTCCGTGCCCAGGCAGCCCAGATCGATGCGTGGGAGACTGTCGGAAATAAGGGCTGGAACTGGAAGAATATGCTCCCGTACTTCAAGAAGAGTGAGAAATTGCAAGATCCGGCACAGTACCCATTCTTGGATGGATCGGGCGTTGCCTTTGACCCGGCCTACCACGGATTTACTGGGCCCTTGAAGGTCGGCTGGTCTCCAGCACAGTTGAACGATGGTCTCGCTCAGAAAATGAACGCTACCTACCAGAACCTCGAGGTTCCTGTTAAATACAACCCGGACCCGAATGGCGGAGATATGATTGGATACAGTCTGTATCCCATGACGGTTGATTCTGAGCTCAACATTCGTGAGGATGCTGCTCGTGCCTACTATTATCCTTACCATAACAGAACCAATCTCCATGTTTGGCTCCACACACACGCTAACAAGATTACCTGGAAGAATGACCACAATGCTGTCGCAAATGGTGTTCAAGTCACTCTTTCCAACGGCACAATCACTGTGGTGAAGGCTACCCGTGAAGTAATTCTCGCTGCCGGCGCACTGAAGTCGCCCGTTCTGCTTGAACTTTCTGGCGTCGGAAACCCAGAGTACGCATAAAACCGTGACGCCCAACATTTGACCGAAGCTGACCAGAATCCCTCACTAGCATTCTATCCAAGTACGGAATCGCCACTAAGATTAACCTGCCAACTGTCGGCGAAAACCTGCAGGATCAAATGAACAACGGGCTCCAGTTCGATTCAAAGACAAGCTACTACAACAAGAGTGCCGACTATGTCTCCTATCCATCAGCAGCCCAGCTCTTCCCCAACTCTACAGCTGTGGGAGCCGACCTTCTTCGCAAGCTCCCTGCTTATGCAGCCCAGGTCGCATCCGCCAACGGCAACATTACCAAAGCCCGCGACTTATACCACTTCTTCAAGATCCAGTGGAATCTGATCTTTAAGTATGGTATTCCCGTCGCGGAGATTTTGCTAGAGCCCTCTGGAACCATGTATGACACGGAACACTGGGGATCTGTTCCGTTCTCTCGCGGTAGTGTTCACCTCTCTTCTGCAGACCCGACAGCGGCGGCTATCATCGACCCTAAGTACTTCATGCTGGGCTTTGATCTCCACGCTCAGGCGCAGGCGGCCCGCTTTATTCGTGAGGTCTTCAAGACCAAGCCATTTGCTGATATGGCTGGTGCTGAAACCAGCCCTGGTCTTTCGACTGTTGCTGCTGGTGCCGATGACGAGGGGTGGGCTGATTTTATCAAGGGTAACTGTAAGTTTATTTCTTGCTTTGCTGAGAAATCTTTGGAGGGAATTTGAGGACTGACGTTTGGATAGTCCGATCAAATTTCCACCCGATTAGTACAGCTGCCATGATGCCCAAGGAGATTGGTGGTGTCGTCGACTCGTCGCTAAAGGTTTACGGAACCTCAAACGTTCGTGTTGTGGATGCTTCCGTCTTGCCTTTCCAGGTCTGTGGTCACCTTCAGAGCACCGTGTATGCGGTTGCTGAGCGTGCGGCCGATATTATCAAGGGGCGGTTGTAATGTGGCATCGGGCTCCTAATGTATACATGTTGTTATAACCATTCTTATTGTAAATAAGAATCATCGGCAGTTTATGCAGGCTCTGCCCTGGTGAATTTAACACGCCAATGCCGTTTTGGATGCTTTTACCTTCTTATTCGTACTCTGGGGGTTTGACGCTAGAAATATTAAGAAGGTCGCGTGATCACGATGTCTCAATGAAAGATCTTCAGTTCAAGACCGAGGATCGGTACAAAGAAAGTACTTGGGTTAGAATTGGGCAAGTATACAGCAAATCAGTACAAAGATCATATTAACCTCCAAGAATAGTGCTTTACAGGCAGATACAAACAGTCGACTACCACACATATCGGAATTGTCTGTCCTCTTTATCCGTGAGATCTGTCTGCGGCAACCCATTTTCGTCCAATTTGACCTCTTGATCTACACCAACAACACCCAAACTGGCAGCCTGTTCATCGCGCTGCTTATTGTCCCATATACACAAGTATCGGAATAAAATTACCACCACAAAAAGCAGACACCAAGTCACAATGGATGTTATCACACCCTCCGTATAACGAGGGCTGTGAGTCCATAGTTGAGGCGAGGCAATGCAGGCGGCACAGTAACCGATGAAAAACATGCCATTGACAACAGCGCGTTTTGTGTTTCCCTTGAAATTCGATGCCGCAAGTGAGAGAAGCGGTGTCATGGAGGCGGTAATGCATGAAGACTGCAAAAAGCTAAGTTAACAATAGAAGAATAGCGTAGTTAATAGAGGTACATACCAACCACGAGGCAACAATAAGACCCCACTTAGCGGTCACGTCCAACTTCATCAAGAAGACCGTCCCAATCAGAGGCGGAATAATAAGAACAAGAACGACCAGCGTTCGCTGATTAGGGAAGATAAACACTAGACCGGCCCCAATCCATAGGAAAGTAACCTGTACAGCTCCCGATGGAGCGGTATATAGCATAGTCTCAAGGTTGGTATAACCAATTGATTTGATCACAAGAGATGCAAAAGTCAAAACCGGCGACTGCATGCATACCAAAACACCAAACCAAAAGACAACCCATGCCTTGGGATCCATGAGTGTCTCTTTGAGCTGAGCAACAGAAAAAGAGACCTTGTCACCACCATCCCGGTCTTGTGCCATGCGTAGCGACAGGACTTCTCTCTCGCGAGTATTCAAGAACCATGCATCTTTGGGCCCGTTTGGCATAAGAAGAAAGAATGCCACGCCTGCAGCAGAAGTTATCGCACCGCAGATGATAAATAGCACGCGCCAGGGGGCGATTGGAAGTGAGGTGTTTTTGCCAATGCCATACATTAGAAAGCAGCCGAGAACCTGCGCCAGACCATTCATAGAGATCCATAATGCCGTGCGGACATTGTGCTCTTTCTTTCGGTACCAGATACTGGTGATTGTGACAAAGGCAGGTGAGACGGCGCCTTCGCTGAAACCGAGAAGGAAGCGCACCGTGGCGAATCCGGCGAAATTGTTCGGTGCTGCGAGGCACATGCATACAATCCCCCAAACAATTCTAAATTGGCGGTTAGCCCATGATGGAAGCAGATATAGTAGCATGACAAGAGTTAACGTACACTGTTGCGCCGACGAATTTGGTCAATGGGAGCCGGCTCATAAGATAGATGAATGGATACTCGGCGACCAGTTGGCCAACATAGAAGATTGAGCTCGACCATGAATACTGCGAACTGGTCATGTTGAGGTCTTCAATGAGCCCGAAGACACCAGCATAGCTGAGACTCTGCTTGTCAAGGTATTGCAGGAAAAAGACGAAGCACATCTAGAAGTATGCGTCATTAGCCCGAAAAAGAACCTGGGATAGCTTGAACCCCTTACAAAGGGCAAAATGACCCGGTCAATTTTGCGTAGGACAGCCTTCTCTTCATCTGCAGTATAACTTCCACGAAGCTCAAGCATTTCGCCGCTCGTTTGATCGGGATTATCGCTGCTCGCAGCACGCTTCTCCAAGTTTTCCATCAATGCGGGTGGATTTGACGCCCCTTGATATACCAATGAGATGTTTTGGATTTTGGCAAGCTCAGACTTGGCAACAAAACAGCAAAGAAGTGGATGTTCAATTTTTCCAGGGAAGCTGATATGCCCCGGATTTCACGGCTATATAAAAGGAGGCTTATCTCCAAATCCGCGATATGCGGAGAAGTACATCGGCCCGATGGCATCGGGAATCTGTCGACCAATTTGCCGACTCCCAACTTCTTTTTCTTTTCTACTTTCTCTACTTTAATATTTCAACTCTCGCTATCTTGACTTACCCGATATTCTCTCGTATATCCCACAAGCCCACTATGTCACAAACCTTCACCGGCTCAGACATCAAGCCATGGACCCGCCCCGCACCGCAGGGATATAAGTTCATTAACGCCAACATCGTCGATGTTGAATCAGGCACAATCAAAGAAAACACAATCCTCATAACCACCAAAGGCAAAATCACCTACGTCGGCTCAGAATCATCCATAACAGCCTCACCAACCAACCTCGAAACAGTAGACTGCCAAGGTAAATACCTCTGCCCCGGTCTATTCGATGCCCACGTACATCTTTGCGCAGTCCCAGGGTTCACCGACCTATCCAAAGCCTTTGGAAACCCAAATGACGTCCACCTCTTGCGACAGCCCTACACAGCCTCGCAGATGCTGCATCGTGGCTTTACCAGCATCCGGGACTGTGGCGGTGCCCAGCTCGCCTTGAAGGAGGCAATCGAAGACGGTGTCTTTCCTGGCCCGCGCGTCTTTATCGCAGGTCATGCCCTCTCGCAATTCGGTGGACATGGCGATCTGCGCGGCCCGCATGAAGCTACGGAATGCTGTGGTGGCACCCACAGCAATAATCACCTTGGCCGAATGTGCAACGGTGTGTCGGAGTGCATGGCTGCCGTCCGTGAGGAGATTCGCTGTGGCGCGGACTTTATTAAGATCATGGGCTCCGGTGGTGTGGCGTCGCCAACGGATAAGCTGGAGCATCTCCAGTTCACAGCGGCGGAGATTCAAGCTATGGTGGAATGTGCCGATAATGCTGGGACTTTTGTTACGGCTCATGCATATACCGTCAAGGCTATCCGGCACTGTATCAATAATGGTGTCCGTGGGATTGAGCATGGAAACTTCGTTGATCCACCCACTGCCAAGCTGATGGCTGAGAAGGGGGTCTACTTGACGCCTACGCTTATCGCGTATGCCCAGATGGCTTCCGAGCGGTGGAAGAATTACCTGCCCATTGAGTCGCAGATCAAGAATTCAATCGTGTTGAAGTCAGGTCTTGAGGCTTTGAGGGTTGCCTCGGAGGCTGGTGTGACTATGTGCTACGGCTCTGATTTGCTGGGCCCACTGGGCTCTGCGCAGACCCATGAATTTGCACTGCGGGCTCAGGTTTTGTCATCGCTCGAGATCTTACGTAGTGCAACTGTGAATCCGGCGAAGATGATGGGGTGCGCGGATGAGTTGGGTCAAATCAAGGAAGGCTTCCATGCTGATGTTGTGATTCTAAATAAGAATCCGCTTGAGGATGTGACCGTCTTTGATAGGCCTGATGCACATGTGCTTGGTGTGATGAAAGATGGTCGTGTCTATAAAAGTAGGTGGGATGCATTGATAGAGGATGGACAAATTCCCGTGAGAGTACAATGATTATGTTGGTCTATCAGCTGTCCATTTCTTGCTGGTGTTGTGAGTGTCACAATAGAAATTAACTTATCCGAGTAAAAGATTGTGTTGTTTCTTCCTCCCTAGATACTGCCCTTGATATCTATGTAAGCCCCGAGAAGTCTAGGACATCAAGCCCAGTCAAGCCCATGAGAAAAGTTGGATCATCACTCTGGAGTCCTGACAGAAAGTCGTACTCTATAGACGGAAATTCCCGCAGCATGGCTGATCCATGTGTTAGGTTTTGTGGGATGGAGCTTTCCGAGATATACTGTTCACCTGCATTCCTCCAGTCAGACGTATTCTCGTTTGATTGTGGGTGCAGTACAGTATGTGAAAACGGCACACCGGGCTCTATCTCATGGATTGCTCTTTGCTCAAGTGTCTGTGAGCGTTCCAATGTAGTAAGCCATTCAGCCCATTGGTTGTAATCAGATGCGGAAGCAGAAGCTTGTGCATCCTGCGTTTCGTTGGCTGTAAAGGACGCTTGATGCAGCTTCTGCGCGGCCTCGTTTGTTATCGACTGTACGGCTTCAACAAACTTCACTCCCAGTTTCGCTGTCATGTTCCCAGCCGCCATTTTCCGAAGGCAATCCAGACCAAATGTAACTCGAGCATTGTACCCTGAATCGCGTTCCGTAATCCCAGCCACCAGTGTCACGATCGTCGCAATACTGCATCCCTGAAAGTCCGTGAAGGAGAAACGAGTGATGTTGCGGGTTTGTGTCAGATTCTCGAATAACAGGAGAAGCTTTCTGCCTGCCTTTGCACAATACCGAGATTGCCTTATAGTGGCCTCACTTGAATCAGGAGGGCACGATGCACGAACCATATGACAGCGAAGGCTCGTTCGTGCGACGGTTACGAGGGCGACTTTGCCCATGGTTATCCACGCATAGTAATAGTTTAAATAGAGATGGAAGATTGTGCGGTATCTTGAGTCTTTTGGGTCCATGTTGTCAAGCTTGAAGTCTGGTGGTAAGGACTTCTTCCACTGTCGAAGATCAGAAGCCAGATCTTCGGCTTCTGGCTGCTGTTCTGCTTCGGTGATAGCACCGCTAGAATAAGATATGAGTTCGTATTGTTCCATGGGGCTCGACGCAACATACCAGGGTTCGGCAATTCGATCCAGGATCTTGATTAGGCGAGTGTACGCCATCTGGAATTGAATATTGTTGTATCTTTGCAGGCGATCCAGTGCTGGGAGAGGCGATGGATGTGGTACTTTGATTACATTGGCACTGATAGAGCGAGGCCTGCTTAGTTTGACAGTGGTGCACCTAAAAGCGGTTAGCGAGGTTGATCTTGACAATAGTCCTGTCACCAACCTCTCGAGTGAATATATGGACCACCACAACCGACGTCGGACCTCTCTCTCCCGGTCATCAACCGCTTGATCCTCTGGGTTGAGATGGAGATCAAATGCTAGTGCTTTGCGCAACGCCAAGCCCATGTAGACATAGGATGATCCAATGGCACTTGCTGGCATTAGGTAAACACCCAACAAGAAAGGCGCTTGAATGGATCGGAGGCAGGGTCGGTCAATTAGATCGGGGATAAGCGTTTTGGCATGAGTATAGAACACTTGGCCCAAATCATCATTATCCCGATGCAGGCTGACTGCGAATTCATCTGGTCTCTCTAGTGGCGTCCATTGACTGCCTAGTGCGAATGTTGCCAATACAAGACAGACAAAGCTCAAATCAAATCTCAACGGCGAGGTGGTGTCCTTGTAAAATTGGTCAATCTCGGACAATATTTGGTCCTGGTCAAAGTAGAAGAATGTATCTGTTGCATGTTTAATGAATACCGAAAGCAAAAAGTTGGCGATGGGGCGTGGAGGAAATGCTTCAATTGCTGCATGTAAACGCGCCATCTCAGATGGATGGAGTGCCTTTGGACGTGTCATATGCTTGAATTTGTTAGTTAGCATGAGCTGAGAATCAAAATATCGATATGACTCACGGCTTGCATGGCGACCATGTCCCTCTCTTCGGGAGCAGCATCTGGATCTAGCGAGAAAGCCTCCCTCAGGCGGGAGAGGATATTTGGCCACGGAACTCTTTTGGATTGACCCGCAACAACATGTTCGGCGAGCCTTTGGGACAGAACTGATGCCGGATAATGTGGATCATGATGATTCACATCATCTTGTAATAGTTGCGCTTGGCTGTTGTTTGATGCAATGGCTACGCCAGGTTCGGCGAGGTCACCAGATGCAGTATCCTGAATAGAAGCCGATCGCCCCCTGTCTCATGTTAAAAAGATATTATGTCGAAGATGATGAACTCACTACCTTCCAAAATTGCAGACCAAGTCACTCGCAAAGCACCGCTCACATCTTCCAGGAGTCGCTTCCACACACTTGCTTTTCCTGGTCTTGCAGCGATCGCACCTGAGCCCAGTTAGTGGATATTCCTGTCCGAGGCCAGATGAATCATACGCTCTAGGTGCCCTTTTGCGATTCTCGTCGGCAACCCGTCTTCTTTTTCGTTTCGTAGAGTCCATTAATTTAGCCGATGGGCGGAAGAGAGGAAAAGGACAATTTCCCGAGACTCGGCAATTTGGGCTTTATCTACCCCCACAATATCTGAGAGATTAAGAATAGGGAAAATTATAGTGATTTTATGCATCATAGAAGGTACCTTATTTCTCCTATTTGCTCATTGCTTTAATTGCATATTAGGATACCGTTGTCTTCATCTCAGGTCCTAACCGAGTAGGGGTATGGCGCATTGTCATCCCTTTGAATTCCACTGATCCCCATAAAGTTTTGATACCATAGCTAGAGCATATCCTGTTGCTTTCGATCCAAGGCAAAGAATTGCCTATGTAGTTGAGTCTCAGCCGAGCCCCGTGATATTAACAGTCGCAGTTCTTCATCTCGATTTTCCCGCATCAGTCGTTGGATAGATGGTAGCCCAAAAAAGATATCAGCGATATTTGCTTCCACTCCACGTACCCGGGCGAGTGCACGGTGAAGATTTTCAATGTCAAATAGCAAAACCTGGAATTCCTTGACAGGAGTGGGAGTATGCGACACATCCGGAGGAATGGCGATTTCGAGGTAGAAACGGAGATCTTCCCCATAGTACTGCATCAAGCCGTGTTGGTGTTCAGGAGAGAGACCTTCGAATGTCCTTTGTGCTTTTTGTACGGCTTGAGTAGCGTTCTCTTCCTGGCCCTGTGCAAACCGAGCCACCCTTTCAACAGCTCTCTGGATCCCCGAGTGTTGGGTACTGAGGTTTGGGAACGAGTCCAGAAAGCGAAAAGTAGTTAGACAGCAATTCGCAGAATGGACAGCGGTTTTCAAGTCATCAAGAGCCTGGCGGAGCTCTGGAACCAAGCCTCGCTCATCGGTTGTCGACTACAAAAAAAGATGTTAGTGCAATGGTCCCAAGGTTGCCTAGGTGGCTACCCGGATGAAAGTACTCACTTCACCCATCTCTGTGAAAGCTTGAAAGACAGCTCTGAGTTGGAAGAATGAAGATCAAGTGCTCAGGGAGACTTTAAGACAACCATTTGCCTTGAAAAGATTGTATTTGGTTCATCTCAAAAGCTCTAGTAAAATGTAAAAGCTCATCCTAAGAGGTCACCAAGATTTTATTATTTCTCCAAGACTTTTGAAAGTACAAAGATATATAACTGCAAGCTCCAGGTACCTGCAGGAACCCGACTTAGGTTGCGGCTGCCTAAGTTCACCACACTTCACCTCAAGTTTCTCAATCTCCCTTTCTCTTTCATCTTCCCGAGGTCAGCCATGGGGTTAGTTTAATCATCCTCAAAAATGAAACTTGCTAATAAGAAAACAGTTACACGCACTACTACGCCATCATTGGTTGGGATACACCTGAATGGCAAAAGGCCTGGTCCCAGATCATCCAAGATGTTCCCAACATCATCAAAGAAGCCCGCGTTCCTCTCAGCGGCCCAACCGAGGATGACGACAAAATCACACCGGTGGTCACGGACTCCGAGAAAGGCATATACCTGAATGGGATCCGAGGAAACGCCCATGAACCATTCATACTTTGCAAGCCGGGGGCATGGACTTTCTGCAAGACTGCTCGAAAGCCGTACGATGTGGTGGTTTCATCCATCCTGCTCAGGATTTGGATGCTAGCACCAAAGAACCTTGATCTTGGGTATGATACATGTTACATCCAAATAATCCGTTCTAACAATATACAGCTCTGATGGTGATCATGAGGACTGGGACGAAGCGCGTGACCTCTGTGCCACCTTATGGCCTGGGGAGCCTACCGATGGCCTATGGGCACAGCATGATGATGAGAACGACGGGAAATCAATGAGGGAAATGACATAGAGGCCACAGATGGAAGCGAGCAAGTCAATTAAATGCGTGGGTTTGCTTTTTTAGGGGCTATTGAGTTCAATTATGTTTTATTCGGTCCCCTATGTGACTTAGAGTGATAATCCTTGGGATTATGCACGCACGAGGTTGTGAACATGCCCCCTATTTCTTTTTCAAGATTCTGTTTAAATCTATATTCTTTCTACACATACAGCACGACTCAGGCAGCCACACAGCCATGCATCGCAACAGTAAACCACGCCGTCCGAGACGGCGAGTGTCGGGGTTTGATAGGGGCTATGAAATAGAGAGAGACGGAGAGGGGTAGTTGGGGTTGTTGAATTTGTTCGATACAATCAACAAGACTATGGCAATAATGTAGAGGCTTTGAGGAACTTGATATGGCTCGGTCTCTTGATGTAATCTTATTGAACTCTTCACTCAACGGTCCATTCATTTAACCAACAACCCAGTCAAGTTTTTGCTGGTCATCCCAGGTGACTGCCACCAGATAGTCATCATATGACTCTTTTCCACGGCCGGTGGCAGACCTGAATGCCCCCGAGCCAATATGTTGTGCATAATGGACTCCATCCTCCGTCGTGCGCAATGACACCACTGCACACTCTTTGTTTGATACATTTGGATAACCTTCTCGGTCGTGGGCCACAATAATCCCGTAGATCTCATTTGGCTCGAAAATACAGGGCGTTTCAGTCTTCAGGTGACAAACATCTTTCATCTTGCCGTCTTCAATATTGTGTTCTTTGGCCCACTGATCCCAAGCCGTTGTACCGTCAGAGTTGATGGAAAATGTATCACGATCGAGATCAAACACCATGCTTGATGGGAACAGCCATGACGCATAAGATTTGATATGAAGTCCTCGGGGTGTAATCTTTCCGGCTCCGGCCGAGAGATAACCGAGCTTGTTGGTAAATTGACACACTTTCATCGCCCAGCGCATTCCATCTTCTTCAAACCGTGGCCCGTGCTGGAAAAGCACGGCTCCGGGAAACTCGTCAATTAGGCTGTAGAACTTCCGCATTCGTTCATCGGACCCTTTGACCGCTAGAATTTCCTTCAAGTCGAGATTGAGGATACCCGCTAGAATGATTGGGCGATCAGCTGCCTTGCTAGTAGCTCGGGTGGCTACATTAAACCAGTTCGACGCGATTAGGTTACTTTTGGAATGGTCGCGGTCATCGAAAGGGGAAACAACAAAGCTGACGAAACGTTCGAATTTTGAAGTGGACTCAACGGTATGTTGGAAGAATGAGAGCCAAACACCAATGGCGTAGTGGGCAATCCTCTCCTGCATGAGGGGGAGCTTGCCTCCGTCAAGTTTGGTCAGGAGCTCGTCGGCAATAGTGGAAATGTTAACTGCCTTGTCAGAGAACAACACGTACAGCCGGCTCTTGGCGGCCAGTCCTTCTTGAAGTGTCCATAAACGGCGAATCCAGCCCGAACAGTACAATACCCTCAGCAGAAGTTCTAGATGAGTTGCAGAGCTAGTATTCACGTTCCTCATCTCCGAATCAAGGATCATCGTCCGGTAAGCTATAATCGGTTAAGCCGCCATCCAAGAACATTGAGTAGTCTGCTCAAAGTTTGCACTAACCATCTAGGTATAATTCACGAATGCGCTGAATTGCCAGGCTCCGAACATCAGGCTGATGGGGTATGCATAATGTATCAATCCATACCAGTACTGAATCGTCTCTGCGCAGAACTTGGTTGCTCACTAAATGGGCAAGTCGACCTGTGCCAGTGTGTAGTGATCCAAATGGGCCATTCTCATAGCGAGGGACATATTCATCACCAGTGAGGACAGATTTTGCCTGCTCATAAAGGACCTTTAATTGGCAGTGTGGGAGACTATTACCCTCTGTGTTGCCTAACCCATCGGACCACACATGCGAGATGGCTAGGTATTGCTTGCCGACACGCTTTCTCACAATCTCAATCTTGAAATTCTCGTTACCGAGATCGTCCTCGCCACAAGGCGTGATCATCAAGAGAGGTACCCCTCCATCATTGAGAATTGTGTGTAGCTGCTCGACATTTGCCTGGAGGTGCGAACAGGTGCAATTTTCTTGCACGTGTCGAGTGACATAGTCGCTCTCATCAATGTTGTTTGCCACACATTCCGTCTTCGTACAGCCAAAATGGGATTTTTCCTTGTTCCAATCGGCCTTGACACGCCTTAACTGAAGCAGATACACCGGGGTGTCCAGTCCACCACCGGTCCAGCGACACTTCTCTGCCTCCAAGGGGCACCACCCCGCTGCAGTCATTTGTTTAGTCTCAGTGTCTCTGGCTGAAACCCATTTAAGAACACTAGGGGTCTGAATCTGAAAACCGTCTCGCTTGACTGCAACATTCCAGAGAACATAGCAGACCAGCCGAATGGCCACCACCATCTTATCTCGCACACAAACATCGGCGTATGCGCTAAGGTTAACGCAGACTTTCTTGACAATGTCAATCGCTCGCTCGCCAAGTTTCCTCCTCTTCCATTCCTTAGCGTTGCCGACATATTTATGGAGATGCTTTGTCGTTAGGTACTGACGAGGGTCTCCTTCCCTACGTAGGAGAAAATCGGACTGATCTAGCTGGTCCCCAAACACATAGTGGAGCATGCCGAAGTAGAGCCAGCACTCTATTTCGGAGTGGAATTTCGACGGCATTCGGGTGACAGGCCAGTGCGTTTCAAATCCTGTTTCCAATCTCCAGCCAGCACGAACCGGGAACTGATCCCAGTCGCTTCCATCATATAGCGAGCTGTTGTACTCGACTAAATATGGCCTTGGGGGTTCGCCAGGAAAGAACAAATGCTCCGCCATTGTGAGGGACTTTGAGAGTCGCACTTTTTCAGTCAGATGAAGCCCCGCGTCAGCATACGACTTACACTAAGACGCTAGTCTCATACTGGTTGGTCTGTTGCCATGCCAAGAAATGTTCGTATTTGCTTCATCTCGTTTGCGGCTCCGGCGTGATTGCTGCTCGGCTGCTTTCCTTGCCTTTTAGGCTTCATGTTTCCAATCTTCGTAGGCTGTTGCACAAGTATGTATCCGCAGTAAATGCCAGGTATAGAAGTATTTTTGTGGTTTATATTATGCTTCCTACTGTGTGGCATTCTAAGACCTGGACACAATGAAATCCTGGTGACAATCTTGAAACTGGAAGGTGTACGCAATCGCGTATAATTACCCAGAAGAGAAGAAGGCAGTCGTTTGAATATGGAAAGCAAAGCAAAGCTTTGGGTACAATGCATGCATGCAATGACTGTTCTTTAACCTTGACTTGGATCAAAGCAGATAAGTATCAAACCGTCATGCAACGAGAGAGGCTACCACCAGCAGCATAGAACCTGGTGGGAAACTGTCACATATTGTGGTGCTGTACGGCCCTATTCAACCAGCCTGCGTCCTGCGCATCTGTTTGCTAAATTCCTTTTCTTTCGCCGCCCGTAGTAGCTGGCGTCGAACGTCCGGTTCGTTGCTGGACCACCATTTTTCCTCCCAGGGCTGTAGGCCACCGCCTCCAGGGAAGAACTCTGGGAGTAGAGCTCGACCAGCTCCTTTGAAGTCTAACTCGAGCTCCATCAATGTATGCATGACCTTGAATTCGGCAAAGACCATTGGTATCGGACTTCCTTCGTTTCCTGAGTTGGAGCGCATAGCCAGTCGAATCGGAATCCCTAACATCGCCGGCTGACGCGGAGCCCCGGCCGCGATGAGATTTTGCAGCATGCCAGCGCCGCCCACCGCGAGTAGATACCACGCGTGTTCCTGAATCCCTGTGCTAGTGAGGAGAAGCATGAGCCACAGTACGGCTAACAGGAACGTCATTAGGCGTGTAGTATTGCTGGGGCTCATCAGTTGCATCCATCGACTCCTACGTGCCCGCCCCTCCCCGTCGTCTAACAACTGTCCCCCAGCCATATCTTCCAAATCCAACCCGCCTTTTGCCCCCAGCACCACGACCACATGCTGCGTGCCATTACCAAGCGTTAACGCAACATCCTTGCGCCTCTCTAAAGTTCGGCACGCCCATTTTTCCTTCCGCCACTGCGGCAGCGCGCCAGATGCGTAAGACAGAATAGTCCCGGCCACGGTCACCAGGAAGATACTCCAGTCTTTGTCCAGGCCAAACGGTATCGCGCTGATACCTAGTTGGATCACTGTCACGACAATTCCCAGCCAATACACCCAGTCATAACCAGGTTTCGCCACAGGATAAGGCCCATCCAGTGCCCATTCGTAAACACTAACGCAGAGGCGCGCCTGGTGGGGGCTCACAAATTTGCGAGGGTTGAGGTATGTTTCTGTAGCTGCCGTGGCCTTCCCTGGCATCTCTGTGTCTGCATTCCCGGCTTCCTCGTCTTGGTACAAGACCGGGTGGTTTTGCAATCGCTGTTCCACTTCTGCTGGCATCCAATATTCGTAGTTCTGAAACACCCGCCCTAAAGTCCAGGACCGGTTGAACCGCATATACCCCGTGCCTATGTTGATTACCCGGAGCGAAGAGTCAGGGGCGGGAGGCATCAGGCGATCCTCGCTTTGGGCAGTGAGTAGCGCCGAGATAGCGTACGACACCCATCCGAAAGAGAAGGTGACGGGAGTGATAGGGCCGCCAGAGACGGCTGCCAGAGCGACGCCAATGACATCCCCACCAATAATCAAGAGGATTGAGAATAAGTCTGATGGATTAACCCACTGTGCGCGAAAGGTGGATGCTGCTTCATCCATACTGAAAAAGTTGACTACAGCTCATAACAGGGGAGAAAGACTTTAGTTACCTCTGGGGCTGAACTTCGCTTACATCACACAAATCGGAGCGATGAATGGAGTACTCCGTAGAATACGAGAATATCCACAATTCAGCATTGACCCCGGATACTTAATTGTCACGTGGGAACGGCCCGAGCCAAGGCGGTGTATTCTCTCAGGAAATGCTTTCAATGGAAAATTTGAAGGCTTTCATGATATATACCTTCCAAGGTTGGACGCTATAGGGACGTTATAAGATATAACTATGTCTTTTTTCGTTCTTTGTATCTTTCTTTCTTTCCGATGTCATTGCTAGAAGGGATAATCATTAACTGAAAAAGTGCCAGGAATGGGAATAGAAGCATGTAGACCTTACGATGTACAATATAAGGCATGATAGAGCATAAGCTGTCGAGTAGATAACTTGTCTATAGGAACATGAAGCCACTTGGGCGAAATTACGATTTGCTTAGTCATGGAAACAAAAAGCCACAATTTCATGATTGTAAATGCCTGTATCAACAAAATTTGACTACCTCATACTTCTTACTCTCTGGACTCACGTTCGAACTGTATACATCGCAAGAATGCCAATCATCAAGAATTTCACACTCCCAAGTTCAGTGAAGGAGCTGGCAATAAGCCCCGCCTCGAAATTATTCATTGCCTTCATATCTGGACCAGATCCAATTACCAAGCAACCTTGGTGCCCAGACGTGCGGGATGCCTTGCCACATATCAACGAGGCATTTGCCGGAGATGATGCGCCAGAATTAGCTATTATCGAGGTTGGACAAAAGCCCGAGTAAGTCCCTCTATGTCTGAAGCTGTAATATCTTGTTTCCAAATTACATTAAAAACGGGTTCTGTGGTGCATTGAGCTGATATTTACCAGGTGGAATAACCCCCAGAATGTCTACCGAACAACGTGGGGAACTAAGAACATTCCCGCGCTGGTACGCTACCAACAAGTCAATGGGGAAGTCACTGAGACAGGAAGATTGGTGGAAGGAGAAATTCTCAACAAGCAAAGACTCATGGCCTTCATCGTTTAATTATATCATCTTGTCATGTACTCACTCCTCGCTCTGCTCAAACCAAGTTGCATTCTATATCTTTTAAGGTACTGGTATGTTTGTTCTCTATATATCATACCCAAATGCCAGTTGCACCATCGCGCGAACATGGATTTTATCACCCTCTAGAGACCCTCGGGGTGTTGTGAAACAGGCGTACATCCTCGATGCCGGACTCTCTGATATGTCACCAAATTATTTGTCCAGGAAGCGCCCTTCGCCTTCAAGTGTCGTTTTGGCATCCTGAAAATCTCCACACACGGCTAGGGCTCCGCGTTAGCCGGCGATGTTAGGGATTCCGATTCGACTGGCTACGCGCTCGAACTCAGGGAACGAAGTCCGATACTAGGATTCCCTAAACCTTGAATCCACCAGGCATAAGAGTCTTGAAAACACCCTGACGGTCATACTTCTCTGCAATATCAATAAGCTTCTGGTGGTTCTCCCCACCATAGCCAGGGAAGATAGATTGGAAGCCAGCAGCATCACCAATGTAGTTAAAGGCGTCGTAGAGACCGGCTTTCTGGGTGGCATTGTTGATTTTGTAGGTGGTCTCTTCTACCCAGGAAGCAACAAGGTCATCATAGGCCGAGCCAACCCACTCAACCACCTCCGCGTAGCACAGATAGACCTGCGATGGGTCCAGGCCGAGGGCGTTTCCGCCGTGAGACTCGGAGGCCTTCATCCAGTCGGCGCCGATAGGTTGCCAGTCTAGCTGGATAGTGGAGATGTTGGCCATATGAACCTGCGCGTACAGCTTGGGGAGCTCGTTGAAGAAGGTTTGCTTGATGATACTGATGCCGCTGATAAGCTCCTTGTAGCTTGTGCCCTTGACGGTTCCGGCGACGAATACGTCACTAAGTCTGGTTAGTTATCGTTTCATAGCCGTCTAAGCGGGGTATTGTACTTGATGCCATCAATGACCATTGCACCTGTCTCAGCAGCAAATTCGGCGACCGTTTTGAAGTCAAGCGTGCTGCTGATAGCCGGGATATTGGTAAACGGCTTAAAAATATCGGGGTAGCTGATGCTGTCGCTGTCATAGAACAAAATTACGGAGGCGAGAGTAGTCTCGCCAGTCACAAGGGCTGGTACAATGTGCGTCTTGGGGTCATAGATGTCAGACGCGTAAGTAGCCACAGCCTAGCAAAACTAGTTAGTGAGCACTCATAGAGCAATCAAGGACATCAATATGACATACTGCCAGGAACTCATCGATGTAATCAGAGGACACGGTATGGGCACCAGCCCAGACCTTGGGCGACTTGATAGTCTCCAGGTCGAACCGAGTGACGATGCCGAAGTTACTGCTTCCACCCTTCAAAGCCCAGAACAGATCGGGATAGCTTGTCTTGTTTACTTCCACGATTGAGCCATCGGCAAGGACAATCTCGTAGTTGACAACGGTATCACAGCCGAAGCCAACCTGATTACCGTAGAAGTTGATACCGCCAGCGAGGAGCAGTCCCGGCACACCGACAGGGCCGAGACGACCACCGGCAGCGGTCAGTCCAAAACTCTGCAGGTATCCATAGACCTCACTCCACCTAAACGGAGGTAAGTAAAAACCGCCCATCACCAGAGCAAACTGGGGGAAAAAGCTGACCGGTGAGAAGGACCAATAGACACAATGGACTGATCCTCCGACAACTCCAAAGTGGTCAAATTTGACATAACAATTAAAACACCATCGTTGATATTGTTTGAACCCTGCGACCGTCAGAATAGAGCCCAAGTGAATGACTTTGAGGTCAAAACCCACCCGGATACCCATGTGCCCACCGCCCCGAACAGCGAACTGCGCATTGGCATTAACCAGCGCTACAATGCCGTCAGCAAGCTGTGCGCTTGACTGCGGTCGGAACACACATCCAGGAGCCATCAGCTCCGTGTTCGACCAAAATTTTGCCGCCTCGTACTCGTACACGCCGCCGCCGGCGAAGAACAGCAAATCCCCAAGGGGCGCCTGCAGCGCCTTGCAGCCTGTCGAAACATTGGGCAATGCAGTGGCGGCTGTTGATGTTGCGACTATGCCAGCTAGCGAGAGCACGGCTGGTATTACGCGCATAGTAAATGGTATAGCTGAATAGTGTATACAACTTTCGAACCCTGGTTGAACTAGGGGATTCTGGTCAACGGATAGCAGAAAAACGCAAGGAGAGTATTGGCTAGAATGAGAGATAATAGTTGTTTTATCGGGGCATTACTAGATATGGATCTAGCTCCGAATGGTTCTGAAGCTTCTCTAGCTTCTCTCGTCCTCTAGCTGGGTTAGATTGTTGTTCAGGTGAAGCTTTCATGGATTTCATCCAAGTGGTCAAGATAGTTTAGGAAAGTGGGCTCTAGTGCATCCCCCTTGCGTCCTTTGACAAATTTTATACGTTTGATTTCGGGGGGGCCGCTAGGTGTCTCATCCGTTTCCGCTGGACCGGGAAGAGTGTGCTAATCTCACAGGGCAGCAGGCGGTCCACGGTCTCAGTTGTTGATAAAGGCTTGAGGTTATTGTCCAATTATGTCAGAAATATGTCTTACTCGGTCATTATGGGTTTGCTTAATCTGAAATTAATAACATGCGGCCTCTGCCCTGAATGAAGTAGGACTTGGATAATCTGATTTATGTAGCTTAGGATGATATAAGGAACGTTGTATTTGAGATAATACTCCAATGCTATTCTTGAATATCTTTCTAGATATCCTAGAGATTCTTTTATCTCGGTTTTATAGGTAGAAAAATAGTAGTTTTATTAGTTGTTGTCATAACCGGTATAGGCCAGCCGCCAGTGCTTCGTAAACCTTATCCTTTACACTACAATTGGTAGAGAGCAACAAATCTACAAGAGCTTCATTGTGCTGCTCTCTATTCATGGGGTATCTATCTGCACTATCTCTTTTGCCCATCTCACAACACCATCCCATCCCTCACTGTGGTGAATGAGATGTTCAGCAAGGCTTTGTACTATCGTCTTCCCAGCCACTCTCGCCCACCACATCCCCTCGAGACGTCCTAGCAGAGCGCCCCAACAAACATATATCAGTAATGCCAAAGGCTCTTCGCTCTGAACTTGTTTGACAAAATCTCCACCAGCCGTGACTATCCATGGAATCACCATCCCTTCAGCTAGAGCGCAGTGCTCAAGGGTGTCGATAGCGTGTCCGTAGATCTTCTATGATTGCACGTTGATACCACAGCAGAGCTTCTTTAACAATGGAGGGAGGGCTCCATCTTCTGCAGACAAGAACGTTGTATCTGCCCCTGACCAGGGTTGAATGATAAATTTGAATGGCCCTTCATCAAGCGATGGGCGGGCCTGGTCAATTATAGAAGAATCCCTTTCACGAAATGGAAAAGAGATTTTAAATCAGTGGATAACCCCACTGTAGTCGCTAGACTGTCATTGATGTTGCTTTCCAGCGACGAGGAAACAAAGGTACAAGCCATCATCATCACCGAACACGCAAAAAGCGCATCACAATTCATAGGTGACACATTTCCCAGTTCTATACGAAAGGCAGGCAGCGTCCTGCTCTGGTATTTTATGGCATCACCCAGATATTCTGCTTTTTCTGAACGGTCTATAGGGAGTTCAGCAGCCATATGGAATGATGTAAGGGATAGCAGTGCGTCCATCAGGAATGGGTAGAGAAGTGCTTGTTCTACCACGTATGTTTGGAAAACGTCTCTCAGTATTGGCGAGAAGCTATTGCATGTTTTCAGCGTCCAATGATGCATCAGTTGCAATTCCCTTGTGCGTGAAACGGATGGAGTGCTCGGATTATTCTGATCAACACCGGGTGGTTTTTGATGTGAGTTCTCGGACAGGGTCTCCTTTGAATGCCTTATTGCTGGTGAATGTTCTTTTTCCTGTATCTCAGTCCAGCGGGAAGGTCGAAATATGTTACTGGCATATTCACACACTGCATTTCGAGCTTTGCAGGTCGCGCAAGGAGGTCCACTTTCGTCGTATTTTATCCGTCGTTTCTTACATCGGTTGCAGCCATCCCGGGATTTGGTGTGAGGGCGCCTTTGAGACATGTCATGAATTTATGAATTCTGCGCAGATATGAGGATGAAAATAAAGACAGCATTCCAATATTAATTGCCATCTGAAGGGCGGTAAGGTTGCCATATTTTCAACCCTCGGTTGCTTCACTCGACTCTCATTTGTTACATATATATGGCATCCTTCCTACCCATTTCCCCTCGATCGCTTCATTCAAAACCCATCTCGCAACGCTAGCTCTACTAATCCATGTATTATCCACCCCACTACCCAAGTGGGTTGCATGAACCGGTTCCTCTTTTCCGGTTGTAAGCCCACCAACTCGGAATAATCCCCACTGGATGCCATCTATGTTGGAGGAGGAAGAAACTGCCTTCCCCACGCCTAACATCTCCCGATATTGACCAGAACTGAATATCTTCATGAACCATTCCCCTGTCCACCATTTCCATGTTATAATATCAGATTCGTCTCTGAAAGATGGCGTGCAGAGGATGAGAACACGGGTTATGTTTTGCGAGGCGAGATTTGGGATGAGAAGTTTGTAGCCATCCGCCAAAGGCTAGATAATATGTTAGTAGCCAACCAAGACACTGAAAGGATCGATAAGATCATACTGTGCCCTGCACTCCAAATGCTGGCCCTGCAAAAGAAATAAAGATGTCTGCTCCACATTTTGCGGCTTCGTTCAGGTCCGAGTCGACCTCAAGTGTGCCTACAATAATCTGCGTTTCTTCTCTCAGTCGGATGTGCTTGGGAACTTTGTTGGCATCTCGGACAAAGAGTGTAAGGCTATGCCCTTCATTGAGAGCGATATCACAGAATAGGCGGCCGATAGCACCTAGGTCACATCCAAGTTAGAAATCAGCATAAGATCGGATAGAGTTATCGATACCAGAAGCCCCCAGAATAAGCATGTGCATTTTCAAATTGTGCAAGCCTGCTTTGTGGATATTTGAAAAGCTCTGAGGGCATTCTATACTGTTTAAGTAGTACGGAGTAGTGGACTATAAATGATGCCAAGCCATTGGCCCCACCAGAATACGCATCAACTTGGCCAAAAAGGGAAATTTGTACGCAGTCTACAAGAATGGCAACCATGTATATATACATTGTGTAAAAACTCCATCGACATTGCCCATGGTGGGGTTGAAATAATTTCAACAGATCGAGTAAGCTAGACCTTATAGGCCAGAATATGCCGATCTTGATCATACTCAGTGACAGTATAGTACTCCTTGCGAACAGGATTGAAGCTCATGTCCTCATTTCCGGCCGATAACCACCCCTTGTACTCTTTCGCTGTGTTTCCTTGTTCCCAAATAAAAAGATCGCCTTTCTTGGGAGCTCTGCCCGTACTGCGCGAGATGTAAAACTTGCCGTCATATGAAACAGCACCCTGTACGTTGGGTATATTGACACAGTACGCCCAGTTTGCCGTAGCGATGCCATTATTGGTCTGCAACCGCCGGGTATTCGCATTCAGATTGTATTTCACATAGCGGATAGGAACTGGGGTCTTGTTGGCGTCCTCGAAAGTTTCCCCGTCGCTCACAAACTCACCCACCATAAGGGTGTCTGGTGAGTCGCTCCGGTCAAGGGAAATCCAAGAGAAGCGGAAGGGAGAAGCGTCGCCGGCTACCCAATTATAATAGCTTTCAATGGTATCAGTCTTTGATCCAAAGGAAGATAATGAACAGGCTCACCGCATTTGAGGAAGCACATATCGGTACTCATCCGCAGAATATCCTTTTCCGTCTTTCATTTTTCCAACACCATCTGCAATATCAACCTCCCAGATATTGTCTAGGTCAAACGCACGAATACCCTTGTGAGTATCGACAACATACAGTACATTACCGTACCACGCGATACCGCCCGCATGAATACTGATGGATTCGAAGTCATCGTCGGCAGTAGGATATACCAGCATCACATGGCGATACTTGTTTGTTTTGCGATCAATAAAGCTGACCCGTACACTTTCTCCCTTGCGATACCAACTGACAATCCACACCTCGTGGTCATTCCAGGTTCCCTTCCCGAAAGCATCGGCAGAGCTCGTGATTCCCTGCGGAATCCACTCCGTCGTCCTATCGTCGCCTGAGTTCCAAGCCCATGATTCGGCGGGAGGCCCATCCCCATTACTGAGAGGGGGTGAGCGTTTTCTTAAGTCGCGGTTCGCGGATTGAAGAACCGCAGTGACGCTTGTGATCTTACCCTTTGCATCGAAGTACTTTGCGAGCGCAGGTAAGTGAGGAGTGTCTATTTCTTCAAGGGTGAAGTCTTTTCCGTCAAGAGTTGTCTTGCCCTGGCAGTAACGAGGATCTACCGCGAAGGTGACGGAGAAGTAAAGAGAAAGAAGAGTCAAGAATAATGTATACCGCATAATGGGACTTTTTGGTACTCCGTACCAAGGGGTCTTTCCTTCTGAGCAATGTTGAGTACAGCTTCCAGGGAAGATGCAATTTATAGCGTATTTTACTGCATATAGGAACGGGATTGGATGTAACCAAAAGGCGGCTATACACTATCTATTCCCTCACATTTGTTCAGATTAGGATATGATCGCCATGGAATAGCCTAGTTAGAGTAGTCAAGCCTCTTCTGCATGCTGAAAATAGCTTTCATGAAAGGCCCGGATCAACACGGATGAAACTCGTGTCAAACTGAGGACATCAATTTGAGGCTCGTATTCTTCTGCGTTATTGTAGCGAGGCTCCTAGTTTTACCACAGTTGCGACCGCAACTCTCACATGGGCACACGTAGCTACACGTAGATTCACGTCAGCACTATATCTCTTGGCTTCATGTCGCTGCAACGTCAACCCCACCAAAGTCCTCCGGGTGAACAAGAGATTCAAACTCATTATCTTTGATATCTCATTTACTCAAAAGTTTCTACGGTATAATGTGTGCTCCAAAGGCTAGCGGATGTGAAGATATACGATAGAAGCTATTAGTCCTCAAATAGCGTGTGGCTAATATAATGATTGTGAGAGAAGAGTGAGAGAAGAGTCAGCGATCCTAGGTTTTAATGTAGGAAGGGCTAGAAACCCCAATAGTG